CAAGTAAAGGGCCTATGGCCACCCCACAACGGATCTGTTTGGCTGTTTGATGAATCAAGTAAAGGGCCTCTGGCCACCCCACGACGGATCTGTTTGGCTGTTTGATGAATCAAGTAAAGGGCCTCTGGCCACCCCACGACAGATCTGTTTGGCTGTTTGATGAATCAAGTAAAGGGCCTATGGCCACCCCACGACACATCTGTTTGACTGTTTGATGAATCAAGTAAAGGGCCTATGGCCACCCCACGACAGATCTGTTTGGTGGTTTGATGAATCAAGTAAAGGGCCTATGGCCACCCCACGACAGATCTGTTTGGCGGTTTGATGAATCAAGTAAAGGGCCTATGGCCACCCCACGACAGATCTGTTTGGTGGTTTGATGAATCAAGTAAAGGGCCTATGGCCACCCCACGACACATCTGTTTGGCTGTTTGATGAATCAAGTAAAGGGCCTATGGCCACCCCACGACAGATCTGTTTGGTGGTTTGATGAATCAAGTAAAGGGCCTATGGCCACCCCACGACAGATCTGTTTGGCGGTTTGATGAATCAAGTAAAGGGCCTATGGCCACCCCACGACAGATCTGTTTGGCGGTTTGATGAATCAAGTAAAGGGCCTATGGCCACCCCACGACACATCTGTTTGGCGGTTTGATGAATCAAGTAAAGGGCCTATGGCCACCCCACGACACATCTGTTCGGTGGTTTGATGAATCAAGTAAAGGGCCTATGGCCACCCCACGACACATCTGTTTGGTGGTTTGATGAATCAAGTAAAGGGCCTATGGCCACCCCACGACACATCTGTTTGGTGGTTTGATGAATCAAGTAAAGGGCCTATGGCCACCCCACGACACATCTGTTTGGTGGTTTGATGAATCAAGTAAAGGGCCTATGGCCACCCCACAACACATCTGTTTGGCGGTTTGATGAATCAAGTAAAGGGCCTATGGCCACCCCACAACGGATCTGTTTTGTGGTTTGATGAATCAAGTAAAGGGCCTATGGCCACCCCACATTGGATCTGTTTGGCTGTTTGATGAATCAAGTAAAGGGCCTATGGCCACCCCACGACAGATCTGTTTGGCGGTTTGATGAATCAAGTAAAGGGCCTATGGCCACCCCACGACAGATCTGTTTGGCGGTTTGATGAATCAAGTAAAGGGCCTATGGCCACCCCACAACGGATCTGTTTGGCTGTTTGATGAATCAAGAAAAGGGCCTATGGCCACCCCACGACAGATCTGTTTGGTTGCTTCGACAATGTATTAGTAACTATCTCATGGGATGGATCTGGGATAAGGATTGCAGACACATTGCAACAGAATGTCGTCTTCCATTCAGATTTAACTTCATTATTCATACTAGGCCAATGACAGTCAATGGAGGACAAAGTTCTCAACACTGAATAGACAAACATTTCTTTGGAGCTACACGATTGTGTGCTGCTACAAATGTAACACAAGATTGTCCATCACTAAGGCATTGAACTTTTTTCTCAGAGGCATCACGTATGTTATTGTCATACTGCGCTAGAAGGATCAGAATGGCAGGTGTAACACTATGGCAATGAAACCTCACTAATGAGTGTCAATTCACTTTCCCACATTGTCCAGTCCTCACGAAGGGGACAAGACTCAATAGAGTATTCCCACAAGCATTTGGAGTGCACTAGGACTTTGGTTCAAGAGAGAAGGGAATCAGATAACCGATATGATCGTACTGGCTGGCCAATATACAGTACACTACCTTCATGGTGAGATTAGGCCAAATAAAAAAATGTTGTGTTTCCGATTACACCTCTTAGGGTAGGTAGGTAGGAAGGAATATTTTCTTTACATATTTTACAAAAGTAAAGTATCGATGTGTAATTGTTTATTCAATCAAGCTTGTGGCCATCATGTTGACTTTCAGACATCAGAATGACCGATGTCCGTTGGTAGGAGGAAAAAACAATGGTATCTGAAAGCTTATTTTATCCATACCTTGTTAAAAAAACTAGGGTCGGCACCAGAATTCAAGGGTCAGTTGGGTAATAGGAACCACAACATTTTTTTTTAGGCCTTACTGTACTAGATCTGTGCCCTTAAGTTTTGACAACATAGATTCCTTTCCGCTTGAAGTGGAATCACAGAAGGCCAGCAGTTATGTCAACGCTAAATAATGACATTGCTTTTAAGTATCAAACTGAGAAAGTGACTCAGTAAGAAGAACGTGTGGTGAAATAGACAAATGAAATTATATAAACATTGAAATCGGTAATCTACTGTCATAACATATAAAAAGCTTGCGCCTGTGAAATATCAACAACACATTAGAAAAATAGCTCACACCAAAGCCTTCACCGAGTATTCACCGGACAACCCACTTCTAAGCTGCGCGAACCCATTTCACTGCGCATGTGCTATGAGCACAGCCTAGTGCAGCGCAGCTGTTGAAACCACGTTTCCCCCAAGCGCTGGGGGAAAATTAGTGAAACGTTTGAACTCCGATTTCAAAGGATTTTTTGCATCGCGTTATTTTTCCACTTTATAAGTTGAATTTGCATTTTTGATGATTTGTTTCGGTAAGTCCATACCGAAAGGTATCAGAATCTGCAAAGTTGTGTTTTATGTTGCATGTGACCTATAATTGTATCACATTTCTTTGTTTCACCTTTGTTCTTTTACAGACTGATTTTCAGTTAACTCTTGTTTTAACTTCAGAATCAACACATAACATTATCCCTAAGTTTTTTTATTAAAGCTTATATGCAATTCAAAACACAACTTTGCAGATTCTGATACCTTTTGTTATGGACTTACAGTAACAAATCATCAAATATGCAAATTCAACTTTAAAGTTGAAAAATAACGCGATGAAAAAAATCCTTTGAAATCGGAGTTTAAACTATTCACTACAAAAACCCAGCTGGGGTGATCAGTGGTTTCAACAGCTGTGCTGCGCTGCGCTCATAGCGCATGCACAGTTGTTACGGATAAATAATTGCCGTGACAAAAGGTTAAGAATCCCCTTTGAACCAGCAAAATATAACACAGACAAGTCTAAAATATTCAATAATATATTGAGCAAACAATGAGCAAGCTACAATGAATCACAATACAGATTTCTAATACAATGCAATGGAGTCACAAATCTAAAGTAATGGGTCACATATATGAAATATTAACTCACCAGAGTCTTGGTAACCACAGTGAGATCAGATATTATAAATGGAGCTTGTTTACAAATGAAAGCAGTCAGGCACGAAGTGTCAGGGGCAGACGATGTTGACGAAGGCAAACAACGATGGTGCCGAAGGACGACAGTAACTCCAGTGATATCGAAAGTCCCGTGTAGTTCCGTGTGTCAGTCCTTGTGTGTCCCACCACACAACAGCCAGCCTTTATATATACTGACACAGATTCTCGAACTTTCCAGCAAAGCATGGCTGTATCATTAACCACTTTGATCTTTCCCGAAACATGTTGAACACATGACCAGGAGTCAAAGCATAAACATCCGGTCAAGGGAGGCAACTCTGGAGCACTTTCTCAAAGGCGCACCTCTAAAATACTGTTGCCATTGAACATATATGACGCGAAATGTGACCCACAACCAACACTCAAAACTTTAAACATTGTGACTCACAATTATTATCACCTAACCAATGTTATTACAAATGACAAAAAACACACACAGTAACACAGTAACACAGTGAATAGGTTCGCTCGTCTTGAACCGGGATTCCTATACACACACAAAGAGCCCTGAGCATATCGGCAAATGAACCAGCCAATGAAAGACTTTATTACACTTAAGTGCACACTCACCCGCTCTGACTGGGTTCAGTATCCCGGGTCCAAGAAGTACATTGAGGAAGGGAAATTAATCTTTGATGTATTTAGTGATGAAATACTACATTTATCTGGAAACATAATACCAATAATTTACTCAAGTCAAATAATGTGTTATGTTACTTTCATGTGAGTGAAAGAACATGTTGTGACAGAACTGCTGTCGGCCTTTGTAAGACAGGTGAAATTAGTTAAAAACAGAATCAATACAACTTATAGCTTTTTCTGTCAAAATATTCTCATCTGATGATATTGTCACTGGAAGCTTTTCCTCACATGAAAGTCTCATGACTTTAAAACCTGAACATGGTAACACAAGTGAGTGAGTGAGAGCGGTTTTATGTCACTTTTAGCAATATTCCAGCTGTATCTTAGTGGAGGACGCCAGAAATGAGTTTCACATATTGTACCAATCTAAACTCTGGCCATCACTGTGACCAGGAAACAATGTAACCACTGTGCTACCCCATGGCTGGGGGGGTCCTAAGAAAAAGACAAATATCCTCATTGGCTTTTTTGTGAAAGAGAAAACAAGGTTCACTTCAGGAAAATGGTTTAGGAATTGTGTAGTATTTTCATCAAAGGCCTTATGGTTTTGATGAATGTGCCAGGATACATGAGCAAGATGTGTAACCAAATGGTATAAAGCGGTATCAGTAGAACCGTGGTATTTTGGCTTTGGTTCGGTATACAGTAATGCAAAAAATTCAGTATTTTTGGTTTTCACGCCATCATTTCTATCTAGTCATAAATGCCAGTTTTGTTCATTCAAAATAACAAAGATTATGACTATTTTTCCCCCAAATATACAATGTGTGTCAGTGTTGGAAATAGAGCCAATGCTTGGTTAGAGACTGGTATCATTAAAACAAAACTTGTTTTACTTTTTGAAAATTAACAATTTACTCAGATAGGAATTGCAATTCCAAGCCAGTCCAAGTAAACTTAGGCTCAGTATTATTTGTTAAACTGCTATACAGTATAGCAGTGTAACGAATAATACTGAGCCTAAGTTTACTTAGATTGAATTCCAAGCTGACAACATCTTGAGCTCTTGATACGTTTATTATCAGTATCAACACAGCATGTATGGTTTACTTGAAACATTTTAAATTAAATTATTGGTTTATAATGTTTAGGAACAGTTTCCTGTTTGTGCTTCAGCAGACTCTATAATAACGAAGTACTTCTCTGATACTACATCACAGAAATGGAAGGCGAGAAAAAGGTAAGATTGTGTTGATTGAAACTGTTTATCTTAGTGAACAGATAATCAAATAGAGATGGGAGAGGGCCAGTCATCATCAGCGATGTGTTTGTGTAAATCGGACTCGCTGAGATGAAGCTCTCATTGATGTCAGTCGGACTGACCCTTGGCTAACTGCCTCCCAGAAACTGCCCATCGGGAAAATTAATCACTCTCGTTATCAGTGTTAGTTCTCGCTGCAAGTGATTTCTACCAATACGTCATTTCATGGGCTAACTGGAACAAACAGTTGCGATCGCTGATATCATTATTCCAATCAGTGAAATTATTATCTGAATACAAAATTTAGATTGTTTCCGAAGTACTATTCACCCTGCTACATGTTAGAATATTGATTGGAGGTTGCAAGACTCCAGATATTGTTTTGAGCAGTAGAGTATGTACTCAAACGTTATCATTCACATTAGGCATTAGGCATTCAATGTGTTTTTACTCTCCTGGGTCAATTCCAGTGGGTATTAGCGATATAGATCTACATGTCATTTGACAATAAATAAAACATAGCATAGTTCAGGTATGTGTGACGCTCCCCTTGATCTGTAACTAAACATCTGTAGAGAAACTCTGATAGATGGAAAGGATAATGGTTTAATTACTCAGAGTGTTTTTAAAAAAATTATGCATATTTGTACCTCTGCAGCACAAAATTCATTGGGTTATTGTAACTTGCAAATACACAACCTATCTGTAGCTAGGGACCATTCATAATTTATGGCTAGGGGAGGTGATGATGATTTTGATGATGATTATGTGTCGAAAATAATATGAGAAGAGAGATTGAGGGGTAATTGATTTTGTACATGACATGCAGGGGGGTCACTTACTTTGTATCATCACCCCCCTTGGACATAAATTTTGAACGTCCCCTATGGGACGACAGTTTATAGGACTTTGCTCATCGTCTGTCAGTCTGTCAGTATGCACTGAAACTACAAGTACTTTATAACTAATTCATACAACACATCACTATCTATTTTCATGCTCCATTTCCTTAATGACCCATGCTGCAATAAAGCAAATATTTCACTCGGGAAAAACAAATTATTTCAGTTTTAATTGAATGGTTTCCTGCCATGTGTGTATATGCTGCTGTGACTGAGTATTGATTTGATATTTGAAATACAAATGTATCATACAATATTGTGTAATGAATTATATAACAAATCTGTGTATCACTTATTTCACAGTATACATTTTATCATGCAAGTTTGAATATCTATTTGTTTGTGAATATCAAATGAACCGAGTCAGTTTTCACAATGAAAACAGATCTGTTTGTTCCTTTATAAATGATTATCTTCTGTTGTTTGTTCACGCGAAGTGATACGATGTCATTTTCTTACCCACTGAAAAATTGTTTAACGAAAGTGTAACCCATGGATAAGCTTACCACCTCCTGCAGTTTTTGTCCTCAAAATTCGGCTTATATACGGTAACTTATTGTGGCAGTGTCTATGGTAACAGACAAAAGTTGTCCTATCCAGACCGCTTTACAATCCGGACAAATGAGTCGGTCCCTGGCCAGTCCGTAATGGACAGATTCCAGTGTATCTTGATTACTAATGGTTGTCATCATGCTACCTCTGAGAATCAACGCAGGTCCAATGGAAATGGCAAATTTGTCTTTGGACAACTACCGGTAAGAAATCCTGCCATTTTCCAATAGGCAAACTGTCATAGGGTTAACAGGCTTGTGCCAGTTAGCACAACTCAAAGATTTCATCCAGTAGGTTTGGATCAAAAACAAAACCAATTTGTACCAAAACAATGGGGCAAAGTTTGTACCAAACCTGACACAAAATTTGTACCTAAAACAGGGCAAAGTAGTAAGCAAAATGATGATGTTACAAGATACCTGTATCTTTCATTCATTGTCTTCATTTCAGGATGACGGTAAATCACCAAAGAAGCCAGGTAAGATGGGTGAAGAACTACACCAACATGTTTCATATCCTGGAGTTGGGAAGGGCTGGGACTTTTGTAGAAAGAGCACATTTTTGTGTTCACAGCTTCAAAACATACAGATTGTTTCTGAAGGGAAGAGGCTGACCAATTATATTTTTAATCACAAAACTTTCATGTCTGTGGTTCCAGTACATTCCAGCATGTCCAACAGACTTTTCTTTAGGAATAAAGCCAGAAGTCAAATTACATTTTGTATTAGTTTCTTGAACAAGTTGTTTTCAAATCATATCACATGGTTGGACCCTAATATTGCATCCTGTTTCTGAGCTCAATCCGATGCAGGGAATGAAAGGTGTATACCCTTCTCTCCCACCTTCTTTTTCACCGCCAAATAGCTGGAATAGTGCTGAGTGAGACAAACCAAAACGAAACATTTTTCACACAGTTTACTCTTTAATCGAATATGGCATGTTGATTTCTAAGCATGGCTATAACACATGTGTCATATCTAAGTAAATAATCAGAGCTAAGTCTGTTGAATATCTTCACCATTTTGCAGATGATGATAGCTTTTGGATAATAATGTCATCGTGTCTCTTTTTTCTCAGAAGGCAAGGAAGAGGGAGCTCAGGGGACACAGGTAAGTGTCTGCTAAGACCTTCATTTGTTTCATTATTTGTCATACAGATTTATTTCTCTCAACTGTGATTCATTTGTCTACATAAAAATATATATCAATAATTCTATGTGAAGAAATTAGTGTAGGGTAGTTAGAATGACTCAAGTCCAGAAGAATTTGCAGTTGCAGATTCTAACCCAAAACGAGGTCACATGTACGTAATGGTGGTCATATCAAAACATGAACAGAGAATAAATGAGAAATGGGAATACAGCCCTTGAAACACTGCTAGTGAAAAAAGGAATTGTATCTGGAAATTCTTAGTGAAATGTGGCAGAAATGTTAACACTTTTATTGAGATTCCATTTGAACATAGTCACGTTCTGCTTGGAGTAATGTTCCATCTGTGAATCCTATTTATTGGCTGCTTCTCATGATGCAAGCCGGGGGACAGGCAGGGAGAGAAACTCTGTTATTATGTTTGGTCCATGTATCTATGCAGTAATTATGAAAAATAGAATTTAAGCTGGGTTGTTTTGCACATTCCCGATATTTTTAGTGTGAGTGAGGATCTGTCTAGGAAATAAGAAACCACCAAAGCTCAATACTGTTACTGTTATCATCCTGGGTCCCGATCCACAAGGCACCTGTAGGGCTACAACAATCGTAAGCCTATGATAAACTATAGAGTTACGAATGGTTGTAACGTTACGACCACTTTGTGAATTGGGGCCTAGGTATTGTAGAGGAAGAAGTCTATACGCTATGCTTGTCGATTCCTTGCCTGTCGGGGTTAGGTGGGTTCAGCATGCCACCTGGCTGTTTGTGTTGTCAGGCACCGATGACATGGGTTGTGGCAAAAATATTGCTGAGAACATTCACATATCTGCTCACTGATTTGGGGTTGGGCACCACAATTCTCTGTAGAGTTATCTCTCTTAGGAATGCCAGGATGCTGTGATAATGGGATTGGAGTCCCAGACTCTTAGCATTGGTTTGTCAGCACCATTTCACCAAGATGGATAAGAAGAACCGAACCCAAAACAGAACCTTACTCACTCACTCACTCTTGCACAAAATGTAAAGGTGCCACCAGCCCATTATACAGGTACAGTGTATGATAAGTACAATTGTAACATGAGCGCGGTATAGAATACACGTACATTGAGAACATTAGTGTAACTAGATATCATTTCACAGATATCCCTTTGAAAAAGGAATCACATTTCTTAGCAGCAAGAAATATATATTTTGCCAGATTCTTGCATATGTTATGATTAGTGGAGCAAAAAAGCAACTCATACCCATGAGTTGTAAATGCATAGTCCTGACCAACATTTCTTAGCTAACACATGGATGTGGACCTAAGGGTATGTCAAAAGGCAACATGTTTACTGAAGATGTGCTGACTTATTTGTGAAAAACTCTTTATTCATTAGATTTTAGTAATTATTAAATATCCATTGATGTGTACATAAAAATATATCTATCTGTTTCAGGCTGGAGGAGCAATAGATGCACGTAAGTTGACTTTGCCATTGAAATCTGACTGACTCAGATAAACCACTAGATTTGTGTATTCGTGTCTATATAATAAATATGGTCTACATAAGTTGACTTAGGTTAAAGTGGAGTTGTCATGGGTCATGATGCATGTATTATTTGCTGTGTTGTGAAGTTTACCCGAACTTTACAATACCTTCACTTGTATATGTTATATTCATAGTTTGATTTTGTATCATGATAAAGTTATTTTAGTTTTACAAGAGACGTTTTCCATTGACCCATTAGCTAGACTGTTTAGACTGTTTTCAATGGATTCTTGCAGTTTTTATCTAAAGTAAACTACTGGTTTAAATGATCGTCAGGTGCTGTTTTCATTTTCTACATTTACAATCCGGCACTGATGCTTGGAACAGGCAGAGGATTTGTTCTTGGAATCAACGATCACAATTCTTTTCACTGAGAACCACAATTCTAATTGTGCTTGTTCCATGAATCAAGAACCACAATTCTAATTGTGCTTGTTCCATGAATCAAGAATCACAATTCTAATTGTGCTTGTTCTGTGAATCAAGAATCACAAATCTAATTGTGCTTGTTCCATGAATCAAGAATCACAATTCTAATTGTGCTTGTTCCATGAATCAAGAATCACAATTCTAATTGTGCTTGTTCTGTGAATCAAGAATCACAATTCTAATTGTGTGGTACTCCTATTGTTACAGTTTTAGCAAATGACTTGTGATGTAAGACAACATATAATTCGGAATATTATCGCAAATTGGAAGTCATGATTCAAGATACCTTTACCTATTCTTCATCTTTATTTATGAAGACAAGGCGTTTTGATCCTTCAGTTGCAGCAGGCTTGAGCAAATACTTCACCAGCGCTGTCAAGTTAGATGATGTGGAGAAAGTTTTGAGTGAGGTGACCTTCGAGGGAGTGGCCAAGTATCTGAAGAGTGACAAGTGCACCAATGTCATCACAATGGCAGGTGCTGGGATATCGACATGTAAGTGTTTTCATGGAGACACAAGGTTATATGTAAGTGTTGTCATGGAAACACAGGGGTATATGTAAGGGTTGTCATGGGAACATCCAGTTAACCCATAAAGGTCCAGGTATAATTTGGTTTTCAACAACCCATTCTTGTTGCAAGAGGTGATCAGGTGGGCAGTGCTCAACAACAAACAAACAAGATGTCCAGTTTTAGTGATGGGTCTTTTTATTAGGTCAAGCAAGAACCTAAGAACCTATACCAAACCATTGCATCATAATATAATAAAATAGTTGTCAGCCATAAAGCATCTTACTTTTCTTATTATTCATCAACTTCTAAAATGCCTTTCAAACAGATTGTGTCTTTTTAGGTTTAAAAATGTAAGACTGTAATGTAGTTAATGCATATTTATCCAAATTATTGCAGATAGATAAACTGGATAATTGAGAATTTAATGTCCTATATAGACCTTAGGTACAGTGATTAAATGCCTGGAACCACCAAGAAAGTAGTCGGGAGTCTCAAAAAGACCTTTAAAATATACAGTCCCACCCTAATTGTCCCCTGCCGCAACGCGGAACGGGGACTATTTATTCAGCGGTGTCCGTCCGTCCGTACGTAAGTACGTACCAATTCTTGTTAACGCAATATCTCATGAACTGTTGTACCCAGTGTCTTCAAATTTGGTGACAGCCTACATTGGGGGATTACCCAAACACCAGTCGATTTTGGGTGACCTTGGCCTTATTTTCAAGGTCACCACGACACTTTGACCACATTTCAAACTCTTGTTAACGCGAAATCTCATGAACTTTTGTACCCAGTGTCTTCAAATTTGGTGACAGCCTACATTGGGGGATTACCCAAACAACAGTCGATTTTGGGTGACCTTGACCTTATTTTCAAGGTCACCACGACACTTTGACCACATTTCAAACTCGTTTTAACACGAAATCTCATGAACTTTTGTACTCAATGTCTTCAAATTTGGTGACAGCCTACATTGGGAGATTACCCAAACACCAGTCGATTTGGGTGACCTTGACCTTATTTTCAAGGTAACCATGACACTTTGACCACTTTTCAAACTCGTGTTAACGCAATATCTCATAAACTGTTGTACCCAATGTCTTCAAATTTGGTGACAGCCTACATTGGCCATATCTCATAAAACATTATGTCATTATGTCAACAGCCTACATTGGGTGATTATGCAGACACAGATTATTTCAGGCATCTTGTATGTGACCAAGAAATAAAAAGTAGTAAATATGTTATAGATATTCCATTATATAGTGGCGGGGGACATTGACACATCAGTGGCAAACACTAGACTCTTTTAGCTCTGTTAACAGCTGATCTGTTTTCTGTTAACAGCGGCAGGTATTCCAGACTTCCGAAGCCCAGGAAGTGGCTTGTACGACAACCTCCAGAAGTACAACCTGCCAGACCCTATGGCCATTTTCAGCATACAGTATTTTATAGTAAGAGGATGAATTGAACTTTTTGATATATTTTAATTTTATAATTTAAAAATGTATTAGAGTTTATGTAGTTAGGTTTTACATGGTTTCTTGTTTTCCTGTGAGTGAGTGAGTGAGTGAGTTGGGTTTTGCGCCGCTTTTAGCAATGTTACAGCAATATCACGGCGGGGGACGCCAGAAATGGGTGTCACACATTGTACCCATGTGGGGAATCGAACCCAGGCCTTCGGCGTGACGAGCGAACGCTTTAACCACTAGGCTACCCCACCGCCCCTGTTTTCCTGTGACATGATGTAGCACTTCAATATTATTAAGAGAGGTGAAGTGTGCTAATATATTCATGGTTTACCTTATAATTTTTCTACCAATAACTATATCAAAATTATGGTTTTATCACTGTGACTATTGCTTATATCTTGTATGTGTATTCCGAAACCCTTATCTACCGGTAGTTCCGTCTTGTATGCTCAGTTAATGAACGATCAGCATGATAAACACTTAAATCAACTGGAAATATTGCCAAGAATCATGTTAGGGCTGATGGTATCTAGTGTTTTGGGCACAGGCTGCTATACATTTGGTGCTCTTAAACATTATTCCATTATGCAATGTTACTTTGTTTACAGGAACATCCGGAACCATTTTGTCACCTTGCAAAAGAACTTTGGCCAGGGCATTTCAAGGTCAGTGAGAAGATGCAGAGGCTGTGAAATACTTGTAGCCATGGAACATTCATGAAACGTTAACTGAACCAGTTGCCTGTTGACTTATTATTAAATATCCTTGGTCTGTGTGATTTGTGATTGTGGTAAATGAGTTTGTTTGAGATGCTTGTGTGAATGGGTGCTTATGGCAATCATAATGCTAAGACTTCTTGGAAAAGGGTTTTAATGCTTTGCAAATCAAGTCGGCAAGCCTTTAATCAAATTGCATTTAAAAAAAATGTTAGTCCTTCAAAAAGATTAAAAGTAGTAGAGAAATAACCAAATAAAACAAACTCCTTAATATTCTGAAAGTCTTTAAAGACACAATGGCACACATTTTCGACAATAGTGCTTATTTTCGATTGCTCAGTACATTGAAAACTGTCGAACGCTGTGTTGTCGGTGTTTGCCAAACTGGCCTCAATCACAAGTTGCATTATAGGATATTCGTAAAGAGCATTCCAAGGGACATAACTCTACGGGGTCAACTTGAAATAATGTTCGGACGGATAGAGGGCACCGGAGTCAATTTAATGCAACGTTGCATTAATTCATTCTAACTTTTTTATTTAATATTGTAATCTAAATACGTATTATTATTATTTTAAATAAATAATATGGTTGCTTCCCTGAGTGCTGATAGTTAGCATTATCGAGAGACATGCATTATTTACTTTTAGAGAAATGTGGTGTGACATTGTGCCTTTAAGATGTATGATGGATTTCACTATCGATAAGTAACGAGTGACTGGACATCAATGTTGAGGTATGTCAATGTGAATGATGATTCTCACTCGGACAATATGTTTGCAGTATTTGGCCATGAGTAACACATAAATGTTTCTATGTTTCTGTCAGTTCACTGAATATTATTTCTCAGGTTTTTTACAGTGTGTCGCTACAATACGTGTTTCAGCCCACACCCTGTCACTACTTTGTGAAGCAGCTCCACGAGAAGGGGAAGCTACTCCGTCATTACACACAGGTGAGTGGGAAATAAGATAGTTATGCACAGTAATTTTATTGATTAGATATCGCCTTGTGCCCCCAACATGTTAGTCAAACTATCAATCACTGGTTTGTCTGGTCAAGATTCAGTTGTTTACAGATCGCTGTGATACTGCTGTATCATCCACTCACTCACGAGTGTCAAGGGTTGTCAGAAGTGTTGATTGGCATTGTCGTTGTCTGTGTTAATCATAAATTGGAACAGATGGGTCATGGTGAAAGGCAAGTTGGTATTTTGTGAATGTATTTTCTACATGTTTCAGAACATTGACACACTGGAGCATTACACGGGCCTCCCCGCGGACAAGATAGTAGAGGCTCATGGGACTTTCCGTACTTCACACTGTCTCACATGTCAGAAGGAATTCTCACAGGACTGGATCAAAGGTACGTCATCAACACATCTATGTATCCACATACAACCCAGAAGGTGAACCCACCTCCCTTTTTGAAGTAAACTAGAAATACGAAAATAGCATAATTTGGGTGAGTGTGTTTGATAAGTGGAAACATATTATCCACCTCTGACTTGTTAGTCAATATACCATATTTGCTGTAATAAGTGTCCTGGGCTCTAAGAAAACGATTCACATGGAGCTAAATTTGTTGTCAGAGTTTTGGGTGTAGTGAACAAACATACACCCCAATCTCTGACAACAGATTCAAACATCAATCAAATGTTTGTAATGAAGGTCTTTGACAATGATTTTTGTCCAAAAATTTCATATGCTCCCCAAATATGGGTATTATGTATATGACCCACCTGCTCCTGTAATATGTACTGAGGGAAACAAATAGAGCAACACCACTTCATGGCAGTGTTCCTTATCTATTCGCAAATTTTCTCCCACAGTGCTATTCAAAGCTGGTGATGAAAACAGGAAAATATTAAAGGAAAACTTGTTTGCTCTCAGTGTATGTCTGGTATCTAAGTAAAGTAGATAATAATGCAAGAATGATTGATAACAGTGGTAGCAGTGTTTAAAATTAAACATGAATATTCAATTAATGTGGACTGTTCTGAAGTGTTTGTATTTGTCTCATACAGAGAAGATATTTGCTGAGGAGACTCCTACCTGTGATGCTGAAGACTGCGTGGGGCTGGTCAAGCCAGGTATGTGGTCAGTGAATCAATCGCCTGAACCATGTTATGATGTTTTTGACATCATAGTGTCACACGCCAGATCAAGAAAGTGACAGCAAGAATGTTTTTTCTAATCATGTAACCTCAAAAACTGATAAAAAGGTTAACTCAGGATATTCTGAACAGCAGCTACAGGCTTTAGGGCTGATTTCGTACAAATTGTCAAGGATATAAACATTCCAAACAAAGTACACTTTCCGAGCCCATAGGATGTACTGCCATACAAACTCTTCTATCTGGAAGAATTTCCTGAAATGTCTCTTCTTTGGTTTTCAAATTTTGAAAAAAAAGCTGTTGCCAGTTTGAAACCAGTGCTGAAAGATGATTTTAGCAAGCTAATGTTGACTTCCCTCAATGTTTGAAAAAGGTCGTTTTGATGCGAAGTGTTGTCTAATTTTTGTGTAAAGGTAGTGAGCACTGAAATCTTATTTTATGAGACTGTGTGTAGGGAAGGTATTTGCCACTCACTTCTGCCTGAAACAGTCTGTCTTTGAAGTAAGTTGGCAGTTCCAACTTCAGTTGAACCCACCTCAATGGTTTGTTCACACTCCATGATACAATATTGCATGGATATGTATTTCTTGATACCTTTTAACTAGTATCATTTCAAGTTTTTCCTTAGTCATTGTATATTATAAATAATACCATGGCAGTCTTATTGAATATCCAGTTTAGCCACACATCTACCCATGTCATCAGAGATAAACGAATGAGTATATGTTAAGAGCTTGAAAAGTAGCTGGATGATAGACATTGAAAAATATTCATAAGAGTAACACTAAATAATTAGAATGTTTTGCCAATTTTAAACAAAAAGTTCAGTCCTTTATCTGTTCAAGGCAATACATTATATAATGACTAAACATCTGTGGAATTTTGTGAAGCGTGAATGTTAGTTATACTGTGTGTAAAGTGTATTTGCATGTTCAGCAAAAAGAGAATGCAAAGTGATTTTCTTTATCTGTACAAGGGGACATTAACATAATGTGAGGCAGACTGCTTGATACTGAGATGGCCTGGAAGAATATCTAATGAATAACTAATGGTGCTGTTTTGTTGTAGATATTGTTTTCTTTGGTGAAAAGTTGCCTGACAGATACTTCAAGTGTGTTGAAGAGGTAAGAATAAATGGTTACAACATGCATCATCAATACTTCAAGGATTTGTATTTGTTAACTTGAATACATACCGCGTGTCATGACTAGTTTTGACCAGTGAATCAAACACTGGTCTTGTTCTAGCAAGAGGAGTATGTAATCATATAAGCTTCCACACTTCAGTTTTGCTGGAGTTCAATCACAAATGTGGTAACATGAAAAGAGCAAACAGTAGTATACCAACATTCTGTGTAAGTACTGATTGTAGCCATGTTAGATTGCAAACCTGTATGACTTTATAGATCTATATTTACTGATCAAATGTGAGCATCACACATACAGGAACTCTACGTGGTAAATAATGCAATAACATGTTGCGTCCCTCTTGTTGTATCCCTATTTTGAGATGATGTAATTCCTGACACATTTGTGGCATGACATGGGCAGACGTAAAAGTCAACAGCTCCTTTTTAACGGCATATGTTTATTACTGGTTTACTCATTGGTTTAAAAAAAACTATCCAATTGAATTGACTCAACAGATGACAAAATTTGTTGAATACTCAAAGAAAGCTATCATTCATTGCCCAAACTGAAAGATAATATTTGTATTAATACTCAGTGGCTGGCAAAATATTATCCGGAGCTGTGATCCACGCAACTTCACTGGAATATAGATGAGTAATGTGCATGTATCTATCTTTCTCCAGGACCTTAAGAAATGTGATTTGCTCATCATTCTTGGAACATCCCTGTCAGTGCAGCCGTTTGCAAGTCTCACTGGGCGGTAAGTGAATTAGTGATACAATATTGTCTAAAGTCAGTGTATGAAATTTGCCAAAACTCCAGCCAGACATCAGGGCTGGTAAATTCAAAATGTTACCATCCCAAAATGGATTTAACCAGACCAAATATGGTGAATTTACTCGGATGTATTGAACATCTACAAATTGTACCAGACCGTCGGGCTGGTTGGCTGTAAATTTAGACCGTCCGTCAGAAATCTAGACCGTCTCGGGCGGTCGGACGGGCCTTATTTCATACACTGCTATGGTACCGCAGTTTACTCTACAAAGTGCATCCTGTATGTTTTATGGAAACCTCTGATCGTGGGTAATTATCCCAGATGTTTTTCCTGATTATGGTTAGTTAATGGGTTTAACACAAAGTGATAAATGGTAAGATCTGCATCACTTCAGACTTCCTTTCAACAAGCTGAAAGGTTGTGTATACTGTTCAATATTTGGAAAGCGTTATGAAAAACGCATTGTTTATTATTATTATTATTATTATTATTATTATTATTATGTTTGTATTTCAGAGTGCCAACAAAAACACCCCGCTTATACATCAACTTGGACAAAGGAAACACGAACGTAAGATTCAAGCATTTCTCATTACGACTGAATATTGTTGTGGACAAGGCTGCATGGCAACTCTGAAAACAGCCTTCTGTTCCTGAAATTGTACATGACATTCTAAATAATAGATCTTATGACATGGTCTCTACTAATGCCTACATGCAATCTGTTGATGGGACTGAAAATTCATTAAATATAAATCTTTTAATCAATATTCATACTAGACATTTGAAAAATTATGTATGGTGTGTTTAGAGTTTTCAGAAGATTGCTGAATAGCCTGGGATACTTAATGCTGATAATCTTTACCTCAGTCTGCATACAAACCAATGCCTGGCGTAACAAACAATTCAAGTTAATTGTCAATTACCATGTCTGGTATGTTTTATCAAAACTGGACATTGCTAGACATGAAGATTTGTTATTGTAATTTCATTTCCTGTTGTGCAAGGAACTGTTTTGTGTGCAGACTCATTCATTCTGATATTGACCTTTTACTTCTTATTAAATATTGACCTAAATTCAATGTAGGTGGTATGGAAAAATCAAGAAAGTTTTCAAAGATTTTTATACATATTGATCACTATTTGTTATAAACAGAGGGGATGAAATTCATGGGTTTTTTACCATATTGAGGGAAATCCTTTTTGTAAAAGTCAATCTATATTTTCATTTATAAATTCAGGGCATTTTATCTTATTACCCAGCTAAAAACTGAGTTCTTTGAAGTGTATGAATGTATAATTGTATGATTAGGACATGAAGCTATTGTGGTTGAAATTTTTGGTCCAAGGTATGTGGTACAGGTGAAAAACTGTAATTGTATTATGGAAAAAAAATAGGAGAGCTACCAGTCATGACTGAGAAAATATTAACTTGTACAGTGATGGAGCAGTCTAATAGCCTGTTGCAATAAGTGACATTATGATATTAGATCTGAGTCAGATACAAGTGTACATAATAGAACGTCAACTGAGGGTGATGTGTGTTGCGTTAGTCTGTCACACAGACCCAGAAACAAATATACCCAATACAGCCCATGCAAGTCTATATTACCACAGTTTCAGAAAAATGAAGAAAGCATCTGCTCCTTTCTATTATATTTTATTACTGGTAAGAGTGAGTGAGTTTAGTTTTACACCACTTTTAGCAATATTACAGCAATATCACAGCGGGGGGACACCAGAAATGGGCTACACATTGTACCATGTGGGGATTCGAACCCAGGTCTTCAGTGTGACGAGCGAATGCTTTAACCACTAGGTTACCCCACCACCCCTTTTTTATTAAGAGGATTTAGGAACCGTTTTTTTCTGTAAATTTGTTAATTTGAGAGACAAGTTGTTTGTCTAGTGTCACGTGTACCTCTGACTTACATGTTTGCAGGTTGATCCCTTCATGATGCTGTTCATGGGCGGCGGAGCCACACTCAACTTCGATGACGAGAACAACTATCGCGATGTCTTCAAACAAGCAACGTGTGATGAAGGCTGCTACAGCCTCTCGGACCTGGTGGGCTGGGGGGTGAGTCAGGATGACCTCCTACCTTCCTCTGGGAGAATCCAAGTCACTTTCAGGGGTGGGGTCTAGGTGCTTGGTGGGGAGTGGTTGGTAAACGGTTCATGATGCCTTCATTGTTTTGTACGAGTCAGTGAGTTTAGTTTTACGTCGTGTTCAACAATATTCCATCAATATCACGATGGGGGGGACACATTGTATCCATCTGGGGAATTGAACCTGGGTCTTAGCATCTTAGCATCTTAGCACTAAAGAGGGCAGTGGGATAGCCTAGTGGTTGAAGCGTCTGCTCGTCACGCCAAAGACGTCTGATTCCCCACATGGGTACAATGTGTGAAGCCCATTTCTGGTTTCCCACGCTGTGATGTTCCTGGAATATTCCTAAAAGCAGCTTAAAACCACACTCACTCACTTAGCATTAAGGTGATTGTATCTCCCATACCCTGACATAGTCATAACACTAAAGTTGTTTTGTGAAATGGCACCCAGTCCCCAAAGTCCAATTGATTGAATCCCAGTGTCTGTCTGTGATAATTGTGTCACATTTCCAGCATTGTGTTACGGACATTGAGATTAGCAAGGCGTGTTATCAGTTACCTGTGAATACACTGACACGTGTCACTCAAGATGTTATGATACGTGAGGAGCAATGAGGATTATGAACATAAATTCTGCCATCTGATGAACATCGTATAACTGCTGTAAAACAGGAAGTCAAGTCTATTTATTGCTTGCCGAGGGAGCAGCCATTTTGTCGTTTTATTGTTTAGACCCATGTTTAAATGCAAGCATTGATGAAGGTTTCATAAAGGTTTAATGAAAACAGGAATTGGTTTTAAAGACAATGAATACTCCTGAAGAATATCAACACATGATCGAAACAAGCATGTTGATTGGCAGACAAGACTGTCAACAAAATGCCTGCTTCCCCACACATGTTCGCTTCAAGAAAACATTTTGTATTTGCGAAAGGCTCAGTTTTCGTCAAATTTATGAACAAGGATAGACATGGATAGATTTATTGATATTTGTTACATCTAGTCTTAGATCTATAGCCGTTCTGATTTCTGCATTGAAGTCGACACGTAGATCTACTGTTCTACTTTCTTAGTTTTCACACACACAAATATCTTGACGTACTTATCATTTAGCTGTAAAAGGTGTGATCTAAATTCGATAATCGATTATGGTTTTAGACGTTGTTTCTCAACACTAATTACACACACACAAACTTAACATGGATCATGATTGTCCTGTTTTTGACCATGAACGTGATCTGTACTCATAATTTGATAATCTGACATCTTCATTAATCCAACAATTTGCTGCGCAACGGACGATGTCAGATTAACGAGACTTGACTGTAGTAAGTGTGTTAGCTGGAAGTTAAGGATTAGCCAGTTCATGGCATGTAGGGTGTCCTGAAAATATGTGTCTATTCACATACACTTAGTATTATGGGATGGAAGTGTAATCTTTCTGAACAATCATTCTAATTCTTTGTAGAAGGAGCTACGGCAGACGGTGGAAAAGGAGCACAAGCGACTTGATGCTGAGATTGCCGAAGATAAACAAAAACCAAAAACAGCCAAGGGAGCCTCGAAGTAGTGACTCAGCGATATCTTGCCTGGTTTCTACTTCCTTCATCTGTCAGCATCCGACATGAAGAGTATTGCTCATCTAGGTCATGGTCATCTGTAGCGTAATCGACCTTGCAGTCTCGTTGTTTGTGATTTCTTTGAGTTTTCTAATTCCTACTTCACTTACTTTCTATTGGAGCTGGAAATTTGCAATACATTGTTGAACTGTATATGGTACACACTTTCCAAGTATTCCATGAAAGTGTTCAATGTTGAGTAATCAAAAGCTAAAAATCAAATATTTTAGACAAATATTTTGTCCGATATTTGTATTATTTGGAGAAAGAGATGAGACAAATACACAATTAAACAAAGTAATGCTGTCTATATGATAATGGTTTCATATCGTCCAGTTTCATTGGCCATGATATACAGAACTTCTATTGTCATATCATAGCATCATATCGTTGTATTGCATACAGTGGTGCAATAGTGAGTTGTTTCACACACAGACTGGCTAATGCTATTGGAAATAAATGACGTTTGTAGTTTCAAACATTGATGAAACATACGACATCAACTAAATATGGTGGATGGGTATCTGGTTTTCTGTTGATGTACTATGATATTTATTGATGATGATGATGATGATGATGATGCTGATAAAGTATTATGTTATATTAAATATGTATGTGATATTCTTTCACACTTCCAGTCAGCTTTTCCTACAACAAAGACGGACTATGAATTTTCAGATACAGGGCATGATTCAAGAACAGACTGTAGTTTTCTATCTTATGTTATGAAACAGTTACAATGATGTTCATAAGAAATCTTATTTACAAGTCAAATGAACCCTTACAAATATTCACATAAGAGTGCAGAGTTGTGGCCCTTGGATGTGCCATAATCTTGTGATCATAGGTTTCATTGACCCTTTATTGTTTTACACCAGGGGGCGGTGGGGTAGCCTAGTGGTTAAAACGTTGGCTCGTCATGCCGAAGGCCCGGGTTCGATTCCCCACATGGGCACAATGTGTTAAGCCCATTTCTGGTGTCCCCCGCCATGATATTGCTGGAAAATTGCTAAAAGCGGCGTAAAACTAAACTCAGTCAGTCAGTCAGTTTTACACCAGACAATTGTCTGCAGGTTTCACCAAACTGGTAGACATCTTAGACTTGCATTCTAAAGTATGATGACATGTTGTGCTTTAACTGAAATACTACTACTCAGGCAATGTTAAACTCAGCTCTCACCCTCGATATATGCCCAGGTACACTTTGAAACTGCCTGAATCTATCACCATTAGTTAGATAGTGCTTGGCGCGCTGTAAAATGTATTGTTCTCAATACGATAAATATTAAATGGAGTTATCACACAATAATCTAATGGTTGCAATGCATAAAAGCAGATTGTTGCACACTTATATTCAAATAACTGTGTTTCTACAAGTTTCATACTTTTATGATTCAAGATGATGGGCATGACTTTTTGTGACAGACGTGACAAATGTCACAACTATGAACTATATTCTACAGCTCTGTGAAAGGTGTGGCCCAACCTGATCATCGATCATCACCCAAAGTTTAGGTAAACGATGACATACATGTATACATAGTTGAATATAGTTGCACCTATACTCGTAATGTGTGTATATTCAAAACTCAGGTCTGTTACCTACAGTGCTACACATAGCCTGCGTAGTCTTATACAGACCCTGTAAACTATCCAAACCTGCTAGATCCTCATATCGTCAATGTTCTGAGGATGAAGAGTCTCTCAGGACATCTTTCTGTTGGATATTACATTTCCAAAGTTGACCTTCCTTCAGAGTAAGTTATGCTGTCTACGAAGTTTGCTAGAAAGATGATAAAATCAGAAGTGTCGGAAGTATTTTGTTGTGCTGTGATTGCTGTGATTAAAGAGGCCAAGGAAACTTGAAATCTTTTCACAAACTGGTCAGTTCTGTAGCGTCGTGAACCTTTCAAAGTTTCATTGTTGTTTGTCGTTTATTGAAGTTTTCAAGTTCTTTCTTAACTTACTTTCTACTGGAGATGGAACTTTTCTCAAACTGTTCAAGATGTTGTGAAACTTTGTGTGGCACATATTTTTTTTTTTGGTATTTAGTTAATATATTCAATTGTTTGAATTTACAGGGAAGACAACAAATTTATAGATATTTGAAGATAAAAAAATACAAATTTGAAAAAGAGAAATTGTCATTTGGCTCTGACCCAAGTATTATGGTAAAGAAGGTTTGACATTTGATTGGTTGGTCCTTCTAATCTTGACCAATCAGAAGTGTTTGCCTAGTTTCACATGGCCCTGTAGTGAACGACATTTCAAACCTGGGTTTTTTACATGAAATTACAGCAATTACTAATTCAATTGCAGTAACATTCATTATAGGCTATTTGTTTTTGAGTGAGTCACTATTTACACATTATTTAACTACATTAATGTATCTATAATATTAAAATCATTTTTCAATAGCAATGTTTTAATATTGCTGAAATATACATGTTTTGTTCAAGTTTGTGTTTGAAATAAGAGTGTTTTAATTGTTGTGAAATTTGTTTTACACATGTGTAATATTATTTATTTTATATTCATAGCAAATACAGTACTTATCTTTTTACAGTTTGTACTGCAAATAAGAAAAGTATGCTTCAGTAAAAACTCAAATTGAAAATAGCATTTTATCTTTGTAGTTGTTTCACCAAGAATTACTGAATGTATTTACATAACCCTACTGCCATTGTCAATACTTCACGTGTTTATCTGCACCACATTCCATATCACTCGTGAGTACATACCTGGTATCCCACAGGTTGAAAGTTTAAACCAATGAACTGAGACAATTTCTTAATCCAGTAAGAAGGAACCCAGCAAAGGCTCTGACCTATGAGCATTATATGAAATTGCACAAAAATATTTTTTGTTCATCTACACTGTACATTGCTTCAGTGTCAGAGGTGAGGTGAGGTGAGGTGAAATTGGGTTTTACGTCGTGCTTGAGAATATTTCGCTCATATGACGACGTGCATGCGTGTGTATGTGTATGTGCACCTGCTTGTACTAGTTTTATAGTGCTAGCTCACTGAGATACCATGCCGCAGTGAAGCATGAGTACCCCACTCAGACACATTATAATGACCCTGAGCCGACCAGTCCTTGTTGTACCCATTAATGCCGAGCGCCAGGCAGGGACCAACAAGTACCATATTTTAACGTCTTTTGGTATGACGCGGTCGGGGATCAAACCCCCGACCTTCCGCTCTCCGGGCGGACGCTCTAACCACTACACCACGGAGGCGGTCCTTCAGTATCAGACATGGTAGTGTTTGCATAGGATTCATGCATGAGGTAGGCCTCTGTTGACATAGCTTGTGGTTCGAGCGTTTGGCCGTCATGCTGAAAACATGGGTTCAATTCCCAACATGAGTTCAATGCGGGAAGCCCACTTCCTGTGATGATGTAGCTGGAATATTGCTAAAAACCATCCTCATCCAGTTGACATGCCATCAGTTATTTCACAGACATTGGTCAGTATCACACCCCATATCAGCTGGGGGCAGTGGGATAGCCTAGCGGTTAAAGCGTCTGCTCATCACAATGAAGACCCTGGTTCGATTACCCAAACGGGTACAATGTGTGAAGCCCATTTCTGGTGTCCCCTACCATGATATTGTTGGAATGTTACTAAAAGGGGCATAAAACCCAACTCCCTCACTCACCCATATCAGCTGTCTGTATTCACGCCAGGTGGAGGAACATGGTGCACACAAACCTGTTTAGTAATGGCGGGGTCTTGCTGCTGAGAGCATCCTTGACAAATGTCTTACTTTGGTGACTGTGATATGTGTCCATCCCTTGCCAAGTTTGTTTCTGTACTATGCAAACCCATTCAAGGCTCAATCTATGTTCACCATCTCTGTAACAGTGGGTTACAATGATCATTTTTATAAATTTGCAGGCACAAACTTTAAACTTCACAATCACTTTTATTTGGGGAAATTTAAAACATAAAATGCAATCTTAAGATTTTTATTTCAAAAGAATGTCAAATACATACCATTAGTAAAAATTACAAGGTGTGAGAAATGGTGAAATTTCGAAAATCTATTCATTAAATCAAAAATATTTAAACAGTTTAAAAGTAGTTATTCATTTAAGTCATTTTACTATAATTTTCATGAAATTTGAATTATTAAGATGATAACCCAACTGGTTGATTCCTGAATAATAAGAACAGATTCAACAACCAAATACATGTATATTGATATTTATTATATCACAAGAGATTTCAGAAAAAAATGAACAGGTATGACTTAATAATCATGTCTTCATTATTGAGACAGAATGATTTGGTTTGAATTTAATTTTCTCCATTTTTAAATTTCCATATGGTCATCTGATATAATGTAGGTAAGAGAACACTACTCATATATATATATATACATTTATCAACAAATGATCATGCACTCTAAATCTGTCATCAATATACAAGTCTTCTCTCTTATGAACAAAGGAAATCCAAGTGCCAAAATTGTTCATCGTTATTATATTTTGAGCAAATCCCAGTATTATATATTTGTGGTAGGAATAGAGGTAGAGTAAACAATGCACAATACTGATGGTGATGCTTGTGTTTTTATGTCATAATAAGGATAGAGAAAGTAGATGCACAAAGCATTATCACTACAACTCACCTCTCTTCTAGCCAATAGCCTATAGACCCATACCCAAGCTGTATTTACAATGCATCTGTTAACACAAGGTAAAAATAGAAATATGAAAGAAACACACATTCCTTAGCTTGTATTGAATAGCATAAATGTGTAAATACCCAGGTTATGTTTCCTAGAGTGACTTGCTGGAGATGCTGTTTCCTTGTTATTATGGGTAGGTAATGCTCCTGAATACTACATTATACTCTAAAGATGATAGACACAGGAAGGTACACTCTATTTGTTACCTTGATAAGTATGATAAGGACACAATTATTAACTGTTAGATTTTCTTCCACAATTTTCCAAAATGTGAAGCAAGGGCACTTTTTAAGAAAATTGTTTACATTTTTATAAATAAATTGTTCAAGGCTTATGTTTATGTTAAATCTTTATAGATGTGATTCCCATGAGGGATTATTATTTGCTGTTTCATGAAGTAAGTATGAAGACACAGCAAATCCTTTCATGTGTACTTTGTGGCTAGCAGGGGTGAAGTCTAATAATAATATAGTACGGTCTACTGACTAGACATTTTATTAATAAACATATTATGTAAACATAATTTTGATATAATGAATTGTCAAAAAATGTCATTTTTCTAGTCTTGAATGTTCTTTATTACCGGTGTTCATAAGAACATAAAGACATCAGGGGCGGTTGGGTAGCCTAATGGTTAAAGCGTTGGCTCGTCACGCCGAAGACCCGGGTTCAAATCCCCACATGAGCACAATGTGTGAAGCCCATTTCTGGTGTCCCCTGCCGTGATGTTGCTGGAATATTGCTAAAAGCGGCGTAAAAGTAAACTCAGTCAGTTAGTCATAAAGACATCAACAATGGCTAACGACTTCCACATTGTCTGTCACAATGTTTCAGGTGAGGTGAGGTGAAATTGGGTTTAACGTCGTGCTTGAGAATATTTCGCTGATATGACGATGTGCATGCGTGTGTATGTGCGGCTGCTTGTACTAGCCCAGACTTAAGCTGGTTTTATAGAGCTAGCCCACTGAGATACCATGCCGCACTGAAGCATGAATACCCCACTCAGACACATTATACTGACTCCGAGCCGACCAGTCCTTGTCGTACCCATTAATGTCGAGCACCAGGCAAGGACCCACAAGTACCATATTTTAACGTCTTTTGGTGTGACATGGCCGGGGATCGAACCCGCGACCTTCCGCTCTCCGGGCGGACTCTCTAACCACTACACCACGGAGGCGGTCCACAATGTTTCAGGGTTCCTTGCAATCAGGTAATACAGAGTTACAGTATTTAGTTCATACATAGATATGCTGATCTGATTACACAAAGGAAGGATTACTTATGTAATGTTATCTGTATGCAAAGATAACTTAATGAGGAAGCCTATTAAGTATTAAGTGAAAGTACAAGTTGATATCAATTAAGTTTCATGTTTTCAGATCTTGTTGCGGTGTTGTAAACATAATGCATGGACGAGATTCTTAACAAGGTCCTCTAGAGATGTATTATCAATATATCCTGACACTGAATAGAGTAACATGTTATATTTGGGATTATACTTTCTCAGTGAAGTACAGATTCTAGTACTTTTGTTGGGTTGAGTCCCATCTGGGATTCGAACCCACACCCTCAGAGTCAGTCGCCTAATTGCCAGCACACAAAGTCAGTCGTCTAACCTACTCAGCTATTGCGGCTTCCACTGGAAGGGTGTGGGTTCGAATCCTGGATGGGACTCAACCAACAAAAGTACTAGGATCTGTACTTAACTGCGAAAGTGAAATCCCAAATACCACATGCATTACATTTGACCACATTTGGTGTTGTTTATTCACTGAATAGATCACATTGTATTAGTTGCTGTTCAATTTCAAAATCTTGAAAATCCGAGGTTTTAAACCCTTGTGAACCAGCACAGTGATTAGCATGGTAGGTTGTGTGTTGGTTAGGTACAGCACACAGTGCTTCCATCATGTCATGACAGACAAACAGATGGTCTGACCTCTTCATACACCCTTCCAACATGTCGTGGTTTAGCCACTCCATACACCCTTCCATGCATGTCATGCAGCCTTGAGACATTGTCACGTGATCATGACCTCTACCTGCATCTGTAACGCATCACCCAAACCATGACTACTCATGGTCTCTGGTACTGGCACAGGAATAACATTATTTCTGCTGTATGGCAAAAAAAAATGAAATGTTAGACATATCAAACCATGTGTGTTTTCTCATGAAAATCAGTTTCAGGTTCAACCTGTCATTGAGAGTTAGGGAGAAAGTAACCCATGCGGGGTCGGGATGGTACTGGCTCAGACTCTTCTTTGAGAAGGAATATTTGTTCTTTCACAGAACATGCTTTAAAAACATTTTATCAGGACATCCATCATATCTTGCATGTCTTTTGGTGTAAATATGAAGAAATAACTTTTTTGCCCAGTGCATGCTCAAATTATCAACACAATTCAGCCCCGCCATATTTGTCAAACTGACCTTACCTCACACTGGAGCCAGATGTTGTAAACAATTTGAAGCAGAAATACCAACAATATATTTACCATGTCATACCCTAACCTTGACAATCGTGTCAGCTTTCATCATTAAATATGGCTAAGGTTTCATTTGGAGTGATTATTTCTGATTTCCTTTCAAGCTCCTGGTTGTTTGAAGCTTAGTATAATACTTGAGAAGTTCAAACAAAACCATTTTTTTTTTTTTTTCAGATTACATGGTTTATATGTCTTGATATGACATTAATAATAATCAAGAAAAATTCAGGTGTTCTTTCATTTGTTTTGCTATACATACCATTTGTCATCTCTCAAGATAAATGCATTCCAATATTTTTGATTGGGTGATTGGATTCTATTACTACCATTCATTCTACCATCTTCATTCAGTGTTTAGATTTAACTGCATTCAGCACACTTATGTTGTACATCCAGTAATTAAACATATCCTAGTAACCCAGTCATTGGCACTTGTTATTCAGTACTCTGTAGATCATTGTTACCATGGTGACAGATGTTTGTTACGTGAAGTAGTGAAATAAATATTATTACTTTGACACTTTGTCTTGTAGTTTGTACTAGTTTAATCAGAAGAAACTAATGTTATTAAAATTGGCAGTCAGCAATATTCCAGGTGTATCCTGTTACACAAGACAAAAGAAAGTTCTATCATATCCTTGACTTTATGAGCACCCATGATAGAACGGTTAACGGCAATCTAGGCTGATCACAAGAGTCTACACAATGGTTCCAGTTGTCAGACTGTGATTTGTTGGCCGACTTCATAGATTGGGTTGTCGGACTCTGTGATTAGTTGGCCGACTTAGGATCCAGTAGTCAGACTGTGATTGGTTGGCACAGGGTTACCTCCCTTCACAAACATGAAGATCCCGGAGACCCCTAATTATTAGTTTTAAGGGTCCTTGCGGGCAAAACAAGGGTCCTGTGAAGTAACAGTGTAGTGAACTGTACCCTTTGATAACTTCTTTAGAGCCTGGAATGAATCTTTGATCATGTGATCTGACGTATGAAATGATGCACATAACTGCTCAGAAATAAACAACCAAACACTTTACAAAGTCATGGATGTGTTGTCCGTGCAATGAATAATACTGTGCTCCCGTTTGGACTCTTTGGAATTGTGTTTCTGTGTCCATTCTCTACATTAGTGTATACTGGACGCACAATTGTGCGCCGTGTAAAACCCTGGTTGGCCAACTTCATAGATTGGGTAGTCGGACTCTGTGATTGGTCGATGGTGCCCCTGATCCGTCTTTGCTCATTATGAACATTGCTGTGTGTTCACATCATGTATCACATCCTGGAATATAATAGCCCTCCTTTTATTGGGATAACTTCCTCAAGCTTTTTGTTCCATGATCGGAAATGGAGCGTAATTGGTCATTTTTTCTCGATTTCAAAATGATTTGGGACTGATGGTAATGGATCCGCTCTATGAGGTGACAATCACTGGTCATCATCCTAAAAGTTTTACATGCTGGTACCATAGTAATGTAGATGGGATACTCTTTTGGTCTTGATTCACTACATTCACTGCAGGAATCTCTTAAAGCAACATCAACAGGGATACCACTAATACTTCCACCACACGTTCATTTCACAAAGCTCCATTTCTAGCCTACAACTAACAAACAACCATACTAAACTTGGGCTTATGACAGTTCTAGTGCAATGACCGCTTTAATTAAAGGCACAACGTCACACATTTTCGACAATATTTTGGCCTATATTATATATATCGGGGTATATTCACTCACTTTAGCTTCCTATTCATGCAATAAAAGTCTTATTTTCCCTTACAACTTTCCTGAAATTGATAATTGTAACTTTGAGGTGAACAGCTTCAAAACAGAGAACACTTGCCATATATGGAATTGCTCCATACATCGAAAACGGTTGTCGGTGTTTGCTGAACTGGTTTCAATCACCCGTAGGATATTCGTAAAAAGCACTCCAAGGGACATAACTCTATGTGGTTCACTTGAAATAATGTTCGGCTGGTAGAGAATGCGAGAGTCAAATTAATACGTTGCATTAATTCATTTGAACTTTTTAATTTAATATCATAATCTTAATACGTAATTTGTTTTGGAATAAATTATATGGTAGCTTCCCTGAGGTCTGATAGTATTATTGAGATAAATGCATTGATGCTCTCTACCAAACATTTACATTATCAGTGTATTATTTCATGTACATGCAGCTCTCCAATAAATGTTGAGATATCAATATTAAGAATCCTCAAGGGTTAAACCACAAAAGACATGGATTTCCATTCTTTATTACGTAGAATTTCCAGCAGCAGTACCATGTCTTAAAGCAATATCCTCCTCTATCACAGTGCATCATTCAGAAACTGCAGCAGCTGGGCTCGGTTCTTGTCTCGCTGGAACAAAGCAGATCCACATTTGTAACATATCTATTCACACCAGTATCCACTGATCAGTAATTGGAATCTAAGATTTCCACTGATTATGATCTACATTATACAAGCTCATACATGTATCTGATTTACACCAGAGACCAACAAAATATTTGGTTTTCCTACTTTAAGTTGACATGTTAGGATATAACTGATATATTGTTTGTGTCATCCATCTAGCCAACTGCTGGAATCTTACCTGCTTATCATGCTTGGACTTCTTCACCTTCATCTTGATCTTCTTTCCCGAGATGGAACTGCGGGCGCCCTTCTCTTTCATATACTGGAACAAGGGAGGTAATTATTGAGAGATTTAGAGATAGCATAATAAGGGATGTAATCCGTGGCAACATTTTTACAGATACTGGAACAGGGGAGGTGAAGTGAGGTGAAATGACGTTTAACGTTGTACTTAAAAATAATTCGCTCATATGACGACATGCATGCATGTGCATGTATGGCTGCTTGTACCAGCCCAGACCTAAGCTGGTTTTATAGTGCTAGCTCACTGTGATACCATACCGCAGCAAAGCATGAATACCCCACCGAGACACATTATACTGACTCTGAGCTGACCAGTCCTTGTTTTACCCATAAATGCAGAGCACCAGGCAGGGAACAACAAGCAGGCCTACCATATTCTAATGTCTTTCGGTATGACGCGGACGGGGATCGAACCCACGACCTAAGGGGTGGGATGCTCTAATCACTACACCACAGAGGCGGTTTGGAACAGGGTATGTGTTATTAGTGACAACAGTGTTTACCGCCCTTCTCACATTTCATGAATATATTTCAAAAGTATGAAGCATTCTATATCACATTCTTTTATTTCTTTGACAAGATGCTTACAGAATCTGTATTTTGCACAAGAAATACTGACATTTGTCCCATGCAAAAATAGTCTCGATGGTTTTCCTCTCACTCAAAAGTTGTAAATACAAACCTTTGAAGTATGGTAGCATGTCTAGGCTGGTTGCAAAATGTGAAGAAACATGTGAATAAAGCAACAAACATCATCCTTAGGTATCTGAGTACAATAAAATGATTTGAGGTGGCATGTTAATGTGAAAAACATTTATCACAGCTCAGTGATGAAATTTACAGCTGTATCTACCCTCAGGAAAAATGGCCAATGAGATACCAACATGCACAGGACATTACCTTAGAAAGCTGGACTGGTCCCTTGTCCTTGGAGTGTTTCTTCTTCTTCTTCTTCTGTTGGAGGATTTCATCACCATGTATCATCCAGGTCAAAGGTCAAACAGCAGATGTCAGGTCAAGGTCACATACCAACAAAGGGAGGCAATCGTTAGTTATGCAACTAACTGAACAGAGTGGGGCCATAGCAGAAATACTTATGCATATCTGGGTTAATGTGTAAGATAAATATGACACTTGTGTGATGTCGGCATTATTTCAAGGACACCATAAGATAGAAAGTGGAATGGAGTACACAAACGTATAACTTGAAAACTTTTCCACCCCACTAGTACCACATGTGATGAATTTATCATTACTCAAAATATAATCCAGATTACCTTAATTTCAATATTATCATTACAAATTCGCATCTACAAAGACTTATTTTCAGAGAAATGTGTTTGTGTGACATCAGATCTGCTGACTTTTGGTTTTACCTTTAACATAAATGCAAACAGGGTCACAAAATACGACATGACCATCAGATGAAAAATATGAAGCACTATGTGGTGTCGATATTCCAGTAATTAGATGACGACCTGCATCTACTGATGTCACGACCAGGCTAAGCAGGGGTTGATGGCAAGAATAAAGAACCACCCTCAACCAGTACAGGGGTGTATAATAATCCAAGCCAAGTATTATCACCACATTAATCAGCTCTTGCAGTAGGCATGAAAAACTGGGTCCTTTTGAGTCTAGGAATTTCCAAGTTTTGTCCAATAAGTGACAGAGTTGATTAGTCAGTCTGGTTTTGGCATTGTCATTAATTATCCATGACCATTTCACATTATCTTACCTCAAACATAAATATCGCTTTCTGATTGGCTGAGCGCTCTTCTATTATTTTCAATGTACCCCGCTAACAAGCGAGTAACATTTCAATGTACCCCGTTGTCAATGGCAACTCATTTGGTACTTCGTAGTAGTAATTCTTTATCTCGAATAGCATTGAATCACTTATGATGTACGGAAATTACCGATGTTTAGCGAATGCAAATCGATGGAAGGGAGATAACTCTAAATCTGTTTTGCTTGTCAGCAAAATCTAGCGATGGCTACAAAAAGATTTGTACCCGTGCTTCAAACAAATTCAAAATTAATATTAAGGTGATCGGTAAGATAAATACGTTGTTCACTGGTCCCTCGGGGCCCATGGGTTGATGTACCCTTGATGTTTGTTTGGGCTCAGGGAACATAAACAAACATCAAGGGTACATCAACCCATGCCCTCCTCGTGACCAGTGAACAACGTATAATGTTCTTCTCAAAAGGCATTCAACTAAAATCTGCATAAATACATACTCATGGTTCAGAATCTGATCAGGTAATGACTTTCACATTATCACAAATTATCTTTACATGGATTAAAACTGTCTTTGTTACTCAACACTGCACCCCAGCTAATTCAAGCCGTGAGGTGGCCTTCAAATATTTCAAAGCCAAGCACACAAAGATTGTTATGCCATGCTGTACAATGACACACAATCATCCACGTCAGCGGGCCTGATCTATCTGGCTGCCTCTACCACCTGTTCTAACTCAATCCTCAAGGAACACATTATGGCAACACTCATCAGGTCTTTCTTTATAACTTTCTCAATACCTTGTGCTTATGCTTGTGGTGTTTCTTGCTCTTCCTCCGATGGTTATCATCTGTACAAAAAAGCAACATTTATGTATACCTGCAACAATGTGTCTTGCCTCTAAAAACCTAGTTATTATGAATTCATATTCCATATCAATGGCTTTCAATTGAGAAGGAGTCTGTAACTTTCACCTTGGTTTCAGAATGACCCAAAGAGTAGGTTATACCTTATTCCTTTTAGAAAACATGTGAAGGTCCAGGTTAGAATGTACTTTCAGTAACCCATGCTTTGTCATAAGAGGCGATTAATGAGATTGGGTGGTCAGGTTCGCTGGCTTGGTTGACACATGTCATCGGTTCCCAATTGCGGAGATCAATGCACATGCTGTTGATCACTGGATTGTCTGGTCCAGACTCGATTATTTACAGACCGCCGCCATATAGCTGGAATATTGCTGAGTGCAGCGTAAAACTAAACTCACTCACTCACACACTCCTTTTGGGAAGGTGAAAAAGGGGAATGTACCTCTGGAGAAAAGCAACCAACCAGGATGGTGCAGACAAACCAAGGACACACCCATGAGGAAAAAGGGCATTCAAACTACTATCAGCAGATCCTCCTGTCAGGCTAAGGGACACAATTAGTTTCAAATTAGAATACTGGGTTTAAGGAAATGTTTAAAAATGGCTGAAGATGGGTGAGTGCCTGTGTAACCTATACACCATCAATTGTTTAAGGACGTGGGTTTTAAGTAGAAGTTTTTTCAAGTTAAGTTGTGTCCCAGTCACAGTGTCTGTTCAAGAGGTACTGTGGCTCACCTGATGATGATGAATCTGAGGAGTCCCTGTGCCTTTTCTTCTTCTTCCTGTATCTGTCCACGTCTGAAATAACAATTAAACAATTAACATAACTTAAATAAATTTAACAGTTCTTAATAAGCAGCAAAGGAAAATAGTATAACAGCTTCCACTAATTTCAAGCTCCATAAATATATTTGTGAAAACCTTAATTATTCAAGTACTAAAATACACATCACAACGCATGTCATGAAACATATCGTATCATCACACTGATACTAGAAATGTAAGCATGTAAGTTCAGCAGACATTTAACAGAAGGCTGAGTATCTTGCAAGCCTACCTGAATCTGACGAGGAGTCAGTGTCATCACTGCTGCTGTCACTAGACACATGTCTGCGTTTGGCTGGCCTTGTATCTAGGTACAATAGAAATCCTCCTCTGTAAATACTTGGTACCATAAACATGCAATCATCCAAAGATACAACTCAATGTTTGTGTGGTTCATCAAATGTGAAGAATGGCAATGTACTCACTTCTTCACTGCATTTACTTCTCTTCTCCTCGCACATACATCAGAGCTCCTGACACTGCCCCTAACCTCTGGCCACCTCACCTTACACACAAGATGCAATCTGAGCTCCTTACACTGCACTTACCGCTCTCAATATCTCTGCTACTCCTTCTACTTGAGTGTGATGAAGGTTCCATATTGTCTCCACAGTGCAGCTTACAGTGTCATAGAATACCAGATCATCTGAAAAACTGATAAAATGATTTGTATTACAAATGTCTTTTGCATGTATTTTCTATCAATGTTTTTTTCTACTTCATTAATAACATCGTTATAAATATCTGTAAGCATCCTGTAATTCGTGCAAAGGCAGTTATGTGTTAAGACATACACACCCTCCTTCCATTTACATGAGATCCTATACTAGATTCTATAGATCATGACCTATGAGAGAACATATTGCATAATTATGATGGATTCAAAATTCTTCATACTAAAGTGTAAATAGTATGGTTGAATAACTTTAAAATTGCTAGTGTACTCCGGTACAGTGGCACATGTAAAATCACTTGCCCTGATAATTTTTACACTATACCGGCCATTTTCTTGTTGATTTTTTAAAATAAACAACATAATTAATATTGGAAAGTCAACTGGACACCGGTACAGTGTAATATACAAATTTGCTTGCCCGACAGAAAAAACACTGGACTCGGGCGTCGGGCAATGGGTTATTTCCACCCCTGAAATATAACTAATTTAAAATGTTCCCTTCATCTACCTTTTAAACAAATGTAAGTACCCTGGCATGGGATGCTATTTATCAAGTTAGGCCAGTGAGAAAAGCGATTTCCACAAGTATACAAGTGGATTCAAGCTACATCATGAGTCTCCACAATCCAGTGGCTATTTGGAGCAATTATTTACCCTCACAGTATGGACGGCGAGCTCCTAGTAGAGGAAATGTGGTATGTTGTTTACAATTTGCTTACAGGCTATCCCTGTTCAACCCCTTACAAGAAATGGAACAAACTTGTAAATTTCTTTCATTATTTCGAAAAACCTCACGATGCATCATGCAGTGCTTCTGACAATAGCGGTTTACGCTAGTTTCTAGGATGTTTTGATTTTGTCAAAGCACTCGGGGTTTTTTTTCAAAGGAACACATATTTTGACATTTATAAAATGTATATCCTCGACTGGCCACTGTGTCTGTAAGATCCTGAAACAAGGTTGCAGTGGAAGGCTACTTCTAGGTGTTATAACTACCAACATTTCGGTGTATAAATACTAGTATATACCTGCATGTTTGATCCGATGCACCGTGTCAAACCAGCAGTTGCTGCTGTGTCCCGTTCAGGGGGGGACATAATCGAAATTCAGAGTTATTTGCCCCTTGTGATTGAGCTTCTGTTCTGACGAAAGTACCGTAATTCCTTTACTAGACGCCTAGCAACACGTACACGCGAGCCAATACGTTCTGCCCAAATATTAGAATCCGCGTTTCTAAAACAAGCCTGGGCGATTACTTGATGAATTCCATGAGATCGTTTGATTTGTTTTAGGGTTTAGGGCTGTATCTAGGTCTTTCTACTCGGGTACCCCACCTCCTATTACCCTACCCGGATACCCGTTATGTTAATTCCTGGCTCCAAATTTGCAAGAAATGGCAATTTATTCTTCAGCTCGGAGGCTAAAATCTCCAGTTTTACAATATCTTAACCATGTATTATATTCAAAAGAAGTGACTGTAAATTATGTCTAAATCTTCCAAGTCAAAACAACCTTTTAATCATGAAAGAATAACATTGTTTAATCTATTAGTCACATGATCATAAAGGGTCCGGGTATTGAGACGGGTACCCGGGTCCAAGTCATTACCCACCCGTACCGGGTATCCGGGTCACCCGTCCCAGACCTAGCTGTATCGTATTTTGCTGACATCAACTGTCAAACATCATTTAATCTAATTTAACGTTTTACATGACACTTCCATCACCCTATTTTAAATGACCATCCCTAAATAATGTTGAAGTTAATTTTCAATTTTAATTTTAACCAATTTTATAATTAGCATTTGAAAACTTGTACTCTTTGTATGACGTTCTGTAAAGTGTTGGACTCGGGAAGCTACACTTGCTAAGTACAGTGCCAGCGTTATACAGAACCGGCGCCGGATCAGTGGCTTAAGTGAATCACCATAATTTCATACTGAATACGTATGTTTCTGTTACTGAGTTAATATACCAGTGTTCTTCCAAGACCCGTGAAGATCCTGGTTAAATTGGTCTTCAGCAACCCATGTTTGTTCTAAGAGGTGACTAACCGGATCAGGTGATCAGGTTCGCTGACATGGGTGACACATCGTATCCCAATGCGTAGATCGATGTTGATGCCGTTGATCACTGGATTGCCTGGTCCAAACTCGATTATTAACGGACAGCCGCCGGCCATATAATTGGAATATTGCTGAGTGTGGCGTTAACAACAGACAAGGAAACAATTCTATCCAATCTGCACTAAACAAGACAAATAGGTGATGTCTAACATTGCTTCAAGTTATAACAGGTAAGGCCAAGAACCATGGGCGGATCCAGGGATTTTGAAAGGGTGTGGTTCAGGGGATTAAGAATGCAAAACGAATGGGGAACACTACCACACGTTTTGTGTATGATCATATAACTTAGAGTTGGGGTAGAGACAAACGTTAGTCGATTGTTGTTGTTTTTCTCAGGAAATTCAGACATGTATAAGTATGTTTCAGTTGGAAGTCGTATGTACTGAGTGAGTGAGTGAGTTTGGTTTTACGCAGTTTTTAACAGTATTTAGGTTACAACATCTCAGATCAAAGAAGAGGAAAGCCCGAGGTGATACAGGTCTGCCACTGTGCCACTATGCTGACATAGAAATATGATCGGGCGAACGTGGATTCGAACCTACAATCATAGGTTTCTGGACTTTCCAACGAACGCAAACTCTGCACAGGGAATTGTCTCGTCTTAAACAAATGGGTTACCCTTGCCCACTTACATCTCTGAAGGAAGACTGAAAGGAACATTAAGTCGCAAACAAACAAAAAGAACACAAACAACTAAATCTGGCCTTTACATATAACAATAAAAGGAAAAATCGTCAATGCAAATGGTACACATTCTATTGTAACAAAGGGAAGGTTTGCATGGGAGAACAAAGCGTTGGCCCTACACTTCCGTTAGATACTCGTCTTTTCATTTTGTCGAGGTACTTGGTCTGCATCGCCTGCTAGCAAATTGTTTCCCTTGGTTTTGCAGCAAAGATGGGATTGGGTTTTGTTTTTACGCAATATTCCAGCAATATCACGCCAGGGACACCAGAAATGGGCCCCACACATCAAAGATTAGGATGAGATTAACTAGGCAACACCAGGGACGGAATGTGCCACAGTGGTATTATGCCTCTTTTTACAGACGAATCAAGGTTTTGCCTCTAATTCACAGATGACAGAAAACGTTGTGTTCATGAAATTATATGAGGCAGTATCACACACGGTTTCGTTATAATGAGTGGATGTTTGACTAGGCAGGGTTAAGTTGAATTCCTGTGGTTGTTCCGTTCGCTGGATGACAATGTCGGACAATGCCAAGGTCGTCACAAGTTGTTTCCAGTGGAAATATCCGAAAGATCATCTTTGATGTTCTTGGGCGGAAAGTGAACGCCAGACTCATCACTCATCACTCATCACCGTGTCCCAGCTGTGGGTAGCTCTTCGGGCAGAATGGAGGGCAATAATCAACAGTATGTCATCAGGAATTGGTGCACGTGAAGCCTAATATGGTGGACACACCAAATGTCGATCAGTAGGCCGAAAGAAATTTTAAAGACATGTATAGACTCTACCCCTTTCATCACTTCCTGCATTTTTTGTGGGAAGTGATCGCCTCCGTGGTGTAGTGGTTAGAGCGTCCTCCAGGAGAGCGGAAGGTCGCGGGTTCGATCCCCGGCCACGTCATACCAAAATACGTTAAAATATGGTACTTGTTGGTCCCTGCCTGGCGCTCGCTCGGCATTGATGGGTACAAGGACTGGTCGGCTCGGAGTCAGTATAATGTGTCTGAGTGGGGTATTCATGCTTAACTGCGGCATGGTATCTATGTGAGCTTGCACTATAAAACCAGCTTAAGACCGGCTAACAAGCAGCCACCCATACACACGCATGAACGTCGTCATATGAGCGAAATAATCTTAAGTGTGACGTTAAACCCCATTTCACCTCACCTCGTCGGTAGTGTATACGGGTCATTGTCCGCTGTGTATTTATCCGGGTGCATTGTTTATCATTAATATATATCAGGATGGGTAAACTGGTGTTACCAATTAGATTTCCTTTATGTGAAAGTACTTTATGTAAGCAGTGGTACAATGTCGTGCAATTGGCCAGAAGTAGCTCTCACGTTGGTCCCAAATCGCCTTCAATCCATATTAATACTATTACAACATTATCATACAAGATATATACATTGTATCTTGTTTCAGGATTTGTTTCAATTACGTACCGCCTATGAACCAAATATTGAGGCTCTTCTACCACAAGAATGTTTCAATAAACATAAATGTATCAGCGGTTGATCTTTGTTCTTACACCCAGTAAGATACCCAGCAGAACACCCACCCGGACACTCGATGGGACACCGAGGACACCCACATCGACACCCAGTAGGACAACCAGAAGAACACCCCGGCAGGACATTCAGTAAGACATCCAGCAGGACACCCAGTAGGACAACTAGTAGGACACCCTGCAGGACAAGGACATCCAGCAGGACATCCAGCAGGACAACCAGCAGTAGGTACCTAGTGAGGACAGCTTGGGGCTGCAGGACAACAAGGACATCCAGCAGGACAACAAGGGACATCCAGCAGGACAACAAGGAGGACATCCAGCAGGACAACAAGGAGGACATCCAGCAGGACAACAAGGAGGACATCCAGCAGGACACCAGGAGGACAACCAGTAGGACACCCAGCAGGACATCCAGTAGGACACCCAGCAGGACACAGGACATCCAGTACACCCAGGAGGACAACCAGTGGGACACCAGTGGGAGGAGGAAAACCAGTAGGACACCCAGCAGGGCAACCAGGAGGACATCCAGTGGGACACCAAGGAGGAAAACAAGTAGGACACCCAGCAGGACATCCAGGACACCCAGCAGGACACCCAGTAGGACATCCGAGTGGACACTCAGGACAACCAGGAGGACAACCAGTAGGACACCCAGCAGGACAACCAGGAGGACATCCAGCAGGACAACCAGTAGGACATCCGACAGGACAACCAGGAGGACATCCAGCAGGACAACCAGTAGGACATCCGACAGGACAACCAGTAGGACATCCAACAGGACACTCAGGACAACCAGTAGGAACACCAAGCAGGACAACCAGTAGGACACCCAGCAGGACAACCAGGAGGACATCCAACAGGACACTCAGGACAACCAGTAGGACAACCAGTAGGAAACCAAGCAGGACAACCAGTAGGACACCCAGCAGGACAACCAAGGAGGACATCCATCAGGACAACCTGGAGGACATCCAGCAGGACAACCAGTAGGGCATCCGACAGGACAACCAGGAGGACATCCAGTAAGGCATCCAGCAGGACAACAAGTAGGACAACCAGGAGGAAATCCAGCAGGACACCAGAAGAACATTCAGTTGCATATCTGGTAGGACAACCATAAGCAGGAGGAGGGAGCAAAGAAAGGTGGGTGTTACCAAAACCACCACTTATTATGAGGAAGAAGATATATACCTAGAATTATCTCCCTTGCTCATCTTATTAATGCCCGAATGCCATCTTAAGAAGCTATTTCAGCACATGTAGCTGTGAAAATACAACACAGAGAAACAATAACGCAACAATCACAGTGGTTTATTCCTTGATTATCAATTACACCATTCCTGTCAAACCTCACAAACCAGTCAGGTAATACCTGTACTGTTACTTCCAGGAAACTGAAACCATGGCAACCAGTGAAATAACACTTGTTAGTCATAACAACAGCCTTAATGCTAAGATTGCTTTGTGTGATTTTGTTTGCGTAATGTCACCCTCAGCAATGTTCTAGCTATGTCATTGAAGTCTGTAAATAATCAAATCTGGACCAGACAATCCAGTGATCGACACCATAAGCATACATCTATGCAACTGGCATTTGATGACCAGGTCTGGAAATCTCACCACCATGTTACAAGCATTGGCTGCTGAAGGCCAATTCTAACAACTGGGCTGCTATTTAATGTAGCTCTGATACAGATGTAAAACTACAAGAAATATTCAGTATTTTAAAAGACCAATTTGGAGCGCTCTGAATCAGGACCCGCTTGCATAAAACAATCTCAGTATTAAGACTTTGAACACTATAACATACATTTACAATAGTTTAGTCGCTAAGGCTCTGGTCCCGATGATTTGAAGCCTGACAATGAAACACATTGACTTCTCACTGGTTGAGAACAGAGTGACGCTCCACAAAGCAATCTTAATGCTAATACTGCCATAACTCTCAACCTTCAACATAGACTTAATATTGTCAAATATATAAATCGCTTCATTGAATGGGGACCAGATACAGTGACAGTCACCTGACCACCATTCATTCTCATCTCAGTGTGTGACAAGTGAGATATACAAACATATAACAAACATTAAAACATTAACAACACATGTTACATCATTGTACAAAATACAAGACTCAGGAGGTTAGGTTTCTTGATCAAAAGGTTGCAAGTAGTATTAAAAATACACATTTGTGTATTGAGCATACACCCTACCTATTCATAAGCTAATTCCCCCCTATGTGAACTATGGCCTGATGTGCAGAGTTCCCTCCCTTAGTAGTGTCAGGATCTGGTGATGACTGGCTTGAATTCACCCTGAGTATCATCTGGTTTGTTACCACCACTCAGGTTTCCCCCACTAAACTGACATGCAGTAGTATAACAGACTTACTATTTAAAGTGACACTGGTCACCAGACAAGAAAATATATACTTTGATCTGACACAATTATGTAACAGTTATTTCTAAATGTAATGCTTAAGTTTGATATACATGTTCATTTAACAAGGTTAAATTAAGAGCACTAATCTATCAAAATCAGAATACGCTAATTTGACATATAGTCCCACTGCATAATCTTTTCAAGTATATATCAGTAAGTTGGATTTAATGCTACTTTTGACAGTAGTCCAGTTTACATCACAAAGTGGCACCTTAATTAGTGATGAAAGCCCAAAGTAATGCAGGGAAACCTACAAGCTTGGGTATGGTGTTGACAAACCCAGGGCAAACTGGGGCTCAAACCCACAATCCTAAGAGAGAGTTAGTGAGCGAGATGCCGCTTTTAACAATATTCCAGCAATATCACTGCTAGGGACACCAGAAATTGGCTTCACACATTGTACCCAAGTGGGGAATCGAAATCGGGTCTTCAGCGGGACGAGTGAACACTTCAACCACTTGGCTACCCCCCATTGCCGCACCCCCAGTCATAAGATCAACCCCAAAAGATGTAACTCTGCACAGCGAATTGCAGAATCATAAACATTATATATGTCAATATATATAGCCAATCACTATTGTGCTAAAACTACCTACTTAAACTAAGAATGAATAACACAGAAACATTAAACTTTCAGAATCCTGTTGTCAGTGCTTCAAATATAGTCTGACAATGGGTTTTACTGATAATCTGTGTGTAGGAATATCTGATCCTCCATTTACTTCCATGCTTGGTCCAGTACTTGACTTAATACACACCACAGTGACACCGTGTATACAGTATCTCCCTTCATACAACCATGGGTAGGATACAGACTGAAAGTGTTGAAAATATACGATATGAAAACATTAATGGATTAGAACAAGGAAAATGTTGATCTACTATTTCACTTCTAATAAAGCTGATTAAAAATATATACAATTATATCACACGGCAATTTGTTGATGAAACATTGTCAGGAACAGTTTCTATACAGATCATCTAGAATCTTGCATCCATACAGACACTTAACGCAATCTGAATCAGTGGACGTACAAATGAAATGATGATAGATCATGATAAGATATTCATTTCAAACATTCACTGCCAAAGGTTAGCATGACTGATGGGAAACTTGATGAATATGTTGTCGGTCAGTGAAAGATTCCTTAAACTCATTAATACTTCTTAATGGATCAGAGTACTCAAAATATATTAAATGTGAATATGATAAGAGTACAAGCTTTAAAAAGACCTTTTTTAATCCTCATTGAAATGAGCCTGAGTGGGTTAGACAGGTAACTTTGTGTGCAGACGATTAGACACCAGACTCTGGACTGTATGGGTTCGATTCCTGGATGGGACTGTCTAACCCCATCCGCACCCCCCCCCCCCCCAAAAGTACTAGAATCTGTACTTTATTGAGAAAGTGTAATCCCAAATATAACATGTGTTACATTTCTATGAAAATGACATGTTTGGAACATTATCATCAGTGATATTAATTCTTAGAATACTACCTCTAACACTTGATTGCATTTTTCCAGAAATTTGTTTCTGTCAATTAACAGGTTTAGCTTCAAGAAAATAAGTCTATGGTTTTGTGTAGTCTTTCTTCCTAGCAGGTCCTCCTAGTAGTAAACCTGATGTTGGAGCCCTGTTGAACTTCCTATCATTCTCTGATTTTAGGATGTCCAAGGCTATACATTTCCCATTAAAGAACTGATCGGCAAGAGGCATAGATGAACATAACTGATGCAGATAATGATCCCTCCTCAACAGAGGAAATTGGACTGCTAGTAGAGACTGGGAATAAAGAAAGCTTAACTCTTTCATCAAAATCTGTGATTCTCCCTTCCTTGATGAACAAATGTTACAATATTTTAACTACAAAACCGTGAAAAGTGAAGGTGAATTTCTGTTATCAGTCACATAAGAATCTTTTCCCTGAGAAGAAAAAACATCCCAAACGGTCTGAATACTTGAATAGAGACAATCACTCATTCAAAACCTTGATGATCTTAGATGGGAAGGAAGACTAAGGAAGATTGAGGTAATTATGCTTAGCTGATTGAAGAAAAGAGCCTCTGGCAACTGGATTTCCATGGCAATGTCTTCTTGATCAGGCAGAGGTGGCATTGATTCTTGAAATAAGAAATCTAGTGCAGCCATCTTGCCTACAAATGTGTCTCTGGCTGAATTGTGACCTAAATTGTGACCTAAACCTTTCTGTTAAGGGAGATAACTTCTGCTGATTGTGCTTGGAGGATCACTAGGAATATAGACAACACAAAACCATGGACTTTAACAATTATATTCAAGCAAAACCTATGGATTCAGAAACAATTATCAGGAAAAAGGCAGTTAAGTGTTAGAGGTATGTATTCATAAGATTTATTTATCTAATGTATACATATTCAAGGTCAGGTGTACACAGGGTTTAAGTTAAACGTAACTAAGAATTACATGTACACACTTCTCTTACCTTTGCACAGTTACACTAAAAGATGTATTTTGTAGTAAGTATTGAAAACAAACATTTCAACAGGTCAAATGCCTGAATGTCACATGCTTTAATTATTTTCTTACAAAAAATATAGAAATTAAGTGGTGAAACTGTTACTAAAACAATCAGGCCTCAGGCTGACCATTTCCCTGTTACTGATGATACATGCTCAGGAAACTACAAGACATAAAATCCTGCATCATGGACACACACAATACTAAAATGGAAAGAAATTACAATCTGTGTGTATGAATGTTCAGGAATAAATACTGCTATTTCATAATCTGGTGCCACATACAATTATTTCTGTACATAATCATTTAAAAATACAATATATAGATTTACTTTATATTTTGTTTACCTAACAACCTCTGAAGATAAGCAATCGTTCATCACTCATGGTATAGCACAGTTTTCAATATTGTACTTTCTCTGGGAACCCAGTTTGTAGGCTGGGACCCACCAGGGATGCCTACAGGTAAAGGCTTTGAATCCCCCTGCACTAAATCAATTACATCAAACAGGCAAATTCCTATATGCGGATCTATACAACTCAAAAAAGTTAAAGAGCACATGAATCTTTCCCATTACTAAACTAGTCACAGTCTGGTCTTGACAGGGGCAATACATTGGGTCAATCAGCTGGCTGTTGTTGGGTTGAAATTAAAAATGTAAGCAGGGTACATTTAATATAATACAACTGGTTTCAAAATGGCATGACAGAAATGCTAAAGCAATATGAAAAAATTGTGCTTTCTTTATCTTCTTTTGTGTAGTATAGATCAGTATACATGGATTTACCTTGGTGATTTTGTGTAGTATATTATCATGATTATAGGCAACTTCCACATGACACTACAACACCGATGTGGAGCAGCTCTCTATATATCACAGCCTGGGGTGGTTTGTTCTGCTTGCACCACTCATAACTCCATGACAAACAGCAACAACCATTTGAAAACACCCTTCATAAACTCAGGGCATTCATAAACTCAGGGCATTCATACACTACGGGCCTTCATACACCTGTGGCCTTCACCCAATACTTCACAACGTCACCAAACAAAAAATTCATTATTGCAAACCAGAACAGAAGATTAAATATGAAAATCAGAAATGTACAACTCACTGAAGCCATATATCAAAACATTACAAAATATATATACAATACTTACATCTACATGTTTATAAATATGAACACCATGATAATATGAAACAACAACAACAACAAAATTGTATCTTACAACTTGTTGGGGTTTTGTTCAGTCAACCATGCACAGCTGAGAAACATATATCCCTTGGCAGCCTTTCAAGGGTTAACAGGAAATAGCTGAAGTGTCTACATTTTCACATTCCGTATACTCAAAAGCAGTATTGAAGTTGGCCCCTTGGTCTGTTGCTGTTTCTGTTGCGAGGTCAACACATTTATTTACCAAACATAATTGCTTTCTTTTTTATGTTGATTTAATGACTCGGATCAAAGGACTCTCTACAGTTTCAAAAGTACAACTCTTGAAGTTCTTGAAAGGCATTTAGAATACATGACATGTTTTTAAGGATTACAACTTCTTTTTATTCTTTATACGTTTCAGAGCTAGTTCTTGCTCCTTTATCAAGTCTTTCACCTAATGAAAGAGCAAGATTTGGCTCTGAAACTTCGTGTAAAGAATAAAAAGAAGTTGTTATGTAATCAAGTACAACTCTTGTTTGTTGAGTGAAAGAAAATACAACATTTCTTTAGGCTTCTTGACTCAATTATCAGAGGAACTTTTTAACTAAAAATTGGCTATAAAATTTGGAGTCATTATACTTTCACATAAAATGCCATTACAAATTATCAATACAACAGTCAGGCATTTTTTCTTTTAAATTTGAAGTCAGTTGGAGACGTCTTCCCCCAGTATAAAGGAAACTCCTTCCTAATACAACATGTGGAGTCCACATGCAACATCAACACTGCTTGTCTCAGATACGTGTGTCTGAGTCAGGAGTCCTTGGATGTATTACATGATTTTGTAATTTTAATAGTCAGTATTAAGATATACATAAGCCTTATACAAAGAAACAGGAAAACAGATATGACATAGGTACCTCTCTCCTAATATAAATAGACCAACATGTTTGTAGACATCATCTATGTGCATCTATATACCAGCTATATTAAATAACTGCCATCAAATACAATATTCCAGTAAATGATTCATGATAATGTTAAGTATTTAATATCACTTACATTATACAACTTTGTTCTCTGTAAACAAATAGATTGTGTTGACAAAGCTCTCCATCAGGCATTTTTTTGTTAAAATATGACAAAATATAAAATGGCCCATCTTATATAACAACAATACACACGAGATGTTGAGTACCCTTTACTTCATTTTTGAAGGAACAATGTCTCACTAACTGTTTTCTGTATAAAACATAGCAACTGCAGCTGGAAATGTGCAGTAAATGTTATAATAAGTCCTTAATGAGTTAATGCCTAAGTGAAAACATATATAAATTCAATAGATCAAATAGTGGGCCTGATCTCACATATGGGATCACAAATTCAGACTTTCTAACCATCACAGACACAAGTATGTAAAATACAGTAATAACAAATGAACCTGGTTGTGAGTATGTAGCTTTGGCAAGATTATATTGTGCATGCTACTTGTTATAGTCTGTTTGCAGTGAAAACGTACAGATGAATTTCACTTCAAACAAAAAAGTAAATCAAATAAAGTGAAATTAAGATTGCGAATCCTTATTATTCTACCTTGCAAATTGAACATTAAAATTTCAGAATTTTATTCAACTTAGGGTAAAAGTTGTTTAACAAATGATCATAGTTTCACATCGCTATTATTGGTTTGTATTGCAAGGGTGTATGCGCATTAAATGAAACCGCGAGAACAAGAAGGGTTGGTTTCTATGGTAGTCAAAGTTAACACTCATCACGTACCACACGTCCATTTGTTTCACTGTTCCAACTACTGCGCATACCCCCTTGAAATACAAACCAATAAAAACGATTTGAAACTATGATCATCTGTTAAACAACTTTTATCCTAAGTTAAATAAAATTCTGAGATTTAAATGTTCAATTGGCAAGGTAAAATTATGAGCATTCGCAATCTTAAATGCACTTTGAAGTGAAATTCATTGGTACGTTTTCACTGCAAACAGACTATAGTTGTATGCACAATACTTACAGAATGGAACAAGTCTCAGGCATAACAGCTTTGCACATTCATGAAATTGTCACAGCCTGTAGTTAAAGCTGTTTGTACATGGTGTTTCTCTCCAACATAACATCTGCTCTCATGGCATAGCATAACAGCCAAAAAACACCTAACAAGTTTAAGACAAAGATAGAAAAGGATTCTTTTGTTTTTTTAGTGAGTGAGTGAGTATGGTTTTACGCTGCTTTAGCAATATTCCAGCAATACCACGGTGGGGGACACCAGAAATGGGCTAAGAATATTTGCACAAACATGCATGTTAGTAGACAAACAGTGACAAAAAATAAACCATGGAATGATAAATTAGTGTCTTTATCTGTAAAACAACATCGTCAACAAAATATGAGTATTTGTACAGCAATAGGCATCTCACTTACATAAACAATGAACAATGCAAAGTTCAAGGTCACATCAAGTACATGTCAAACAAACACAAAAATAGTTCAGGATGTGAACCCACAAAGAGGAAACTTCCTCTGTGTACAGCACTAAAGCACGGTTAGAAATAAACTGTTAATAATATGATTTTCATCTTACACTTTATTCACAAACTAGCAGACAAAAGTTGAATTTGAAAAACTTTGTGTAAAACTACGTCAAGCTGAGGTACACATCCTTCTTTTTCAAGCATAGTAATCAATTATACACTAAGGAATGTTATAGGTGATAGAACATACAAGATGTGTACCAACACATGATTGATTCATTTGGTGATATACCGGGGTATTGTAACAATTGACAAATATCCATACACAATGTGCAACACATTTTAAAGAGCTGCTTTTGTCATTCCTTTCACAGATTCTGTACTTCAGCTTTGATGTAACAGATAAACAGAATAACAAAAAGCAGCCATCTTGTCTGTTGTTCTACAGTTGGTTTGAATAATACATGATGTAGAGGCAGAAACATCCTGTTTCCCAAGATATAATGAATTGTTGTATGTGACTAACCCCGTGAAACTGTCTTCCTTACAAGGAAGTAATTTTTCGATAACAACTTTCAGAACAGCTAATATGTAATAAAAGCACTGCATTAACAATAAACATAATTAAATATTTGATAAAAAAATTATGCCACATTATAGAATGGATGATATTTCTTTTGGATAATCTGCACTGACAATAAATATGATTGCATACACAATTCATAGTATCAAAGATATTAATATATATAAATATGTGTCTTTGGATATAAAACTATTATGTCATTTGTAATGATACTATCCCATCAATTAAATCTCACAAGTGTTACAGGAAAACCCTGTTTTGTTGTACATTTGTATTTACAAGCAGTACTCAATAAACGGTATGCTTAAGTTCTATGTAAATTCATCAACTGAAGAGACAGACACGTACCTTTTGTGTTGGCTTAAATCTAATGTATATTTCACTGTATATCTTATAGCAAGGATTTAACATTTCAGGGGCTGCCCAATCATAGCTTCTCTGTATAACTTATAGCAAGAATTATACACTGCGGGGGCTCCTATCACAATTTCATCTCTTAGCAAAATACATATTTTCCTTGTTTCAACAGTGATCAGATGATTCTTCACAAACTGCATGACTTATCGATGACACTTTTACACTGAACATGTAGTGTACCTGTCCAAACTCCCATCAGTATCCTCATGAAAGAGTCATGTCATGTTACATCTGTGGTGACGATACAACCTTTATTACATATATCACAAGGTGTAAGACGTTAACTTACTCAAAATATTAGGTTCCCTTATTAAACACTTTATCCACACTATATACAAATACTTGCATGATCTCATATACTTAGACAAACAAAAGTATCTGTCAGTCCATATTTTTGTGCAGATTACATTATTATAGGAAACAACAAGAAAGGGTTATTAACTGACGAGTAACTCAAAAGTTTTAGTTGTTTTTTAAGAAGAGCCCCTTGTGAGTTTTCTAAGTACCCAGGGCACTTATTACAATGAATATGGTAAGTCAATGAAAATGCATATCAAAATATGGTTATATACATAAACTTCTCTTCGTCCAGGGACAATGATGTCAGCGGAAATCACATTTCTGTATCCACGGGAAGTGTCACTGGTTACCCTTTGACACTGATATCCTTGACCTAGAGTCAACCATGCTCATAAAGCACATTTCTGTATCCATTGGAAGTGCCACTGGTTACCCTTTGACACTGATATACTTGACCTTGGGTCAACCATGCTCATAAAGCACATTCTCTGAAAGCATCAACTAAGTCTTTCACTTCCCCTTCCCACTGAACCATTTTGACAAAGTGTACATTCTTCATCACAGCACCAGCAAGTCATATCACATGAATCACCATCCTACCACCATCAGCCATTATGTCACTGATACAACTGGGGCCCGTTGTACATGATTGGTGAGGGTGATGTCCCCAGGCGACTAGAGGCCATACTTCTACTCATTATGGACCCATATGCCGTCCTGGGGGTGCCTCTGGGTGTGCCACCCCTCGGTGTGAGCCTCCCATTCGGGGTGAGGATGGGAGTACCACGCGAGATGCCTCCATTGTCAATACTGTTGGTAGAGTTGTGTACACTGTAACTGAAATAGAACAGGCTGTTACTATTGGTTTACAATCTTTCGATTCATTGATGTCACCATGCCCTCAGTCACATGACAAATGACACGATCTCATGTCACCATGCCCTCAGTCACATGACAAATGACACGATCTCATGTCACCATGCCCTCAGTCACATGACAAATGACCCATTCTCATGTCACCGTGCCCTCAGTCACATGACAAATGACCCATTCTCATGTCACTGTGGTCTCAGTCATGTGACAGCTGACCCATTCTCATGTCACCGTGCCCTCAGTCATGTGACAACAGAACCATTCTCATGTCACTGTGCTCTCAATCATGTGACAGCTGACACATTCTCATGTCACTGTGCCCTCAGTCATGTGACAGCTGACCCATTCTCATGTCACTGTGCTCTCAATCATGTGACAGCTGACCCATTCTCATGTCACTGTGCCCTCAGTCACATGACATATGACCCATTCTCATGTCACCGTGCCCTCAGTCATGTGACAAAAGAACCATTTTCATGTCACTGTGTTCTCAATCATGTGACAGCTGACCCATTCTCATGTCACCATGCCCTCAGTCATGTGACAGCTGACCCATTCTCATGTCACTGTACTCTCAATCATGTGACAGCTGACCCATTCTCATGTCACCGTGCCCTCAGTCACATGACAAATGACCCATTCTCATGTCACCGTGCCCTCAGTCATGTGACAACAGAACCATTCTCATGTCACCATGGCCTCAGTCATGGGACAGCTGACACGATCTCATGTCACTGAGCCCTCAGTCATGTGACAGCTGACCCATTCTCATGTCACCGTGCCCTCAGTCATGTGACAACTGAACCATTCTCATGTCACCGTGCCCTCAGTCATGTGACAACTGACCCATTCTCATGTCACCGTGCCCTCAGTCATGTGACAGCTGACCCATTCTCATGTCACTGTGGTCTCAGTCATGTGACAGCTGACCCATTCTCATGTCACCGTGCCCTCAGTCACATGACAGCTGCCCCATCTCATGTCACTGTGCTCTCAGTCATGTGACAGCTGACCCATTCTCATGTCACCATGCCCTCAGTCATGTAACAGCTAACCCATTCTCATGTCACTGTGCTCTCAGTCATGTGACAGCTGACCCATTCTCATGTCACTGTGCCCTCAGTCATGTGACAACTGACCCATTCTCATGTCACTGTGCCCTCAGTCATGTGACAGCTGACCCATTCTCATGTCACTGTGCCCTCAGTCATGTGACAGCTGACCCATTCTCATGTCACTGTGCCCTCAGTCATGTGACAGCTGACCCATTCTCATGTCACCGTGCCCTCAGTTATGCTCCAAACCAAAATGAGGTAAACAAGGTAAGAATTCTATCATTTTGGCTTCTAATCTTCCCTGTCCAATACAACATAACACCTAATTTGTTTGCAGTCACTTTAGTGTCCATCTGATTCTGTATCCTATGCTAATTCATTATTAGGCCAGATCAATTTTATTTATTGTTTTACAGATTTTTGTCCTCAGAAAACCTGAAGGCAGGAGGGAAAATACTATATAAAAAATCACCAGTCAAAGTAATATCCCTAAATAAAATAAAATAAAATAAAATATTCCTAAAAGTATTTTATTTTTGGTAATTTATGAAATGTATATGGGGCAAAAAACAATTAACAATTTTTTTGTTGTAAGTTTACAGTTTGGGCCGATAAAAACATGAGGATTTTATTTTTTTGAGCGGGGAAAATTAATTTTTATTTTTTTCTTATTCTTGCAGAAATACGACCGGCGGATCCGAAAAACAAGAAATGAAATTGGTCTGGCCTTATCATATGTTTTAGATATTATTTGTCAAATAAAATTCAATATTATTCAAGATAGTCTAAAACTGTAGTCATGCTCATAGAATTAAAATTTATCATTTTCAGCTAAATAGGAAAAAAAGAAAAATTCAGAATTCATGTTATAATTTCTGTTGTAATATCTGATGTGCTACTGCTTCTACAGATATGTACGTGTCAACTTGCTAAGAGCTCACAGTGTTATAAAGTCACACCTGGTAACGAACACAGGGAAGACCTAACAAACTTAACCATTCCATTCAGATTAGGTTAAGACGTGAATGTAAAAACAAATTTGACCGCAGTGACTTTAAGCAACAAATATAGCACTTCTCACGCAGTGTTTCAAGACATGTTTTAGCAACAAAACTCTCACAGAAGCTTCAAACTTATTTGCCATCATATTGTTTCTTCTGAAATCCACTTTGTTTACTTCATTTTCAGCCAAAAATAAAATAAAAAGGCTTCTGGCAGTTGTTAAACTTACTGAAAAGCCTGAGCAAGCTCAGTTGGTAAATTGGTTTTACTTCCATCTTGCATGTTGCACTGCAACAGCTGTTGACCATGATGCAGGGTGCAAATGACAGTGAATACAATTCTGAAGTTCCTTTAGCCTCAATATTTAGTGAACACTGGCTGCTGCTCTAAATACAATGTCGGAAGGATGCAATAGTTCCTCTGTGCAGTCTCCAACTAAACAAACATCAGCAGGTTCAGACATATGTGTTGCACACCCCATGTTCGAACCTACCCCATCCTGCCGTCCCGCTGTCATACCATCCTGTACACCAGCCAGCGCCCAAGTCACCTAGTCTTGGGCTCATGGAAATGTTGCTAGTGGGTGTCACAACACTTCTGTCATATTATCCAGGACATATTTAAGGACTGATAGTTTTTAATCAAAGGGAAATTGTTTCCTCCTATCAAATCAAGAGTGGCTGAAACTCACAGCACACCATGACTCGAGTCTGTCAGTGTATCTCTTCATGTTGACTGACACGAAAAGTCTGGAAAAATAACTTTGAGCAAGTGTACTTGATTTCCGTTACCAGCCATTACAATATTATCAAAATCAGATCATTTACTTATGCATATAAGCATATGACAATTACTCAATAGGAGGTATTGGATGAACCAATGAGACAATCAGAGTGAATGCTACCATCTTCTTGGCTTCTTGGCACAAGCCTGCGGAGGATTTGGAACAGCATATCTTACTGAATGTAACTTACACAAGCAGTAGTGAATGGAGGATAATGAAGGCAATGCTATTTAAATAGGTTTTGGATATTATATATATTTCATATCTTAACAACTACTTTTACATTTCAAAATGACAAATGACAGTTTGACACAGTACCAAACCTGCCATCCTTGTCATATTTTCATGGTTAACCTTGCAGAAAAGAAAAAATGAAGTTTATTATGTAAAGACCAACAACTTACTTGACCGAATGTGGATCATCCCGAGTGAGATCATCATCACTGTCATAGCGACGAGGGTTATCAAAGAAAAACACCTTTGAACTATGGCTGTGGTTGGAGAGATCGTTCAGTGCCTGCAAATATCCAGACATGTATCAGGCACGGAATGCAGCAATAAAGAGAGTTTCAACAAGACATGTAACCTACTGTTCCTTATATGCTGTTCTTATCATGTTGAATGTTACTGTGAAACAGCTGTAATGGAGAATGACCTATAGTTGATCTAAACAGCTAAGGCACTGAAATGGCCAACGAATGTTCTCTGTGTTCACGTTTTATGGAGCAAAAGTTTCTGTTTGTTGGGCTGGGCTCTCATTAAAACTGCAATGCAACAATGTAGCGTGTAGATAAGTCAAACCAGTGATAGATGTTATGAGCAAAGTCCATGACATTGGCGCATGATGATATGCCAAATCTATTTCCTCATTTAATACAACAATGATAAGATGCTTAGATCCGAAACTAACACAGAATTTCCCCTTAAATAATTTCTGTTTGTGACTGAACACAAAACACATACATCACATCAATAAAAGGAAATAACATGAAATCTACCTACCACAGCATTGACGGCTCTTTTGACTCGAAAAAACAACACAACAACAAATGTTGGTAGGACCTCCCAGACGAACAACACGATTCCGAAAGAAAGGTACTCATATCCCCCAGACAGATCATTGAAGTCAGCCTGCAAGAAAAACAAATATATAACCGAAACACAATGTGGGAACTGAAATCCCATTTAAAATTCACAAATTTCAAATGAGATTTTTTCCATTAAAGGTAACGTCCTGATGGACCATGATTATGTACCGGTAATTGAAAAAGAGAGACATGAGTATTTGAAAGAGGTTTTGAACTGGAGGAAATGATCTGGTTTGAATTAGATGTTCTAATTGAAAAGATAATTCATTTTAATTAACCTACTGATTCTGATGATGTTAAATTACTAAGAAATGGAATAACAAACTACACAATGTTTTAATCTTCTGAAAGTAATTTTCAAAAACAGATTTTCACAAGGCAGCACATGCAGGGAACAATTTGAAGGTCCAAAACCTTTGAGTCCTTTCACTTTTTCCCAACCTATCAACAAGGTCCTTTTATCAACAAAATCTGCAGAAATGAAATAAAGAATAGTTTGCCACAAGCACTGATAACAAGATTGTTGGGTGTAATGTTCAGGGGAGCTGAGTTAATGCGTGTTTCATTCAGACTCACTGAACCAATTGTGACCCTTTCAAAAAGCGTTTGTACAGAAACAATTCTCTTTGCATTTGGCTAAACAATATGAAAATACTTTCAACCGATGTAAACTAGTTAATGCACACACAAAAATCAAAAAGCACAATGAACGTCACAATCTTTTCAACTTAATTAAACATTTTACATTTTTTTGAAATATTTAACTATAGAATAGGCAGTGTTTAAGGAATCTACTCAAAAGTTTTATATATTTTGTCAAAAGGAAAATCCATATCTCTTTTGAAGAAACAACCTGTAATACTAATCCAGGCTAAGTGTAGAGTGTAATATGAGACTATATCAACAATAGACATTAACCTGGTCAGATACATTGACCCAGTCATAGCCGAAGTCGGGAACCTTGGTCTTCAGGGCTGGGTAGATGGAGATAAAGTTGTAGATAGCTCTGGATGTAAACAGCATCAGGATGACAACACAGGCCGCGATTGCCTGACACATACTTGTCCCCTGTCAGCAGAGATAGCACGCAATAAGTTCCAGGGTGAAACTACAGGGGATGCTGGTCGTATTGTACTGATATTGGTTTATACTGCCGCACTGGCTTGATGTTGCATAAACAATGTCTAGAATATATTATTACCAGTTTGCTACCATAAAAGATATATGAAGATATCATTCTCTTATGTATGCCTGTGCTCACCTATATATACCACCTTGTTGAGAATGCCCACCCAGCCTGCACTGTACATCCTGTTCACCACCCCAACCTACACTGCACCACACGGTACACTTCTCAGCCTACACTACACCACGCCATGCCAGCCTATTCTACACTACACCAGCCTACACTACACCACCCTGTACACTATCCCAGCCTACCCTACACTACACCAGCCTACACTACTCTGCACCAGCCTACACCACCCCAACCTACACTGTTCCACCCTGTACACTATCCCAGCCTACACTACACCACCTTGTACACTAGCCCAGCCTACACTACACACCACCCTACACTACACCACCCAAGCCTACAGTACACCACCCTGTACACCTCTCAGCCTACACTACACCACCTTGTACACTAACCCAGCCTACACTACACCACCCCAGCCTACACTACACCACCCTGTAAAACCTCTCGGCCTACACTACACCACCTTGTACTCAAGCCCAGTCTACACTACACCACACCAGCCCTACACTACACCACACACCAGCCTCCCAGCACTACACCATCCCAGCCTACTACACTACACTACACCAGCCTACACTACACCACACCACACACCATAACACATACACCACCTCACCAGCCTACACTACACCATCCCAGCCTACACTACACTACACCAGCCTACACTACACCACACCAACCTACACTACACCTCACCAGCCTACACTACACTACACCAGCCTACACCACACCAGCCTACACTACACTACATTAGTCTACACCACACCAGCCTACATTACACCACACCAGCCTACACTTACACTACACCACACCAGCCTACACTACACTACAACACACTACACCAGCCTTACACTCCACCACTACCACCTACACCAGCCTTACACTAGCCTACACCACACCACCCTTACACTACACTACACCCACAGCCTACACACCACACCAGCCTACACTACACTACACCACACCAGCCTAGCACTACACTACACCACACCAGCCTACACTACACTACATCACACCAGCCTACACTACACCACACCAGCCTACACTTACACTACACTACAGCCTACCTACACCAGCCTACACTCACACCATCCCAGCCTTACACTACACACCCCCCAGCCTACACTACACTACACCAGCCACTCTCACCACCCTGTCCACCAACCAACCTGTACACTACACCACCCTGTCCACTAACCAACCTACACTACACCACCCTGTCCACCAACCAACCTACACTTCACCCTGTTTCACAACCTCAACTTACACTCACACTACACTCCCTGTTCACCACTCAACCCCACACACTACCTACACTTGTCCCACCCTGTTCACCACCCAGCCTCCACTACACCACCCTCCTGTTCACCACTCACCTACACTACCCCACCCTGTTCACCACTCCAACCTACACTACACCTCACCCTGTTCACCACCCAGCCTCCACTACACCACCCCTGTCTCACCACTCTGTGCTCCATACACTACACCACCCCTGTTCACCACTCAACCTACACTACCCCACCCCTGATCACCACTCAGCCTACACACCCTGTTCACCACCCACCTCCAACCTACACTCACCCCACCCTGTTCACCACTCTCACCCTACACTACACCACCCCTGTTCACCACTCCACCTACACTACACCCGTACCCCTGTTCACCACTCAACCTACCTACACTACACCACCCTGTTCACCACCCAGCCTCCACTACACCACCACCCTGTTCACCATCACTCAATCCTACACACCTACCCCACCCCCTGTTCACCACTCAACCTACACTACACTACCACCCTGTTCACCACCCAGCCTCCACTACACCACCCTGTTCACCACTCACCTCCACTACACCACCCTGTTCACCACTCAACCTACACCTACCCCACCCTGATCACCACCCTGTTCCTACACTACACTACCCCTGTTCACCACCCAGCCTCCACTACACCACCCTGTTCACCACTCAACCTACACTACACCACCCTGTTCACCACTCAACCTACACTACCCCACCCTGATCACCACTCAACCTACACTACACTACCCTGTTCACCACTCAACCTACACTACACTACCCTGTTCACCACTCAACCTACACTACACCACCCTGTTCACCACTCAACCTACACTACACCACCCTGTTCACCACTCAACCTACACTACACCACCCTGTTCACCACCCATGCCTACACTACACCACCCCTGTTCACCGTTCGACCTACACTACACCACCCTGTTCACCACCCATGCCTGATAACACCACCCTGTTCACCACCCATGCCTACTGATTACACCACCCTGTTCACCACCCATGCCTACTGATTACACCACCCTCTTCACCACCCAGCCTCCACTACACCACCCTGTTCACTGTTCGACCTACACTACACCACCCTGTTCACCACCCATGCCTGATAACACCACCCTCTTCACCACCCATGCCTACTGATTACACCACCCTCTTCACCACCCATGCCTACTGATTACACCACCCTCTTCACCACCCATGCCTACTGATTACACCACCCTCTTCACCACCCATGCCTACTGATTACACCACCCTCTTCACCACCCATGCCTACTGATTACACCACCCTCTTCACCACCCATGCCTACTGGATTACACCACCCCTCTTTCACCACCCAGCCTCCACTACACCACCCTGTTCACCACCCAGACCTACACTACACCACCCCCTCACCACCCATGCCTGATAACACCACCCTGTTCACCACCCATGCCTACTGATTACACCACCCTGTTCACCACCCATGCCTACTGATTACACCACCCTGTTCACCACCCATGCCTACTGATTACACCACCCTCTTCACCACCCATTACTACCACACCCTCTTCACCACCCATGCCTACTGATTACACCCACCCTCTTCACCACCCATGCCTACACCACCCACCCTCTTCACCACCCATGCCTACTGATTACACCACCCTCTTCACCACCCATGCCTACTGATTACACCACCCTCTTCACCACCCATGCCTACTGATTACACCACCCTCTTCACCACCCATGCCTACTGATTACACCACCCTGTTCACCACCCATGCCTACTGATTACATAAAATGGAAAGGGCAGCAACAGAGAAACATGGAACTTACCTTGGCTTCCAGAACCAGCGATGAGGAGGACAATTTTGACATTTTGTAAATACAGAACGAAAGTACAATACCAAAAATGATAAAAAGGGAGTCATTGATGGCCACCCGTATATAGATGAGCTCCAGTGGAATGGAAGAGTAATTCCTCTCACTGTATTTGATGACCATGGCACATGTTATATTGGACACCACAAACACGATTATAGCCAGGAAGACCAGGATTCGAAGGGGACGTCTGAAAGGAAACAAGAAGACAAAGTCATCAATATCCCCGCAATGGCAAAATACTCTTCATGGATATGTCAATTAGTTATGACTATGTCAAATGTTTTGGCGTGTATATAGCAGTGAGTGAGTGAGTTGGTGAGTTTAGTTTTATGCCACACTCAGCAATATGCCTGCCATATGGCAGTGGACTGTAAATATATAATAGAATCTGGACCAGATAACCAGTGATGAACAGTATGACCATCGATCTACACAACTGGAATACAATGATATGTGTCAACCAAGCGCACCAAAACCAGTTTCACTCAAAGTAAAATTTGTTGCCATGGAAATGCAAAAAATATCTTATTCAGAAATGCAAAACTACCAAAAGGCACCAGTTCACCACCAGATCTATCTATGTGCCAGGTTTGGTGAAGAAATATTGAATCGTTTTAAAGTTCTGCTCCGGAAACGAGCACCAACACCAATTGCACTCAAAGTAAAATTTGTTGCCATGGAAATGCAAAATATATCTTATTCAGAAATGCAAAACTACCAAAAGGCACCAGTTCATCACCAGATCTATCTATGTGCCAGGTTTGGTGAAGAAATATTGAATCGTTTTAAAGTTCTGCTCCGGAAACGAGCACCAACACCAATTGCACTCAAAGTAAAATTTGTTGCCATGGAAATGCAAAATTTATCTTATTCAGAAATGCAAAACTACCAAAAGGCACCAGTTCATCACCAGATCTATCTATGTGCCAGGTTTGGTGAAGAAATATTGAACAGTTTTAAAGTTCTGCTCCGGAAACGAGCACCAACACCAATTGCACTCAAAGTAAAATTTGTTGCCATGGAAATGCAAAATATATCTTATTCAGAAATGCAAAACTACGAAAGGGAACAGTTCATCACCAGATCTATCTATGTGCCAGGTTTGGTGAAGAAATATTGAACAGTTTTAAAGTTCTGCTCCGGAAACGAGCACCAACGCCAATTGCAGTCAAAGTCAAACTTGTTGCCATGGAAATGCAAAAAATATTTTATTCAGAATTCCAAAACTACCAACAGGCACCAGTTCACCACCAGACTTATCTGTGTTGGAGTTGGTGCGTTTTTCCGGAGCAGACTTGGCAGATAGATAGGTCTGGTGGTGAACTGGTGCCTTTTGGTAGTTTTGGATTTCTGATTATAATACATGGACGCACGGACGGACGAATGGATGGACAGAAGGATAGATGAATGGGTGGACGAACGGACGGAGTGCATTTTAATACCTGTCGCAGAACGCATTGCGAGGGATAAAAATAGGACTGTCAACATGCATCAGAACGAGTTGGGTTTGTCAGCTTGCTGTGGGCGGAAAACCTCAAGTAATGTACGTCTTAGTACTCTTATATATTACCATAACTTTGGTCTTCCCTCACACATGAATCTGTCATATGTTAAAAACATCTTAAATTCAACTCATTCACACATTACATAAGTTTACATGAAGAATACGTGTATGATTTACTAATTTCAAAAGCGCAGTTACCTATTGAATAAGCTTAACTCACTTTCTTATCCAAACTACGCAGGCTACAAAGATTAAACCATTCTAAACCTGGAGGATCTTTATTTACAAAACAGGATGTTTTGTTATACAGACCCTATCATATCTATATTAGTCATACAGTATACTATGGTGGTAACCAGCTCTTAGGGACCACTTACTTCAGTTCATTATAACCATAGTTATACACATAACATATTTTGACTAAAATATACAGAAAGTCGCGGGGACCAAACAAACAGTTTGTTATATCCATCATTTCATTATAAGCATGCCCATTATAAACATAATCTTTTGTAAAAGTATTTGGTTCTTGACTCATTCAAAGGGAAAAATTCAGCTGCTAGACCACATTGTTCCTATGAATGAACTTACTTTCAGCATTAGCCATGGGAATAATCAACACCCAGAGATAATTGTTTATTTATCACATGCATCACTGTTGTCAAGGTGACGCTCCCCAGGACTGACCAAAGTATATTCTAGGGTTAATGAGCAGAATGTGTGTTATGTCTCTGTATCAAGGCATAGAATGTTTTTCTTTGATTCTTTGATGATATGTTTTTTAACATTGCACTCAGCAATTTTCCGGCTATTAGTCTGCGGTCTGTAAATAGTCAAGTCTGGACCAGACAATCAAGTGATTGACAATGACACCATGAACATCGATCTATGCAATTGGGAAACGATGACAAGCATCAACTAAGTCAGTGAGCACCCAATCCCATTAGTCGCCTCTTACAACAAGCACAGGTTCCTGAAAACATTTCACTTTTTTCAACTATTCATCTCACTTCAACATGTGACACGGAGATAGTGCAAACTATTTCACCTCACTTCAACTGATGACACAGATAATGTCACCATTTCACCTCACTTCAACTGATGACACAGATAATCTCATCATTTCACCTCACTTCAACTGATGACACACGTAATCTCACCATTTCACCTCACTTCAACTGATGACACAGATAATCTCACCATTTCACCTCACTTCAACTGATGACACAGATAATCTCACCATTTCACCTCACTTCAACTGATGATACACGTAATCTCACCATTTCACCTCACTTCAATTGATGACACAGATAATCTCACCATTTCACCTCACTTCAACTAATGACACACATAACCTCACCATTTCACCTCGCTTCAACTTATGACACAGAGATAATGCCACTTATGTTTCCAATATTCCAATATTTCTAAAGAACTATAAACATCACAAAAGAATGAATAACCAATAGCATTACTTACTTGAATTTGCTTGGTTCATACTTTGCTCTGGCCTTGAAAACAACCTGAAAAGTAATATCCATGTCCTTAATCATATTCAGTACTAAACATGCTGTCAACACCAGATGAGGATCTTCTCGCATCCTTCATTATCTAGAGTATAATGTCTCCATTCTCGGTGATCAAAATAGTGCATAATTTGGGTGTCATGGCACAGTAAATATTACAATTTCACGGTGCCCTGGTTGCATGCCTTAAACATTATTATACAAATAATACCATGATTCATTTAATGGATAATGCAATCAAATTGACTAATTCAAATGATTCAAAACCTTATTTTGCACCCCATTTAACTATTTATATCCATGGCACTCACAATCTCACACCTTAACACCTGATCGATTTGAATGCCAGTGTGCATGAAAGGAAACCCAGTTTTGGATGACTACCGGCCTATCTATGGTAATATACAGTAGTTTCTGGGTTAGTTTATGGTCCAGGACAAATGAAACCTAACTATTCTCGAAATCATGATAGTGTCAGGAAATCCTGGTTTACATATTTACTGATTTACTAATAATAAATTAAAATCACATGACTGTAGTGATGTTTTATGTTTAATTGGATCATAAAAAATGTACGGGCACACCCATTTTCACAAAGGCACACCTAAATTATCCGAAATTGCATTTCTAACCCTGATTCTGATATATAGCCCCCTATCCTGTGCCACTGTCAATTTCATTTTAGAGTGAGTGAGTGAGTATGGTTTATGTCGCTTTTAGCAATATTCCAACAATATCACATCGGAAGACATCAGAAATGGGCTTCACACATTGTACCCATGTGGGGATTTGAACCCAGGCCTTCGGTGTGATGAGCTGACACTAACCATTAGGCTATCCCACCATCCCACTTCATTTTAGAAGTGAAACACCATTAGCATGTCTACATGCTTTGTTTAATTAGAACAGAATTTCTCTCGCTTGTGAGCTTGAAATCAGCAACCAATCAAACTACTAAGTTTAGTATGGGTCCATTTTAAAAAATTGCATGTATGAGTGAGTGCTGGATATATGTTTGATAGCGGATGCAAGGGGTTCCAGAAAGTATTAGGGTTGCCAAGCAACAAAGCGTTCCTTGATGTATTAGTGGTGTTTTGCAAGAAGGGGAGCTGAGCACTGGCAGAAGAATTGATTTTCAGCAACCCATGCTTCGCGTAAAAGGCAAGCAACAGGATACGGTGGTAAGACTCGTCTACTTGGTTAACACATGTCATTGTATCCCAGTTGCATAGATCGATGCTCATCTCCATCACTGGATTGTCTGATTCAGACTCCATTTATTTACAGACCACTGTTATATAGCTGCAATATTGCTGAGTGTGTAAACAAAGATAACACATGATAAATTGGTGTAATTTGTGTTGTCACATCAATTAAAACGGATTATCAAAATTGAATATATTTATGATCATTATACTATATGTGAAGGATATTTTCTACCACAATTATTGTATCTATCTTTGCTGACAAAATCAAAAACATACTAACATGATAAAATCTGTATTCATAGTTTGTTTATTTGTTTGTTTTAAGTATGCATGGCAGCAGTCTTCAAAACTAATTATTCTGGACCAGATAATTCAGTGATTGACATCATGAGCATCCATCTATGCAACTGGCATGTGTTAACCTACTAGGTAATATGATGGGACAGGTGGGATATGATGACGTGCATCAACAAGTCAGCGAGCCTGGCCACCTGATCCTGTAAATTGCCTCTTACAATAAACAGTCACCTTTTGCGTCAAGCTCGGGCTGCTGATGACCAATTCTAACCAAGATCTTCAGAACTTGTACTCATACAAATTAGGCAATACATTTATTATGCAACATTTTTTCCATCATGTGTATACAAGTTTACATGCATTTGACACCAAATGCTTTTTCTCCAAAACCTTGCTGAGCGTAAACTAGACATGCTAACAAATAACAATATTTAGATACTTATAAACATGCAGTAGTCATTCTAAGTTGTAATGCTATGCATGCATCTTTCATTTCCTTTCAGCTCCTAATTATTTACTTTATTATTTTGCTTTACTTTACTACAACATTTGTCCTGATACCACCTGAATGAAATTACAATTGATGTCAAGTAAATTGTCATATACAAAATACTGAATAATTTTTAAGTTGCATACTGCATATATTTTAGGAAAATGAATTAATTATCATACTCATGATACACTGTATTACAGTCATTATTCAGCCTTTATACAGGGATTTACATGCAGTCCTGTATTTGAGGGTCCCTGGGACTCATACTCTTAATTTTCAGGGGGTCCTGGACAACAAAATGGGGGTCCCAGACACTTAAATATTATTATCAATACTGTTAAATTATTTTATTGTGCATCATGATCATCACATTGTTACAGTAATTAAATTGCAAATAATACCATAACCCAGCTAGGAGCAAACTCAGTGATAACTTATTGCCACTTGATTGGAATCGAGTCCCTGTGGACTCGCTAATAAATTTTGTTGCGTCCAGTGTCAATTTTTATGCAAACTCAGGAATTCGCTTCCTGTAAATCCCTGCTTTATATATAATAATTTTAAGTACCAATCTGTGACCTTAGAACATAAACGAATCAATAAATGTAACGTTCTTGTGATCATGACTATCTGTACTTTGATCATGTCTGTATACGGACAGCTGTCACAGTACCACAGGTCAACATTCCCTACTTTATCTACAATCATATTAAAAAAGTACCACTTTCCATCAACAGACTTTATATACGTTATTTGTGGTTAGACAGGATGATGACGCTTTTGTTTGGGTTCACAGCTAGAGATAAATATTTGTTTGTAAACATCAATCTTACCTGTGCAAAAAATAAAACCAGTAGGCACAGCGTTGTAAACTGTAGGCAGACAGGACAGCAGTATAACAACCAATAGAATACCCATGGCAAGTCATTAGCCAGGTCGCAATCTTGGACGTAAAATGAAAATAAAGTCGTTCTCAAACCGGACCAAATCAGACAAAGGAAAAGGAATACTGTCTGGTAACTAAAACGTTTGTGTCGGTAGTACCATATCATCCATAACTGGATATACACAACGAAGAACAGTAGCCCATATAATGATATGTATACGACTGTCAGACTTAACTGCACACTCGGCGAGAGGGCAGGTTTTAGTCGTGGTAAGCTTGTTATCGGAATATCAAATGGATATGGATTGTCACTGACAGCTGATGCAGAATCCTCAGAATGTGACAATAACACGTTTGGAAAGATCCTGGCTATTCTCTCTTGACCGGACATTATAAGAACAGCATGTCCTCCGATAAGCTGTTACATGATCACCCAAGTATACTCCATGAACGAGTTATCTGAAGTACCGCCCATCTTTTCCTGACGGAAGCAGCTGATTTGTTTTTGCGACCTTGACCTTTGACATTAATTATTCATAAAAATTAAAAATATGAAATACCATAATCGTAATGGAACAGGTGTTTTATTACAAATAATATGTTTTGATAAGTGAGTTTCATACATTTAAAATGGCAAATAATTGCCTTATAGCCTATATTTGCTGCTGTCAAATTTCTGCGGGTTTGAAACATGGCTGCGCCCATGAGAGTCATATGTGTTCTTATAGCGACGGCAGATATTTATTGTTAATGAGCGTACTGTGGAGAAATTAGCAATATGATAAGTTGCATCGGTAGCTCGTGTAGACAGTTCATGTCAAAACCAAAGCTGACATGTTACAACTTTCTTCTTTTCTCTCGAAACAAGAGTAACAACAGCTCAAAGAAAGGCTCCAAAAGCAAACGCTATTCTGAAACGCTGAACCTCCCGAAAACACCGTTCCCATTATCTCTAAGAGAGGGAGTGGCCTCAAAACGCGAACTGGAGATACAAAAGGTGATGTAAATCAAAGCAAATTTATGGTGCACCCTTGCTTCCGCGCGTACACAGTTTCCACTAACACCCCTTGGTCTTTCACATTTAGTGAGTGAGTGAGTGAGTTTAGTTCTACGCACTCAGCAATATTCCAGCTACAGACCCGTGCCAGTTATATTCGGACACTTGACTTGACGCTTATTTATCGAATGGCAACAATTTAATCAACATATGTACAGTGTCGTGAACTCCTTTAACATAGCGGCCTATGGGATTGTGCATTGTGGAACTATACGTAAGTTGATGAATGTGATGTCTTTAGTTAAATAGTGGTTGGAAAATTGAACTGAAATTATGTGCGCAGAGCAGAGATGATTTAAAATTTGCCTGTCAAATTTTACAAAGCTCTATCCTAAACTCACTTCATGAAAATTATTTATGCTACACTGAATTAACATGTAAGTCTATGGAAATGACGTCAAGTGTCCGAATATAACTGGCACGGGTCTGTACATTGCGGTCTGTGAATAATCGAGACTCGACATGACAATCCAGCGATCAACAGCATGAGCATCGATCTACGCAATTGTGATACAATGAAATGTGTCAGTCAAATCAGCAATCCTGACCACCCGATCCCGTTAGTAGCTATTACGACAAGCATGGGTGACTGAAGATCAATTCTAATCCAGGTCTTCACGGGTCTGCAGTCTTTCACAAATGTAGGAGGCAGAAGTGGATTCTGATCAAAATAAACATGAGGGATACATTAATCTGATTGAGTATGGTTTTACGGTGCTCTTTGCAAAATACCAGCAATGTGACAGTATTGAAATGGGCTTCACACATTGTATCCATGTGGGGTGAAATTTATCTAAAACATCTCTTTGCAAGAATGATGACAACATATAACGGCAAATCCTTTTTAAAAAAATCAAATTCTACTACTGTTAAAGGGAAACAAAACTCAACTCTCACAGCTACCGTAAGACAATTTGCAGACAGCTACAAATAAGCATCCCATGAGATTGGGCTACTATCTGTAAGGACGGCGGATATAAACTTTTAGACAATGTTTATATGCATATATATATACACGCATACCAAAAGGCACATGTTCACTAGATTTCTTCAGCCTAGACAAGCAGACAATGGATTCCCATCAGGTGTTATTTTTTTGGAAATATCCCTTACTTTTTGAGACAATTGCATGTAATACAACAAAAATTGCTCCCTTAGTCATCCATGTTTATTCGTAAAACCCCTACATTAGTGTAATTGTCATCATTTCATGTCATGCTCAGTTAATGGCTTCAATATAAGTCTTAATTAGTTATTTCAACACTCTGATTACCTGGACTACACAAAGTAACTCAATTAGGTTCACTCCCCCTCTTTTGGGCGGTGGGGTAGCCTGGTGGTTAAAGCATACGCTCGTCACGCCGAAGACCCGGGTTCGATTCCCCACATGGGTACAATTTGTGAAGCCCATTTCTGGTGTCCCCTGCCGTGATATTGCTGGAATATTGCTAAAAGCAGCGTGAAAAACATACTCACTCACTCACTCCCCCCTCTGAGAGTGTGAAGGATTTTGCAATCAGTGGTTTGCATTTGGCATTTCTCATGTCTAGTATACTGAATATTTGCACCAAAACGTTGATGTGGTGTATGTATTACATGTTGTGTAATATGCACATGGCAGTACGGTGAGAGGAATGGCCACTTGATCTGTGTTGTAAAAATATACCAAAGGATTAACTGATGAATCATTGTCGTCATGCAAAGTTACGCCAATATGCTTGAAAACGGTATAAGAAGCTATACCGAAACGTCGCTATTGTGAAAATAAAGAAGTTGATCGCCCATAAGATTTTGTCATCTCTATACATGTTACCGTCAAAATGCAAAACACATTACACATGCAACAGTATTTAGTTTTGTCTGATGGACATGCACAGACAACTTCATACAGAATATTGCCTCATCATTGCATTCTATTTTTGTTTTGTAGACATGTGCATTTGACAAGTTGTACCAGTGGCAGCAAGGACAAGAGAGAGATGCAAACTTTGTGCTTCATGATGGTCCTCCATACGCTAATGGGAAGACACATGTTGGGCATGCAGTCAACAAGGTATTTCAGTCAACAGACACTCCACCTTATGCTGAGATGAATGAGACCCTACTGGTACCTTGACCAGTTTCAGTTTGTGTGATTTTTATAAGTATCCAGCATCAGCTGTGTAATGTGACATCTGAAACCATGGTAACAGATTTAAATGTAAAGTTAAAGGCACAATGTCACGCTTTTTCAACAATATTTTGGCCTATAATTTATATATTGGAGGCATATACTCTCACTTTAGCTTCCTATTGATGCAATAAAAGACTTATTATCCCTTACGACTTGCCTGAAATCGATAATTGAAACTTCAAGATGAACAGCTTCCAAACAGACACACTTGCCATATATGGAATGTAGACAATTGCTCCGTATATCGACAGCTGTCGCACGCGGTGTTGTCGGTGTTTGCAGAACTGGTTTAAATCACAAGTTGTGTGTAGGATAAAGAACGCTCTAAGGGACATAACTCTGTGGGGTCCGCTTGAAATAATGTTCAGCTGGTAGAGGGCACGAGAGTCGATTTAAAGCAACATTGCATTAATTCATTTGAACTCTTTAATTTAATATTGTAGTCTAAATATGTAATTTTCTTTGGAATAAATGATAATGTAGCTTCCCTGAGGGCTGATAGTATTATTGAGAGGATTGCATTATGTATTTATAGAGAAATGTTGTGTGACATTGTGCCTTTAAGTTAAACATGAACATTTATCATGTTGATAGTGTTTGGTTATTTTGCAGGAAGATGATTCAGTTAAAATAAGTCCAGTTGGCAGCCAGAAATAATCATAATAATATTAATGATAATAAGTCAAACATCCTTAGATTTGTATACCTCCCTTTTTCACTACTAAACAACTCTATCATAATCAATTTTGTTACATTTCGCAGATACTGAAAGACATAACAAATCGCTACAGACTGATGCGGGGTTATAAAGTCCATTATGTGCCAGGTTGGGATTGTCATGGGTTACCTATTGAACTCAAAGCTGTCAACCACCAAAAGGAATTATCTCCCCTCCAAATTCGCAAAAAAGGTAAGCTGTTAATATCTATTATACTCCCCAGTAAATACTTGGAACCCAAGAAACATGTTTGACATAAATGTGACTAAATGCATTGATTACACAGACTTGATGACCTGGGCCTAGATTTTTTAAGCTCTCTTAGCGCTAAGATAGTCGTAAGTGCCATACATTAACATTAACTTACGACTATCTTAGTGCTAAGAGAGCTTCGAAAATCTAGGCCCAGGTTGACTGGATGCCATTGTGCTGTACTGGCCAGGATCAATGCTCATTATGTCAATCACTGGATTGTTTGGCCCAGACTCAATTAAACATTGGTCACTGCCATATAGCTTGAATATTACTGAGAAGGGTGTTTAAAGCTTAGATGCAACCAACAAAATAAACATAATTAAAACACAATTGCTTATTATGAAAAAAAAAACAAATAAACAAAATTAGAAGCGTACAATCGCAAATTCAAAAGTGCAATATTTTGTACTTGGGTTTACTACCCAGGAAATGAAGCCCCCGGGACACCGAACCCAGTCAGAGCTGGTGGGCATGCCCTTAAGTGTAACGAAGTCTTTCATTGGCTGGTTCATTTGCCGATACACTCAGGGCTCTTTGTGTGTTTGTATAGGCATCCAGGCTCAAGCCACACAAACCTATTCACTGCGCATGCTCTAGGTTCGCACAGCAGCACAGCTGTTGAAACCACTTTTCACCCCAGCTGGGGTCTTTTTAGTGAATCGTTTGAACTCCGATTTCATGAGATTTTTTTGTCATGTTATTTTTTAACTTTATAGGTTGAATTTACTTATTTTTCCTTATCCTGACTCGTGCTTAATTGCCTGTCTTCTTCTTGCGAACATAGTGGAACACTTGTATCTCCTATTGAAGCTCCCTTCAATGTAAAATCACTAATCACTACTCACCAAAAGTTGTCCCTCCTTCCGTTTTGGCGGGAACTGGCGCCACTGTTCCCCCACATGCTTCACTCTCTCCTTCTTCGCCCAGTAAGCAGGTTGTGAGAGCGCCTGTGTCTCCTTACAGCACTATATCCTTTGATTATTTAGTTAGTTACCTCTATAAGTTCTTTATAGAGGTTTAGCTAGTATCCTTCATCAATATGTTTTGATATTTATTCGTATTTACCACTGTTTATTCACGGTGTATTCCATGGTTGTTCAGTAGTTTACGTTCATGAAAATCTGTTCCGTATGTAAGTTACGTTTCTCTGCTGCTGACCCGCACCTAATATGCCCTAGTTGCACAGTACCATGTTCTTTCAGCTCACGCTGCAATCATTGCAAGCATTTATCAAATTGTGAATTTAATAAATATTTACTTTGCGTCCTGAGACGTGCCGCAGATAGGTCGCGCAGGATTGATCCAGTCATGGATAAGTCAGCTGAGTCCTTCACCAGTCAACTGCTGTCGGACGACCCCCTACCGTCTGGTGTTCCGCTGGAGTTTCCCTCGGAGGAGAGGCGTGGGACGAAGTCCGCCACCTCCAAGAAGAGACCTGCATCTCCAGTCATCCCGTCGTCGCAGTCCAAGACTCGGAAGTCGTCAACCACCCAGCGCAGACTTCGCACCCCCAGGGCAGCGTCCACCACCAAGGGGAAGTCAGCGCAGACTACTACGCTGACTACAGATGATCGTCCCGTGGGCCCCGTCGCCATCAACGCAGAAAGGGCAGCGCTGGTACCACCGCAGACCTTCCCGGGCGACTTTATGCAGCAGTTCTCCCAGCAGATCATGGAGATGATGGAGGAGCGTTACGGCCTGGAAAAGAGACAACCAACCCAGGGACCGAGCCTTCGCGAAGGCTCCAACGCAGACATCATTTCTGAGGGGCCTGCCATCAATGTGACTTCTGCCAGCAGAACTACACTACCTGACCAGCCTGCGCGAAGGCCGACTCAGCCAGCCCCTGCGGAGGACTCGGATGATCAGCGTTCGCGAAGGCGTTCGCGGAAGGCTACACGATCTTCACCTGCTTCGGACTCGGATGATCAACGTTCGCGAAAGCGTTCGCGAAGGAGAAATCACTCATCAATCACTCATCCCCGGACATGACAACCAGCCTTCGCGAAGGACCAGTCGCCACTCCCCAAGTGCGGACTCAGATGAAGCTTCGCGAAGGCCTTCGGCAAGGACATCAACTACAGTATCCAAGGCATCTTCGTCCCATAGATCGTCGAGGGATTCACCAGGACCTTCGCCAACCAACAGTCGCTCATCTCCGCGCAGGTCCCCGCGCAGGTCACCCTACTGAATTTGTCCACTATTACAACTCAGGTAACGCAACATATTATTGTAACGACATACACTGCACCCTACAGGCACACACATGACACAGTTCGGTGGGCCATTCACCACGTCGATCTCTTCGCCTATCTCCACGCAGATACCCACGCAGGTCTCCGCGCAGGTCTCCAAGAAGGTCTCCACGCAGGTCTCCACGCAGGTCACCACGACGTTCGCCCAACAAGTCCCTGCGCAGGTCTCCATGTAGATCGCCACCCAGATTACCACAGTCACGCAGGACTCCACCTCGTTCACCGTCGGAAGAGTATCAACGTCCCTTTCTCAGCACTTCTGTTACTGAGGATGATGGCGGCATCATATTTTCGGACTCTGAAATACGTTACTGGATGGCTAATGGATTGGACTTGGCTTCACCATCTAAAGAAGATAATCCGGCTCACACCTATCTTATGACAGATGATGATGTCGACACGCTCACTCTGCCCCCGATCGACCCATCGCAGCGGTTCCACAGAACCTTGACGCAGCTTTCAAGACAGCCACTAAAGCCCAGGCGCCACACTTACCACAGTTCAACGCCAGGAAGTTCTCCTCCCATAATATGGATCCCTTCCTTAAAGCTCAGGATATAGACGAGAACTTTAAAGTAATCAGCGATGCCAAGGCCAAGTCTTACAAGATTGAGGACCGCAAGCTGGCTCAAGTAGAAACTATGACCAGAAGAATGTTCTTTGGCCTCAACAGATCTCGCACATGATCTATTCGGCCCTCCTTATGCACAAGAAGGACCAACAGTTCATGACAGACCACCTTTCGTCCATCTCCGCAGCGCTAACTCTGGCTTGTCGTCAAGGTCTCCTCGCCTCCTGTAGTTGGAGTGAACAGTTTACAACGTCACTCTACACAGCCCCGTGGTCAACTCCTTCCATCTTCGACAGGGTTGCTAAGGAAGTCACTAAAGATTCAAGAGAAGTCCTAATGATCAAGTCCATAGACACTCTGGCCAGCGTCATCAGGCAGACAACCCAGCGTTACTCAGGAAGATCCAAGTTTCCTGGAATACAGAGGGCACGCGACAGGAAAGTGGCTAGCTCCAGAGGTGGGAAGGACTCTTTTTGCCACCCATTCGGCAACTACAGGGGAGGATCCGGATGAGGCAGGGCACCCAGAGGCTCCCGGAATTATCGACGATGAAAGACGGGTTCGGAACGACTGGAATACTACAAGATCCATACGTATCCAACATCCTAAGACACGGATATCGCATCCAACTACAGGCCATGCCACCGCTTACAGTCAACCCTCACAAGTTCGACCACAAGACACATCAGATAGAGAAGTTACGAGAGGCTGTCTCATCTCTTCTAACCAAGCGTGCCATAGAAATCGTGGATCAAGCCAACATCGAACCAGGTTTCTACTCCCAAGTTTTCCTGATTCCAAAGAAAAATTCCAAAGAAAAGTTCCGACTCATCTACAATATGAGCACGTTCAACAGGGATTATCTACGCAGACCTCCCAAGTTCCGCAGGATACATCTACCTCAATTAATCCACCTCGTCCGTCCGATGGACTACATGGCCAGCATAGATCTGCAGGATGCCTACCTGCATATCCCGATACATCCCGACTCGTGAAAATACCTCAGATTTACACTAGACGGGCTACATTACCAATGGAAGGTCCTGCCATTTGGAATATCATTGGCCCCCTGGTTGTTTACAAGAGTAACGAAACCAATAGTCACATATCTACATCATCGAGGACTACGCAGTGCATTCTACCTCGACGACGGGATTCAAGTAGACCAAGACCCAGTCCGTCTCAAGCTACAATTGAATTTCACCATCAATCTACTAACGCAGCTAGGATGGTTAGTGAATCTACTCAAGTCGGACCTAGAACCTACGCAGGACCTACAGTTTCTAGGCATCAGATTTCTCACGACGCACAACCGTATCATCGTGCCAGAGGACCGATGGCTCAAGATTCAACAGACCATCCCTCAAGCCTTACTCTCTCCGTGGCCACTACGACAGTGGCAGAGTCTGTTGGGTCTCCTCACGTCCGCACAAGACATGACAGCCAGAGGCAGACTACAGCTACGCCCGTTACAGGTCCTCATCAATGCTCATCTAGACGACCTACAACCCTTCGGTCTACCGAAATATCTCAGACCTCATCTACTATGGTGGACCCGGAGGTCGAATGTTTGTGAAGGCATCTATTTAGCAGAGCCGGAGTTCAAGGACGCCACGGGCAACGGACGCTCTCAGCTCTCAGCATATCTTGGGAAGGCCTCAACGCGTACGCGTTTCCGCCGCCAGCGCTTATACCAAAGGTTGTACAGAAAATCAGTCAGACAAGGAACCTCCAACTGATTTTTGTCGCGCCTTACTGGCCAGCGAGAATATGGTTTCCCGTTCTCATACAAGAACTCGGACCTCCAATACTGCAACTACCAGAGTGGTCGAATATACTAGTACATCCTCACACAAAACAAGCGCACGGCAACCCAAGGGCATTCCAACTACACGTATGGAATGTATCAAGGCATGTTTAAACAAGAGAGGTTACTCAGCCAGAGCGGCGAAAGCAGTCACGCTTGCTTTACGCAATTCTACACGCAACTTGTATGACGACAAGTGGCGCAGTTTTGAGACCTACGCTGCTAAAAAGGGATTTACAGCTAGAAATGCAACACATCCTCAAGTGGCAGACTATCTTTGTCACCTACGACAAACCAAGCGTCTGAAAGGGTCTACACTCTCAACATACCTAGCGGCATTGAGTTCAGTGATAACTATGAGGACGGATGCAAAGCTAACCAAAGTACCAGAGTTACTGGCCTTGTTACGCTCTTACAGATTGGAGGACCAAAAACAGAGATTTCGCGCTCCGGCATGGGACCTCAATATTGTTCTCAAACATCTCACAAGTGACGTTTACGAACCACTGGAGATGACATCCTTTGAATTCTTGACACAGAAAACGCTGTTCCTGCTAGCCCTAGCAACAGCAGCCAGGATGTCGGAAATTCATGCGCTAGATTACCAGAGAACGCAATTTGATGTGCATATGGGACTGCGATGGGATTTTATCACTAAGAATCAACTGCCAGGTCAACCGGACAGACAATTCCACGTCCGAGCACTATCCTCCATACTCGGACCACATGATACGCTTGACTTATCCTTGTGCCCAGTGAGAGCATTGAAAGTTTATCTACATCGATCCAGAATGAGGAGACGCAAGTTTAAACGACTTTTCATCCCGATATCAACAGCGACACAGACGGAAGTCTCCCGCACTACGATATCAATCTAGGTAAGAACTGTCATACTACGAGCCTACAAGGCTGCAGGACTCGATCCTCCAAGAGCCTCTAACCCTCACGAAATTAGAGCACTGGCGTCAACACTCGCTCTACATGGGAATTGCTCGCTGAACACGATCATGGAGGGCTGTTTCTGGAAATCGGACATGGTGTTTGCAAACCACTACTTGAGAGATATCGCCACCGAGGACGTCTCAGGCATTCACCATTTCGGCCCTCTGGTTGTCGCACAGCAGTTGACAGTTCCCCACAGAAGATGAGACGTAGTCTCGCTGTGTTATCACATGACTTATCAAGCCTACACTCAGCAGAGTTTTGCCTCAGTATCAATGCACGTTTCAAGACTAACATAAGTTATAAACCCAGTACTTGTAAAGTTACTAGTACAGTTGGGTGGCTTCTCCACTTTGGAGTCGCTAAATCCACATGGAGATGTTAACAGAAATAGGACCAAAAGTTAACTATTGTGGTCCCCCCATCTAAAGGCAGCTGAAAGAACACCTTTGCTTACAGCAGCAGAATTTAGCATAATTACAGTGCCATTATGAAGTTCCCGTAGGTTTTTTTTATTTTGACGTAAAATTCACTAATTAAATCCTACAGTGCTTTTTCCCACCACCTTCTCCGTCGGATTCTACAAGCAATTAAGCATGAGTCAGGATAAGGAAAAATATGTAATTTTCTGAGTAAAATTGATATTTTATACTTATCCTGACTCATTAGGTAAGCCCTCCCAACCTCCCCACTAGACACTTTGGATTTCCCTGTAAATTCAAGTGTCGGGCTCATATTCAGGAGAGAGTGAAGCATGTGGGGGAACGGTGGCGCCAGTTCCCACCAAAACGGAAGGAGGGACAACTCTTGGTGAGTAGTGATTAGTGATTTTACATTGAAGGGAGCTTCAATAGGAGATACAAGTGTTCCACTATGTTCGCAAAAAGAAGAAGACAGGCAATTAAGCATGAGTCAGGATAAGTATAAAATATCAATTTTACTCAGAAAATTACAATTTACCGAAAGGTATCTGAATCTGCAAAGTTGAGTTTATGTTGCAGGTAAGCTTTAACATAAAGAAACTGAGCAGTCCTACTCTTCTCACTCAACCAACTAACCAACCAACCAATCAATCACTACACAAAGACGGAATCATGGAATACTTTAGTAATAAAAACGTCTCTCTCACTTATTATCATGGTTGTTGTTTGCTCTTTTTTATCACCGTTGTTAAATATTGTCCCTGTTATTGGTTCACCAGCTGAAGCATTTGCCCGTGAAACTATCAAAGTGCAGAAGGAGAGTTTCAAACGCTGGGGCATAATGGCAGACTGGGACAGATGTTACACAACACTCGACCGTGACTACCAAGTCAATCAATGGGAAACATTCTTTGACATGTATGAAAAAGTAGGTTCTTACATCTTGTATCTATGTCTTATTAAAGGGACTGTTTATGATTAATGGCTGTGTGAGCGTTGATTTTTTTAGGGGAGTGGGATTTGGAGCTCACCCATTTTGTTCTATGGTGGGTGTCATCAATTTTGTATACATGTACTGGGGTGGGGGTGGGGGGTGTTCCAGCACTTTTGTACATGATGTTATCTAAAACTTATGCTTAAAACTTATGGGAAGGTTGGGGGTGTCATTGATTTTGTACATTACGTGTGGGGGGTCACTTACTTTATGCATAAGTGTTAGGGGTGGGGTGGGGGGTCTTTCCCATTGGACATGGTTCTCGATAAAAATCATCATCAACCCCTTAACCATTAATTATGAACTTTACTTATTTCCATATTTTCTTGTGTCTAGTGCCGACCCATCATTTTGGGGTTCAATGTTTTGATATAAATGCTATCCAGGGTTTTGCTATGACTGAAAGGTGATGCACAGGTGTGGAATATGTATTGTTTGGTACAGTACCTTTCATTTGTTTTATTTGCTGTAGAGAGAATTTCTACATTTTGTAACCATGGTAACCATATCTATGGTAACACATGTTTTCAGGGTCTGATTTATGAAGACTATATGCCAGTCTATTGGTCTCCATCATCCAGGTACATTGCAATAATAAACATAAATTTCTGATGTGACGTAAATTCTTTTAAGATAAAGTGACTCTTTTAAGATGCACTCGCTGAAAATACCTTATTTTCAACAATCTGAACTTTTGACAGTTTAAATGTGATGAAATATTTAGCAGTTTGTTGATTAGTTTGTGTTTGTATTCTCAGATTAACATTTCATAATGGTATTTGACTTTCATATTACATATCATAAGGCATCAATTCATGACAATTGTAAAAAAAATGTTTGTGACTAGATAGGAAGTCAGTGACAGATGTGTCATTACAGAACTGCTCTAGCAGAGGCAGAACTTGAGTACAATGAGCAGCATGTCAGCAGATCTGTCTATGTCAAGTTTCCATTGGTCAGTGTCCCAGGGGAGATAACTCAATGTGTTGGTGAGCATTTACTATCAAACTTGTATAAATCTGATTTAAGTAATGTATTTTTGGTATAATAGCCTCTATTCATGTGTTTCACAATGTTCACTGTGTTGTTCAATGTTGTTTGTCAGGATCAGAGTGTAAGGTATCTGCTGTTGTGTGGACGACCACACCTTGGACTCTTCCCTTCAACCAAGCTATCTGCTATGGCAAGGATATTAGGTGCGTATTATTAATTGTCATAATTCTGTTCGGCGAGAAACATCTTGAACAAAACCTAGCTGTTTGGAATATATTTAGCAACAAGATTTGTTGACAAGATCTTGCTTCCTGCTTGGCTAGACATGGTCTTGAATAGACACTTGCTATCTAATTGTACAGTGTAAATCCTGCAATCTGATTGGCTAGACACAGCCTGGCATTAACTCCATACAAGTTGGATATCATCAGTTTGATGTGACATCACATGCTTGTCAGTAAACAGGAGGTTGATCCTTTTTACATCTGGACAAATCACATTCAGATTCACAAGAACTCCTACTGTCATATTACTATACTGTATCATCAGTTTGTGATGATAGGTCATACAATGTCAATAGTAAGATGTACAGGATTGTACGCACTGAATCTTCATGAACAGCTTACAGCCTAGTCTAAAGTCCATTCATCTTCTAAAGTCATGTATACTGTCAACATTAGGGGTGGGTATTGCAGAGAATTTTCATATTGCTATATATTGTGATGCGAAAGCATATATTGCGATATGTATTTGCAATATATCGCAAGAAGCTCTTTTTTAACAAAAAAACCCTACTTATAATCGAATTAATGCTTGATTTATAAAGCAAAAACACAAAAAATGACTATGCTTGATTAAGCTTTAATAAAAATATAAACAATAGTTGCCACAAATAAAAAAGGAAAGGAAGAATTAAAAAGACGATAACATCCGAAGATTTCCGAGTGTTACAAAGTTTTCCGAATGCGTGTCAAAATACCGGTTTTCGATCAGCGTATCGCAATATTATCGTTTTCATGTCTGAACTGGTAAATACCGGTAAACCGGCTACACTGCGCAGCCCTAGTCAACATATGTAATTCATGTTAATAAAATATATCTTGTAAACTTCACAGAGAGGGGTGTGATGGGTTTTTCTCATTTTGTTGTATGACAGGTACACAGTATGGAAAGATGATAGTGCAAGGGAGGCAATCCTGTGTCAGGAACATTTCAGTGAGAAACTCCTGTCCTTCCTCCCAAACTCGTTCCATCCTGTAGGCTCTGTACAAGGTACTGTAGACAGCTTTCTGCATTCATTTTGGACGTAATAAAAATGCAAGAATCATTTCCACATATTTGATCTCATATAATGCCTTGCAGGAGAGGTCTTGAAAAACACTGTCTACACACACCCCCTGACTGGGCGGAAACTGCCGTTCTTGGCAGGAGATCATGTGACCAGTGGGAAGGGAACAGGATTGGTCCACACAGCACCAGCTCACGGCCATGAAGACTTCCAGTTGGCTGTCAAGTATGGCCTCCCTGTAGTAAGGATTACTTGGAGCTATTTTAGTGGACCATGATCATTGCTCATGTTCGCTTTCATCCTGGAATCTTCCTGTGCAGTAATCATCTATTTTTGCCTGAGTTATGCAATCATTGCAAACTTCGCCTAGCTCTGTGTTGATATGAGTTATGCCCAAACGGTGGGCACAGGTCTCCCATTTGTGTAAGGTGCTGTAATTTACTGTGCGGAGTTGCACCCCTTGGCCATGCCCGAAAAATCTTGGATCGTGGTGGCGCGTGGTCCTGTGCTCAAAGCTCAGGTCACAAATCGGTGTAGTTAAGCAGCGTCGAGCTCGGAGAGTCCTTGGATGGGTGACCGTGTTCGGCAGTTTGACTCCTGAGAGTTTCTAGGACTTGATTCCTGCCCCACAATGAAGCATATGTGACACATGTGGTCTCACCTTAGGCAAGTGAGTTTGTTCAAAATTGTCTCTGTTCACCCAACTGGAAAATGGGTACCCGGTGGAAAAAAAGTCATATGACTATAACCTTCTAGCGCCTAACAGGCAGCTTGGGTTATCCGGGGTAATAATGACCTTGATTGTTAGCGCTATGAGCATACCTAGTGTGGAGTTTGGCGCTATATAAATGGACACATTATTATTATTATCTTGGATTGAATCCAGGTTCACCCCAATTATGTAAGGTTTGTCAGCTCTGCACATCTTTGTGTTTTTCAAAAGAGTGGTAAACATCAGGAGTCGTGTCAATTTACACTTGTCAGAAGGGTACACAAAGTCCGAAGTCTAGACTACAAATTGTACGACTTCCATTTTAGTCGAAGTTGCGGTGGCTGAGCGGGTTAGGCAGCTGACATTATGTCGAATAGGTGCCTGACTCTGAGTGTGTGTGTTCAAATCCCAGATGGGACTCAACCCAACGAAAGTACTAGAATCTCTACTTTACTGAGAAAGTGTAATCACAGACCTGCATTATTTCAGGTTTTTCTCACAAGAAGTTTATTTGCTATGACATACCTGGAATACTGTTCAAGGAAGCATTAAACCCTTCACAACCTGAATATTGTTGCATTGCAGTTAATGGAAATAGATCAGTGTGATTATAGAGAGCATTAATGTTGTTTAAAACAAGTTATCACACTGTCTTCTCTCAATATTACAGCCTGGTGTACATGTGTTGCAGGATTGTCATGTGGATGAGAGAGGCAGGTATATGGACAGTGTTGGTTCTCACCTGGCAGGTAAAACAGTCGGGGATGATGCAGATGATACAGGTAATCATAAATCCAGGTGACTGTTATCAAGACTAAAACTAGTTAAAGATGTTATTACCTTTTCTACATGTGAAAAGTGTAGCACTGCGTGACAGTATAACATTAAAGAGTGATTTGAAAGAAAAGGTCAAGCCTTGTGGAATGGCATTCCTGAAGATGAATGAAGAAGTATTCAACTTGTTTGCATGTCAAATTCCACACAAAATGTGTCCGTAATTGCCCATTATAGAATACATGTCTGTGCCTACTGTCTCCCCAGTGTTGAGCCAGCTAGGATCCCATGTTCTCCACCTGGAGGAGTTCGTTCACAGCTACCCTTATGACTGGCGGACCAAGAAACCGGTGATAATCCGAGCCAGCAAGCAGTGGTTCATAAACACATCAAAACTCCGGGACAGGGCTGTGGTAAGTGGATTTCAGTAGTCATTTGATAGATGTGGAATGAATTCTTATTTAAGTTGATTTACAACTTATGTATGCCTCATAGGTAATATTGACCTCAACGTACCTTCGTATTTTGTGGTTGTTGAAGAATAACAGCTGCCAAAACAATGCACCTTAAACACATTAGTGATATTAGCGAATGATACAACCTCTCTCAAGGAGGTGTATGGATATGGGAAGGGAGGTAAATCTGTCTGTCAAACTGTCTGAATTATTTGGATAAATGTTTTCAATCTATATGACACTACTTTGGTAGCAAAGTAAATATTTTTCATTTCTATTATTATAACACCTTTGTATCATGGTTTTGAAAATCATAATTTGGAAACCAGATAACCAAAACTGTAACAGTGTTGCCTTTGAATCCTGCATACATACCCAAAATACTTGGCCAGCTCCCTATCCTAGCTCTTGGGTTTTACCAGCCACATTGCCCCTTCATCTTGCATCACTGTCTTCCATACATACCGACTCGAAGCCTGTTAGTAAATATCTTCAAGCCATGATAGATTAACGATGGACAGATGAAAGAATTGGTCAAGTATCAAGCACCAGTTCCTAAAGCATTGCAAGTTAATATCCTTGTAATTTCTTAAAAGCATTGTAATGATAATGTAATGTGTTTATTGAGAAAACATTCTTTGAGTGATGAAACAATATTCTTGAGTGACTGTTTGTTGAGGCAAGTCTGAAGGATGTGCAGATCTACCCTCCGAACTCGGAGCAGGGCATGCTACAGCAGTTGGGCAGCAGGACGTACTGGTGCATCTCACGACAGAGGGCTTGGGGCCTGCCCATCCCTGTCTTCTACCACAAGCTGACCAGGGAACCACTGCTGACCAGGTGAGCTCCAGCAGGGAATACAATGATTCAATGAAAATATCTAACCCACTCAACCAACACTGATTCAATGAAAATGGAAGTCTGACATCTGGCATTGTGTATTCATAACTTTGAGAAAATACATAAACCGTTAAACATTGCTGACTCAGTGTGCTGGTGACAAGGTGCCTTACTTTAAGAGTATAGGTTCAAAACGCTTTGGGATTTAACCCCCCCAAAAGTGCCTGAATGTGTACTTTACTGTAATAAAAAATATACTGTTTCTCAAAAGTGTATTGTTTCCATTATATAACACTATAAGAAGGATGCTATCTACTGTATTGATATGGTGTGCCTTGTAGAGACATAATGAACCACATTCAGCACCTGCTGGTGGAGCATGGCCCAGACTTCTGGTGGACTCTGGATATGGTTGACCTGCTGCCGGACCATCTACTGCAGGTGATGCGAAGGGTCAGACTCACGATTGTTGATGTCTGTTGAATACTTCTTAATCACATATTTCATGTGTACTGATATTGCCCTTTTATTATGTGATAGCCTATTAAATCACCATACATCATTAGCAGACCTACATAAACATGGATGCTTTGATATATTTCCTGAATTAGAATGCCCCTGCCGACACCACATTTGGTTTGGTTTTGAAACCATATAGTCCAAGGCAAATCTTGTTGTGTGCACCACGTTTATATGTTTGGGGACTTACAAAAAGGTCAAGGTCATCCTCAACTGTGATAAATTGATAACTTGTTGATAGCCTGGTAAATGCTGTTATGATGATGGGAACAAAATCTGAAAATTCCTGATGTTCAAGGTCACAGTGAAGGTAATTTCTTGTTATTTTCTGAAGTTATTTTGAAAGTGCTATTAGAACAAGTAGTTGATGCATACTCGATCACCCACCTACCCTACCCAAATCTCCCACCATGGTACATACATACATACATACATACATACATACATACTAACATTTGTATAGCGCCGATATCCAGCTCAGCTCAGCTGCTCAAAGGCGCTTTGTTTTTTCCCTCGTTCACTGGATGTCAATCTCAACGGTACATCGTATTGTCAATCTCAACTCCCTGGGGATCATACAACTCTTGCAGCCACTAGGCGCACCGAGTTAGTGTGGCATTCCCATCCTTACGAGGTTACGACAGGACCATGGTAGTCAAGTTTACTATGTCTTTTTCAGCCCCATCAAGGCACAAGTGCTGACTACTGCAAAGGACAGGACATCCTCGACATCTGGTTCGACAGTGGAACATCCTGGGCAACTGTGCTCAAAGGTGAGTTAAACTAATGCCTTTGACAGTCAAACTCTGTTTCCAGTTTAAACATAGCAATACCTGTGTTCTGTTTGCCTGTTGCCTGAGTATAGCATTATACCGCTAGTGTCTGTCCTCAGACTGCGACAGTCAGGCCGACGTGTACTTGGAGGGCAAGGACCAGTATGGATGTTGGTTCCAGACGTCTCTGCTCACAAGTGTTGCTGTCAATGACAGACCCCCGTACAGGTAGGACTCGGTAGTTTTAAAGATAGTTTCAGATGTTGTTTCCATACACTTTCTCTAACATCCCCCATTTATGTTTGTGATGTGGTGGTATATATGTAATCTGACATTACAGGAACCTCATAGTCCACGGATTCACTACTGATGAGGAAGGTCGGAAGATGTCGAAGTCTGAGGGGAATGTTGTGGATCCCGCTGTGGTCATCAGTGGTGGAAAAGTAAGATCATACATGGGCAAATGGGGGTATGACCAACTGTCCCCGAAGTATCACCAGCTGTCTCTGGCCCCCAAAGTATCACCAGCTGTCACTGTCCCTTAAACTATGAACAGCTGTCTCTGGCCCTCAAAGTATGACCATCTCTGACTGACACTCAAAGTATGACCATCTCTGACTGACCCTCAAAGTATGTCCAGCTGTCACTGACCCTCAAAGTATGATCAGCTGTCACTGACCCTCAAAGTATGACCAGCTCTCACTGACCCTCAAAGTATGACCAGCTGTCTCTGGCCCTCAAAATATGACCAGCTGTGACTGACCCTCAAAGTATGACCATCTCTGACTGACCCTCAAAGTATGACCATCTCTGACTGACCCTCAAAGTATGTCCAGCTGTCACTGACCCTCAAAGTATGACCAGCTGTCACTGACCCTCAAAGTATGATCAGCTGTCACTGACCCTCAAAGTATGATCAGCTGTCACTGACCCTCAAAGTATGACCAGCTCTCACTGACCCTCAAAGTATGACCAGCTGTCTCTGGCCCTCAAAATATGACCAGCTGTGACTGACCCTCAAAGTATGACCATCTCTGACTCACCCTCAAAGTATGACCATCTCTGACTGACCCTCAAAGTATGACCATCTCTGACTGTCCCTCAAAGTATGTCCAGCTCTGACTGTCCCTCAAAGTATGACCAGCTGTCACTGACCCTCAAAGTATGTCCAGCTCTGACTGTCCCTCAAAGTATGTCCAGCTCTGACTGTCCCTCAAAGTATGTGCAGCTCTGACTGTTGCTCAAAGTATGACCAGCTCTGACTGTCCCTCAAAGTATGACCAGCTGTGACTGACCCTCAAAGTATGACCAGCTGTCACTGACCCTCAAAGTATGACCAGCTGTCACTGACCCTCAAAGTATGACCAGCTGTCACTGACCCTCAAAGTATGTCCAGCTCTGACTGTCCCTCAAAGTATGACCAGCTGTCACTGACCCTCAAAGTATGACCAGCTGTCACTGACCCTCAAAGTATGACCAGCTCTGACTGTCCCTCAAAGTATGTCCAGCTCTGACTGTCCCTCAAAGTATGACCAGCTGTCACTGACCCTCAAAGTATGACCAGCTCTGACTGTCCCTCAAAGTATGACCAGCTCTGACTGTCCCTCAAAGTATGTCCAGCTCTGACTGTCCCTCAAAGTATGACCAGCTGTCACTGACCCTCAAAGTATGACCAGCTGTCACTGACCCTCAAAGTATGACCAGCTGTCACTGACCCTCAAAGTATGACCAGCTGTCACTGACCCTCAAAGTATGACCAGCTGTCACTGACCCTCAAAGTATGACCATCTCTGACTGTCTCTCAAAGTATGACCAGCTGTCTACTGACCCTCAAAGTATGACCAGCTGTCACTGACCCTCAAAGTATGACCAGCTCTGACTGTCCCTCAAAGTATGACCAGCTGTCACTGACCCTCAAAGTATGACCAGCTGTCACTGACCCTCAAAGTATGACCAGCTGTCACTGACCCTCAAAGTATGACCAGCTGTCACTGACCCTCAAAGTATGACCAGCTGTCACTGACCCTCAAAGTATGACCATCTCTGACTGTCTCTCAAAGTATGACCAGCTGTCACTGACCCTCAAAGTATGACCAGCTGTCACTGACCCTCAAAGTATCACCAGCTGTCACTGACCCTCAAAGTATGACCAGCTGTCACTGACCCTCAAAGTATCACCAGCTGTCACTGACCCTCAAAGTATGACCAGCTGTCACTGACCCTTAAAGTATGACCAGCTGTCACTGACCCTCAAAGTATGACCAGCTGTCACTGACCCTCAAAGTATGACCAGCTGTCACTGACCCTCAAAGTATCACCAGCTGTCACTGACCCTCAAAGTATGACCAGCTGTCACTGACCCTCAAAGTATCACCAGCTGTCACTGACCCTTAAAGTATGACCATCTCTGACTGTCTCTCAAAGTATGACCAGCTGTCACTGACCCTCAAAGTATGACCAGCTGTCACTGACCCTCAAAGTATGACCAGCTGTCACTGACCCTCAAAGTATGACCAGCTGTCACTGACCCTCAAAGTATGACCAGCTCTGTCTGACCCTCAAAGTATGACCAGCTGTCACTGACCCTCAAAGTATGACCATCTCTGACTGACCCTCAAAGTATCACCAGCTGTCACTGACCCTCAAAGTATGACCAGCTCTCATTGACCCTCAAAGTATGACCAGCTGTCACTGACCCTCAAAGTATGACCAGCTGTCACTGACCCTCAAAGTATGACCAGCTGTCACTGACCCTCAAAGTATGTCCAGCTCTGACTGACCCTTAAAGTATGACCAGCTGTCACTGACCCTCAAAGTATGACCAGCTGTCACTGACCCTCAAAGTATGACCAGCTGTCACTGACCCTCAAAGTATGACCATCTCTGTCTGACCCTCAAAGTATGACCAGCTGTCACTGACCCTCAAAGTATGACCATCTCTGACTGACCCTCAAAGTATCACCAGCTGTCACTGACCCTTAAAGTATGACCAGCTCTCATTGACCCTTAAAGTATGACCAGCTGTCACTGACCCTCAAAGTATGTCCAGCTGTCACTGACCCTCAAAGTATGACCAGCTTTCACTGACCCTCAAACCAGCTGTCACTGACCCTCAAGCTGTCTGAGCTGACCCTTAAAAGTATGACCAGCTGTCACTGACCCTTAAAGTATGACCAGCTGTCACTGACCCTCAAAGTATGACCAGCTGTCACTGACCCTCAAAGTATGACCAGCTGTCACTGACCCTCAAAGTATGACCAGCTCTGACTGACCCTCAAAGTATGACCAGCTGTCATTGACCTCAAAGTGTGATAATGACAAAACTTATGATCCTTCATAGCAGTAATGTTATTCAAGATCAGTAGTCACATGGTAATTTCCCCTGGAAAGTTACAGTATACCCTATCTAAGCCAGCATCACATGGACGCTGTAGCTTACTGAGAGTGTGTGTATTTTAAAGGGAATAATCAATGGAGAAAACTTAACCTTTTAGTACTTTGTTACAGATTGAGGACTCATGAATTTCAATAACAGGCTGACTGACCCGATAGGTAAACACAAACATTTCACTCAGTATGTTCAGAGGTTGATGTTGTTATGTTGGTTCTCTTAAACCATCAGAAAGCTATGCCAGTATATAGAAGGGAAACTGAAGATGAAGACCAATACTGTATCTGGAACTGAGAGATGCCTGAACATGAAGTTTAGAGAATGAACAAGACATTGACCCTGACCAAAAATATATGTGTGTTTGTAGAGAGCGATGGAGTTCTCAGATGTCTCTTTAAATAGAGACAACTATATACTGGCTCCTGTGAAGAAATGCAAAGTGAACTGTCAGAAATGATAGCACCTTTATTAGGCACATGTGAGGTCTTTGTTAAGGAATCACAGGGAAAGGTACAAGGTAACAGAATTTTGATGTGTACATAAAAGCAAGAACTTGTTATACTGAAATAAGATACAGTATCATAATGTGTGTAAAGGTCTGAGTGTTTATGTGACTTTTCACCCCAGAACAAGAAAACATCTCCAGCATATGGAGCAGATGTGATGAGGTGGTGGGTGGCTCATGCTCACCTCAAGAACATTGTGATGATTGGACCTTCCATACTGGACCGCTGTGTGGAGGACATGTTTACTGTAAGTACACATGGAGAGCGGGATCAGCTCGAAAGGACAAGAGAGTGTGAGGCCTTGGGTGTAGGGAGAGGATGCGGGGCCTGGGGTGAAAGGATAGGGTTGGGGTGTAGAGAGAGGATGAGGGGCCTGGGGTGAAAGGATAGGGTTGGGGTGTAGGGAGAGGATGATGGGTTGGGGTGTAAGGATAGGGTTGGGGTGTAGGGAGAGGATGAGGGGCCTGGGGTGAAAGGATAGGGTTGGGGTGTAGGGAGAGGATGAGGGGCCTGGGGTGAAAGGATAGGGTTGGGGTGTAGGGAGAGGATGATAGGGGCCTGGGGAGAAAAGGATAGGGTTGGGGTGTAGGAGAGGATGCAGGGACCTGGGGTGAAAAGGATAGAGGGTTGGGGGGGTGTAGGGAGAGGATGCATGGGGCCTGGGGTGAAGGATAGGATAGGGTTGGGGTGTAGGGAGAGGATGAGGGGCCTGGCGGTGTAAGGATAAGGATAGGGTTGGGGTGTAGGGAGAGGGGGTTGGGGGTGTATGGGAGAGGATGAGGGGCCTGGGGGTGTAAGGATAGGGTGGGGGATGTGTAGGAGAGGATGAGGGCCCTGGGGTGTAGGGAGAGAGATGAGGGGCCTGGCGTGTAAGGATAGGGTTGGGGTGTAGGGAGAGGGATGAGGGGCCTGGCATGTAAGGATAGGGTTGGGGTGTAGGAGAGGATGATCCTGGCATGTAGGATAGGGTTGGGGTGGAGGAGAGGATGAGGGTAAGCCTGGCATGTGTAGGATAGGATGTTGGGGTGTGGGATGGGATGGCCTGGGTGTGTAGGGATAGGGTTGGGGTGTAGGAGGTTGGATGTGGGGCCTGTGTAAGGATAGGGTTAGGGTGTAGGAGAGGATGAGAGGAGCCTGGGGTGTAGAGATAGGGTTGGGGTGTAGGGGAGAGGATGAGGGAGCCTGGCATGGTAAGGATAGGGTTGGGGTGTAGGGAGGGATGATGGGCCTGGGGTGTAAGGATAGGGTTGGGGTGTAGGGAGGAGGATGGGGGCCTTGGATGGAGAGCGGGATCAACACAAAATAGGACAAGAGGAGTGTGAGGCCTAGGGGTGTAGGGAGAGGATGCTGGGGTGTAGGAGGAGATAGGGTTGGGGTGTAGAGAGAGAGGATGTGGGGCCTGGGGTGTAAAGATAGGGTTGGGGTGTAGGGAGAGGATCACACGGGGCCTAGGGTGTATGGAGAGATGTGGGGCCTGGGGTGTAAGGATAGGGTTAGGGTGTGGTGTAGGGGAGAGGATGTAGGGGGGCCTGGGGTGTGGATAGGGTGGAGAGGATGTGGGGCCTGGGGTGTAAGGATAGGGTTGGGGTGTAGGGAGAGGATGCAGGGGCTGGGGTGTAAGGATATGATTTGGGTGTAGGAGAGAATGCAGGGCCTCTGGTGTTTCATTGGGAAATCCACCCATCTCTTTCTACACCCAACAGTGGTTATTTCTAGGTCATGTGTAAAAGATGTGTGTTACTCATGAAGTCTTTCAACATTCAGAGATTCTATTGGTGTAAGGTTATGAAGATAACCCAATAAAGGAAACTAACACAAGTTGCAGCATTAGAGTGTAAATAAAGTTTTACCAGTGCCATGGTAGCAGCATGGTCAGTACAGTACCCACTTGCACACAGCGATCTCAAGACAATGACCATATTTGTCAGTGTTAGAGTAGTTTGGGGTCATTGTAGCATAAAGATGGTTCTGTTAGTGTGGTCTGTGTTGCAGGTTAGGAAGAGTCTGCGGTACCTGCTGGGCAACCTGGCCGACTTCCAGCCCACATCACACCTCGTGGCGTACGACTCCCTCCTCCCACAGGATCAGTACATGCTCCATCTCCTCCACAGCTTCGCAGACAAGGTGACCAGCACATGCTTTATAGGGAACAGTCAAACCAACTTGCACTAAAGTGGAATACATCTTTTAAAAAATCCACTCCAATCTCTTGCTATGTAATATTAATATTTTATCATGACTTTTCAGAATAAACAGTGAACAAATTATTAAATACACAAGCCCTGTCTACATGAGATTTCTGAGATTATTTTACCATTATGACAGGAGGAGGTTATTGAGACAAAGGTTTTTAGTTTTGAACCTTAGTTTTGACTTTCCTCTCTCATGAAGCTCGTTCCACATGTTGTTGCATTGAAACCCCAGCTCACTCACTCACTCACTCACTCCTCAAGGTAACGGCTTCCTACGACGGTTACGGCTACAACCAGATACTGCGCCACCTGGAGAAGTTTATCAACACCCACATGTCCCGCTTCTACTTCACCATCACCAAGGACAGGTCAGACACTACTTCATGTTTCACTATCTCAGAGTACACCTGTGAAGATCCGGGTTAGAATGAACCTTCAGTAACCCATGCTTGGCGTATGAGGCAACTAACGGGATCGGGTGGTCAGGCTCGCTGGCTTGGTTGACACGTGTCATCGGTCCCCAATTGCGCAGATCGATGCTCATGCTGTTGATCACTGGACTGTCTGGTCCAGACTCGATTATTTACAGACTGCCGCCATAGAGCTGGAATATTGCTGAGTGCGGCATAAAACTAAACTCACTCACTCACTCACTATCTCAGAGTAGGTCACGCAAAGGCTAATGTTTACAATGTTCGAGTAGGTCAAACATAGGCTTATGTTTATGATCTTGGAGCAGGTCTGACTTCATGTTATACCAGAGGTATGTCTTCCCTTCATGATATGTTGGAGGTATTTTCAAGTATCTACACTGTTTCAGTGACTGTGAGGACCTTTGTACCGCTATGTTGTGTTATGATGTCCCAACTCCAGGTTCTCCTGATTTCAGATGTTATTGTGGAGCAACTGCATCCCTCCCACGGCCGATCTACACAGTCCGTCCAGTACCACCTACTTGATGTAATGGTCAGGTCCCTGGCACCAATCCTACCTCACCTGGCGGAGGAGGTCTTCCTTCACCACCCTGGAGCAGAACACATAGATGGTACTGGCTGATTCCTTGTCTAACATTCTAGGTTGTGTGTTTGTGGTTGACCAATGTTCGTACACATACTAAACAAAGTTCTTCATTGGCATTTGATCAATTTTGTTTACAGTTCGATATATTAAGTTTAGTTTCCAATTTGAACATTACCTGTGGGGATTGTGTTAGAGTAGATCTCTAGCAGTCTATGCTAGTTGTACAACACAACACACTGGACCAGTTGTCAGGCTGGCTTGACTTGGACAGTAGGATTGCAACCTGACCTGATAGTATGGATCACTTCTCGTAACATCAATCACAGGATTATCTGGCCCAGGCTGGATTGTTTACGAGCCACAATTATGCAGCTGAAATACTGCCGAATATGATGTTAAACAAACTTGACACCAAAAGGTAAACATGAAAAATATTCTCATAGTAATTATGTGTAGATGTCTTCATTATTCTTTTGATGTTTTATATTAGAATTGCGTATTCAATTCTTAAAAAAATTGTATGAATTTATTTGTCATGCTGTGGCAATTCTATTTCATCAACCTATGAAACATTGATTGCATAAATATTTTCCTTTTGACTTGTAATTCATATCAATATTTGGTTGTGTGTCAACAAGGTGTGAAGAGTATATTCCGGAGTGGCTGGTTCGACCTCCCACCCCAGTGGAACAACCCTGCCATTGCCCGTGCCCTAGAGCCAGTGTTCACCATCAAAGATGATATCAACCAGGTTCTGGGCAACGAAAACCCTTTAGAGTTTGATGCCGTCATCTTTGCTAGTCACGACCTTGCAGAAACATTAAAGGTAACATGATATCCATGGTCATCAATACTAAGGGAAGCCCCAGGGATAGGCTATGTCCCCAGCAGCATATGCTGCTCATAAGAAGTGACCACTTGAGTCGGATGATTAGCCTCTGTGACTTGGTTCATGGTGTGTCGTTAGAGTGTCCACCCGGAGAGCAGAGGGTCGCGGGTTCCATCCCCAGCCGCGTCATACCAAAAGCACTATAAAACCAGCTTCTGTCTGGGCTAGTACAAGCAGCCACACATACACATGCATGCACATTGTCATATGAACGAAATAATCTTAAGTACGACTTTAAACCACATTTCACCTCACCTCACCTGACAGGGTGCACTTTTGCTCACAATATCAATCACTGGATTGTCTGGTCCAGATATATTTATATACATTTTTACAGTTTGTTTATATTGAGTCCAGAGCAATAATAAACGGCGGCTACCAGTGGTTGTCAGCTTTTGTAGAATCAAGTATAATTTTTTGTAACTTGACTGTTTGACATTTCATCTGGGCAAAAGGAAATCCTATCTTATCGCATCCTTTTTCTTTCGTGTAGCCCTTGCAGCATGAACAGACATCCACTGACTCGCCTCTCAATGAGGTGCTGCAGCTGTCTCACACTTCACTTGTAGACGCCGTCCCGACAGTCATCCCTGACGATGCTCATGTAGTAGATGGAGTCTGCAAGGTCCATCGGAAAGGTAACAAGTCCATCAAAAGTTGGGTTCAGTTTATATTCAGTTTCACCCCTACCCAGAGCGTCCAACTATCTTAGATTAAGGCCACAATAGAATAATTATCAGATTTTCATCCAAATGGTTATTTAGACTGGAGGCCAATTTTGTTTCATATTTGTTTTCCAATTGTTCAAAGTGTTTGCTTATATCAACTGTCAGTGGTTGGGATTCATGTGAAGCCTGAATGTAAGGAAGGATTAGGAACCAGCACGTCTTATTGCATCTTGTAAAGAAAGACATCTTAAAATGTATGATTCACTTCCAGGTGTGCAGAGTACGGAGCAGTACAAGCTGATTCTGATGGCGTCGGAGCACCACATCTGCGAGCGATGCCGTCGCTACACGTCTAGCTCTGCCTCCACTCCTTGTGACAGATGCCTTGATGTTGTTGCAGAGGGCTGGGAGGGGTGAAGGGATGAACAAGAATGCCCCGCAGTTGTCTATGCACAGTTTAAACTGAAATTTGTGTTAACAGTTTAACCTAACATGAGTGTATGCCGAGTACAAACTGATATTTGTCTGTACAGTTCAAAACAAACATTTGTGTGTGCACAGTTCAGACAAGTGATCAGTGTTGATCTGTCATCAGGGGCGGTGGAGTAGCCTAGTGGTTAAAGCGTTGGCTCGGCCCGCCGAAGACCCGAGTTCGAATCCCCACATGGGTACAATGTGTGAAGCCCATTTCTGGTGTCCCCCGCCGTGATGTTACTGGAATATTGCTAAAAGCGGCGTAAATCCAAACTGTCATCAGGACCATACAAACCAGTGATTGATATTATGAGCACCTGTAAAACAGATCACCAACCCTTACCACCCAATCCAAGTCACCTCTCATGGCAGGCATTGGTTGTTTGGGACCTAACCCAGCATCCCAACAGTGCAACTCCAGTCTCAGGATTTGAAACTGTAGTAGAAGAAACACTTGTATATACTGTTTCCAAGTTTATGTCTGAACCCATGCATTGCCAAGGACCTAACCCAGCATCCCAACAGGGCACCTCCAATCTAAGGTCTCTGATCTGTAGACAGTGTTCCAGTGTAGATAAAACTGTGATAAAACTACTGTTTTGCTGATGTGGTTATGCAAAGTGGATTCACATTCTGATGCATCTGCTTCAGTTGCATCTGGAATACAGTGTACATTGGGAAGAATATATGCAGCACCTCTGATTTTGCAACTTCATCCATCATTCCACTTTGTGGAAATGAAACATTTGATGCTGAACCTGTCATGTGTGTGTTGTTTGTTTACACTCAGCAGTTTTATGATGGGAGTCTGTAAATAATCTGGTCTGGATGAGAAAATACAGTGATTATCATCATGAATATTTATCTGTGCATTTGGCTTACGATATGTATAAACTAAGTCCCAGAGTCTGACCACCTCTAATGGCAATCACAGGTTGGTGTAAACCAATTCTAACTTGGATCTTCAGAACTCATAAAACACATGCCTTGGGTACATTTCAGGTTACTCAGAAACGCATATTCATTGAAACATCAATATCAGGTTAAACAACTTCAGTCACATCCATCTTAAGATTCCTCTGGGATATTGTAAAACGATCTTCAGATCATTGTAATGGCCCCCAGTTTGTTTTGTAGTTAACAATCACCAAGCATGCTAGTATTGACCAAATATATTTGAATAACAAGCAGTGACCGTGAAGATCAGTGTTACAATTGTCATGAAATGTCTGAACCATCAGAAAAGTATGTGCATGCGTGCATCTGCTGGTTTGTTTCAGTTTCACTCCTACTTTCATAGAACTTGAAATAATTTGGTTTGTTTGAAGATTTAATTGTTTGGGGTATTCTTAAATCAAGCTTTCCACCATTAATGCTACTCAAAAGAATTTAAAGAGCAACACGTTGTTTCATATCGCAGTTCTGTCATATTAACTACCAAAGTAGGAAATAACCAGCTGCACCTAAACTACTTTTGAGTTGTATAAATTACAGATCATAAATATAAAACAACAAGCCAACCAAATCATTCATTAAGCACCTTATTTAATCAGAATGGACAAACCAGTGTATTTACAATGAGCATTAGATTAGTTTGCATAGAATTAAAACAGCAAAAGCACTACATTAGACTGAGAAATATTACAACGAACATAAAATAAACTTTTATCACAACATCTTGACAATAGGATAAATCTTGTCACGCTTCACAAGATATCATAGGTTCATTCACAAGCTGCAGGCTTGGTACCATTCAGACACGGAACAGACCGACCAGCGTTGCAAGGATTACGATACATCAGTAGTGGCTTCAGTTACATAAACACAACATATCTAACATGAAGAGGACATTATATGTACATTACTTCCTGGTTTATCCACATCAACTAACATATTGCACATTTATATCTCAGGTTTCCCATTCTGTTTCATTACTCATGTACTGAACTAAGGAAGGGGGATAGTTCCACGATACACAAAAGTGATGACCATAATATAAAGTGCTATCAACAGCTGAATTGTATGTTTTCAATGTGCAAATTCAGACTATTGTTTATTGCTACCTGCTTAGCAATTTGATGAAAATTCAATATTTTACTTTGATAAATACCTCTCTGCTTGAAGGTCTCGGGACAACTCAACAGGTCTTGTCAGGGGAACTATCTGATGTTTGTGCAAGTAACAAGCATTTGAACCAACATTCATTTGGACCAACATGCAACATGCAAGCTGTGTATCTTCAGAACAAATGTGTGCATGTAGTTCCTAACAATATCATGAGGCAGTTTTATTATTACTCACAATGTACTCATCTTGCTGGCTCTGAGCATTATAGCATCTACACCCTAAAGGTTGTATTGTCCATAGTGAAGTTCTGTTCAGCATGGGTTTTCCATTGCTAAGATCAAAGTTTTAGGTGACATAATAGCAAAGCCAAATGGTATATGCCTGAAACACATGCTTCCTATATTTCAACTAGTCAAAGTTTGCCGAGATTCACCTGATACAACCTCTAATCAAAGTGTCCTCAAATCTTCACAAAGACAGAAGCAAAACAGAGTGAAAGATAAGATTTTAATGAGATAGCTTTCCTATCAGTATGTATACTATTCAAAGTAATAAAAGAACACCCACTATTTAAGGTCTGTGTTGCAATACCACCCTGCAATGACAGATTAACCATAGTCAGGTGATCCATATCTATTTTGAGTAGTATACCTACTTGGCATAGTCTTATACACACATTTCATCATCATCCGTGAGCGTGTCATACCAAAAGACGCTAAAATATGGTACTTGTTGGTCCCTACCTGGCACTAATGGGTACAAGAAGGACTCGGAGTCAGTATAATGTATTTGAGTGGGGTATTCATGCTTCACTGCGGCATGGTATCTCAGTAGGCTAGCACTATAAAACAAGCTTCAGTCTGGGATAGTACAAGCCGCCGCACGTACACATACACATACATGCATGTCATCATATGAGCGAAATATTCTCCAGCGCGACGTTAAACCCAATTTCACCTCACCTCACCTCACATTTCATCATCACTGCCATGTTCGCATTTCCCATTTCAATGCCTTCTTCATGCAGGGAAGCGTTTAAGTACTTAATTTGGGACTTAACTGTCCACCCTGTCAAATAGAGAGTTCTGATGTAACATCAGGTTAAACACTATTCCACTTCTATCACAGCATGAGGGAGAGTTAGATTTTACAATGCTTAACAATATCCACACAACATCATGACTGGGCAAGAAAGAATAGACTAAACACAATGTATCCAAGAGTGAAATTGATTTTCAGCATGACATGACAACACATTAACCACACAGCATGTCTAAATAATGTTGGAAGAATGCCTGTGATGTATTTAACACTTTGGTGCAGACAAACCCAAATCTTGGATTCAAACCCAAGATACGAAGGTTACTTTGAAAGCAGACCTTGTAGTGTTAGTAAACAATTATTGACTTTATATTAGGAAAATACCTATATTAAGGGGCCTGAAAAAGCTGTATCAATATTGTTATATTTCTGGGCCCAAATCCACAAGACATTCATAACGTTACGACCTGTCGTAACTGTATAGTTTATCATAGGCTTATGAATGTTGCAGCACTATGAACATTTTGTGGATCAGGACCCAGGTTCATAAAAATAGATATTGATACCCTAAAAATAGTTTGGCTTTTGCTTTTTTGGGGTCCACTAATAGAGACATTGACCTCATATGTAGTCAATAAGTAGGACAGTAGGATATTATCTAATACAGAGCCATAAACGACATGCCAGCTTCTCGACCAATGAATATGGTGGACATTGTTTCATCCTGTTGACGTTGTACATGGAGGGCTAGCATAACAACAACAATGTATAAAGAACAAGGACATCGTTCTCGTATTATCACAAGATGAACATTGATGAAAGACAAGCTGGTAAAATGCTAACAATATTAATGTAGATGGAAAATCATATGTTCAGATTCTCCATCTACTGGTTACTTCAAACTAACATTGACTACCCCATGACCTACAAGTTTGTCAGCGTGTAACTAACCCAAACCAAGGATCTGGCATCATTACCAGTAATGTAGGATCTCTGTTAGCTGAGCTATCTGGACCTGAGGACCTGAGATGCACGTTGACCTGTTCAGAGCCAGTCATGTGTTTTTGATCTGCACTGGTTGCAGACGTTCTGCTCCACATATTACAAGGCATTATGGGTAGGTGCAAATCATGTTGAAAACGAGAAAGCATTATCAGTTTTTCCATAACCATAAGCCCCAGGTCGCTAACAACCCATGCTAACAATCTGTATCTGACGATGATGATAACAATAACTGTACTAGCTCAACCAATGAGATTGTTAGGTTGTACTCTGAGTAACCTTCCGGCAGTTGATTGGCTACATGTTCTAGAAGCAAGGCTGTGTCAGACATCGGGGGATCGGGGTTGACCAGTTCCTCCGGGTCCTGGAAACAAGATACTGACTCAAGTCACAACAGAAAGGGCATTTTCAGTTTCAGGGGAGGATCCAGAGGGGCAGTGTGCACCCTCTCCGATGAAAAACAATTTCCTCGAGGAGCATTTTCCCCTAACCTTTGGACTTCATGATTTATGTGCACCCCCATTCTCCAAAATCCTGGATCCACCCCTGAATTGTATTGGCATTGCAGTCAAGTTAAATGCAAGAAATGACAAATGCCTCATACCAGATTTATAAACTCAAAGAAGTTAAGGATTCATTTATTTCTTTCATATTACTACAGCTAACCTGTTATCAATGATTCTTTTGAGTAGTATAGCTGAGTCAAAAATGTATATAGATAAACATACAACTTTCAGCTAGTGTCTTTGAGTTTGGGGAAATAATCCCAATTGCCCCAAATAAACAACTTTTATAGTAATGTCAAGTTTAAGACCCCACAACCCAATGAAGCTCAACCTTCAATACAAAATACACATGTATACAATGTACAAATCATTTGAATCTCCTTTTGATTGATGAACCCAAAAAATGACGAACTTTGAGAAAAGTCCAGCAAATATTTAACATTACAACAGTGTTGTGCTTTGAATCCACACGTGTCAAATATAGGTGTTTTCATGAATAACGTGTCACATCAAATATGGGTGTTTTCATGAATAACGTGTCACATCAAATATGGGTGTTTTCATGAATAACGTGTCACATCAAATATGGGTGTTTTCATGAATAACGTGTCACATCAAATATAGGTGTTTTCATGAATAACGTGTCACATCACATTATGGTGCAGTAAATCAGAACTCACACACTTGTCAATGAGCAGTTAGTCAGCTATGGCAGAAACTGAAGCAGTCCTATTCCTTACCATCAAGTAATCTCCTGAACAGTCACTCACCAGCTGCTTCAGCCAAGTGGATAGAGTGGTGGATATGTCCGACATGATCTTCACGGTCCCTTGGTAGTCGCACCTAAACAGGAAGTAGGCCACACGCTGACCCGCTATCGGCAACAGCTGCGACCCCATCAGCTCATGGTCATTGACGGTCAGCAGTACCTAGTGGCAACAATGTTGGTGAGACAATGATAATAATAACAATGTGTCCATTTATATAGCACCAAACTCCACAGCAGGTATGCTCATAGCGCTAACGGTGAATAGCACAGCACATTACCCCGGATAACCCAAGCTGTTAGGTGCTAGAAGGTTATATTCACGACTTATCCTAACGGGTACCCATTTTCTGCTTGGTGATTTCTGTTTTGTTTGTTGCGTAACGCTGCACTCAATATTTTTCAACCTACAAAATTGACAACAGCCTGTAAACAGGAACAGACACTACAGTGATGCATACCGTGAACAGCTAATCAGATTATGAGTGAGTGAGTTTTGTTTTACGCCGCACTCAGCAATATTCCAGCTATATGGAGGCAGTCTGTAAACAGGAACAAACACTACAGTGGTTCATACCGTGAACAACCATCCAGCCAATCAGATTATGAGCGAGTGAGTGAGTGACTTTAGTTTTATGCCGCACTCAGCAATATTCCAGCTATATGGCGGCAGTCTGTAAATAATCGAGTCTGCACCAGACAATCCAGTGATCAACAGCATGAGCATCAATCTACACAACTGGGATACGATGACATGTGACAACCAAGTCAGCGAGTCTGACCACCCGATCCTGTTAGTCGCCTCTTACGACAAGCATGGGTTACTGAAGATCAATTTTAAGATCTTCTTGGGTCCCATCAGATTATGATGCTATGCTATCAACCATGTAACTGCACCTCACCACCAAATCCATTCGGCCATATCTTACAACCAGTAGAGGTTGCTGAAGACCTACCGGTCATCGCATCTGGATCAGAGTGATTAGGGCCGAGAATGAAATTTGATAACTTAACAGTTGAGTTGAATGGTTGAGACATATATGTTACACTAAAACTTGTCCTATACTTATAAACAACTATGGAAGCAATAACAAGACAACGAGAGCCAGTGTACTGACCTCCTCAGCCAACTTGTCACGTCCAGCGGAGTAGAGCTGACAAACGTGGTGCCGTTTGAGGTAGTCTATGTCAAGGCCGAAGTCTTTCCCCAGATCCACAGTAAGCATAGGCCAGCCGGAAGGCTACAGTTTTCTGTTGTCGGCGAGGACTTCGTACTCCGTCCTCGCTTCTCTCCCCAAGGTACTGATGGCTTCTGTTATCACCCTACACAGGAACTGCAGCAAAACACTCATTTCAGTAATGATAGGACATCAGTGTCATCCCCTGCCACAGGGCACATCACAATTATGTTTGTTCATATGGTAATGATTAATATGAGAGAAAGTGTTAACTATGAAAACAAGAGTCAAATAAGTCTTAAGAAGAGATAGTCACAAGGGTCACAGAATCTCATCAGATTGATGTTGGAGGAAGTCCTGTTAGAAGTGATGAAGGAGATCGCTACCACTTTGCCACGAAGCCTCAGAGAACATAATCCGCGATAATAGGTTTCTGGCGTGCCCAAGAGATGCAGCTCCGGTACCCATTTTCTGCTTGGTGATTTCTGTTTTGTTTGTTGCGTAACGCTGCACTCAATATTTTTCAACCTACAAAATTGACAACAGCCTGTAAACAGGAACAGACACTACAGTGATGCATACCGTGAACAGCTAATCAGATTATGAGTGAGTGAGTTTTGTTTTACGCCGCACTCAGCAATATTCCAGCTATATGGAGGCAGTCTGTAAACAGGAACAAACACTACAGTGGTTCATACCGTGAACAACCATCCAGCCAATCAGATTATGAGCGAGTGAGTGAGTGACTTTAGTTTTATGCCGCACTCAGCAATATTCCAGCTATATGGCGGCAGTCTGTAAATAATCGAGTCTGCACCAGACAATCCAGTGATCAACAGCATGAGCATCAATCTACACAACTGGGATACGATGACATGTGACAACCAAGTCAGCGAGTCTGACCACCCGATCCTGTTAGTCGCCTCTTACGACAAGCATGGGTTACTGAAGATCAATTTTAAGATCTTCTTGGGTCCCATCAGATTATGATGCTATGCTATCAACCATGTAACTGCACCTCACCACCAAATCCATTCGGCCATATCTTACAACCAGTAGAGGTTGCTGAAGACCTACCGGTCATCGCATCTGGATCAGAGTGATTAGGACGAGAATGAAATTTGATAAGTTAACAGTTGAGTTGAATGGTTGAGACACATATGATGTCACACTAAAACTTGTCCTATACTTATAAACAACTATGGAAGCAATAACAAGACAACAGTGTACTGACCTCCTCAGCCAACTTGTCACGTCCAGCGGAGTAGAGCTGACAAACGTGGTGCCGTTTGAGGTAGTCTATGTCAAGGCCGAAGTCTTTCCCCAGATCCACAGTAAGCATAGGCCAGCGGAAGGCTACAGTTTTCTGTTGTCGGCGAGGACTCGTACTCACGTCCTCACTTCTCTCCCCCAAGGTACTGATGGCTTCTGTTATCACCCTGCACAGGAACTGCAGCAGAACACTCATTTCAGTAATAATAGGACATCAGTGTCATCCCCCTGCCACAGGGCACATCACAATTACGTTTGTTCATATGGTAATGATTAATACGAGAGAAAGTGTTAACTATGAAAACAAGAGTCAAATAAGAAGACAAAGTCATCAATATCCCCCGCAATGGCAAAATACTCTTCATGATTATGTCTACGAGTTATGATTATGTCAAATATTGAGGTGTGTATATAGAAAAGTGGAAGGAGAGTATTGAAAGGTTTTTAAAGTTCTGATCCAGAAAGGAGCACTATCACCAATTTCAGTCTATGTCAAACTTGTTGCCATGGAAATGCCAAAAATATTTTATTCAGAAATCCAAAACTACCAAAAGGCACCAGTACACCACCAGATCTATGTATGTGCCAAGTTTGGTGAAGAAATATTGAACGGTTTTAGAGTTCTGCTCCGGAAAAGACAAATGTGCACGGACGGACGGACGGACGCACGCACGGAGTCCATTTTAATACCCCCCTCAAAACGCTTTGCGGGGGATAATAAGTCTTAAGAAGAGATAGTCACAAGGGTCACAGAATCTCATCAGATGGATGTTGGAGGAAGTCCTGTTAGAAGTGATGAAGGCAGATCGTTACCACTTTGCCGAAGCCTCCGAGAAATAGGTTTCTGGTGTGCCCAAGAGATGCAGCTCCTCACAGTAAACTATGGCACCTTAGATCCTTATCTGGCTGTGCCACTCATGACCTCCCTCCCTCCCTTTCCCATTGAATCTTCCACAGATTTTGTACTGAGAGTCAAAACAGTAATAGTAATAATAAGGGTATGTGAACAGCTCTAACTTCAACCAATAAACGGTTATAGTCACATGACTTATCACACTTGGTACACATTTTCTGCTGGGTGAACAGAGACAATTTTGAACAAACTCACTTGACTAAGGTGAGACCACATGTATCACATGTGCTTCACTGTGGGGCAGGAATGAAGTCCTAGAAACTATCAGGAATCAAGCTACCAAACACGGTCACCCATCCAAGGACTCTCCACACCCAACAGTGCTTAACTTCAACTGATTTGTGACCTGAGCTCTGTGCACAGGACCACATACCACCACGATGTTACATCAGGATATAGAAGAGCTTTCGGTATTTAAAACTATAAACCGTACAATTCAATGCAATGTTTTGGAAACAATCAAGGGGAATTGACATAAAGGAGACTTACCGTCCTCCTGGCAACAGAAAGTGCTGCATCAACATTCTGGTTTGGTAGCACAGGATGGGAGTGCAGCTCCTTGAAGAAGCTATTCCGCCCCTGACAAACATAATACACAACATCCATCAACCTTGACTTCAACATCAGTTCCAGGGCTTGTACAAGTAGCAAAGCCATAGAAAACCACGATACCATTCAATGGACATTTGGTTCCAAATTCAATTGGTTAAATCTACAGGTAACCTACGTCTACTTTGAAAACACTGTAGGTTTATCCCTCTCTCAACCACAAGCGTTCAAACTCTAGGTGAGCCATGACATTTGCCACTATAACATACTGTAGTGTGTGAGGTGGGGTTACGGTATTCCACATGTCATGTCAGCCTGACTTGGCAGGAAAGCCAGAAGTCAAGCAAATCTCAGACATTCACAACTTTGGCGGAGCCCACAAACACTGATATGACACTAAGAAATCTTGAAATATTATCTAGGTGAACTTAAATTTGAACCCATGAGCAAAGGTTTCTTGCATACCCAAAAGATGCAACTCTGCCGAGCTAACAGTGGTGCCTCACACCACTGGCCACTCATGCATGCTGTAATGTTTGACTGACTGACTGACTGAGTTTGGTTTTACGCCGCTTTTAGCAATATTCCAGAAACATCGCGGCCAGGGACACCAGAAATGGGCTTCACACATTGTACCCATGTGGGGATTCGAACCCGGGTCTTCGGAGTGACGAGCCAACGCTTTAACCATTAGGCTACCCCACCGCCACTGTAATGTTTAAACATTGGAACCAGCCAAATCTTCAACTTTATATCTGTGCAAGGCAATGACCTCTTGTCTTTCAGGCTTCACTTCCACCACTGCTACAATAGCAGAGAACTTGAACCACTGGCTTACCTTTGTATCGAACAGTGAGAGGACCTTAACTGACTTCATGTTGAAGAGCATGACGGCGTGCATGATGACGGCGAGGTGGTAGTGGTGGCGAATCAGGTGATAGTTGGTGGCCTTCTGATCTACTGCCAACTCCACCAGGGAGGCGGGGCCGCGAATCTGCTGCCACAGCTGCTCCAGGTTGAACACCGGCACCTCGTTCGCCTCACAGTTTGCCTGGCGGGAACATGGACAGTTTACAGAATTTGTGGCAGAACGCACAGGAATAGCATCATTCATCATAAGGTCAGACCAGTTTCTAACTGTTTTACAGCCCCACCTGTTATTTACCATGTTTATTAGATCCCTCCCATTTCACAATTATTCCACTGTATGCCATAATGATAATGTCTCGTAACCTATACTCAACAATTTTACATTTACAACAGCATGCAGGCTGATTGTTCTTTCTTGCGTGGTCTAGACAAGACTTTACTTGAAGTGAAAGAACAGCATCCCCCTCCCAAAATACGGACTGACTGACTGATTGAGTTTGGTTTTACGCTGCTTTTTGCAATATTCCAGCAACATCACGGCGGGGGACACCAGAAATGGGCTTCACACATTGTACCCATGTGGGGATACGAACCCGGGTCTCCGGCGTGATGAGCGAACGCTTTAACCACCAGGCTACCCCAACGCCCCCCTCCCAAAATAACCCATAGAAGCAAATGGTGTGTATTGTACACAAGAACACATATTAATAGGCACAATGCATAAATAAATTTAGTCAGATATTTCACATTTCAGAAAGTGATTTATAGGCTTATTTGTTTCTCTTCCTGCCTTTAAGCAATGAAACTGGTCTGGCCCTGAGATGTACAGACTGTTATTCCTGCTACCTACCCTCCAGCTTGGAAAGTTGACAAGGTGCTCTCAACATAATCATGATATTGATCATATATTTCAGCTGGCATCATGATGATACTTCAGTGGAACAATTCATTGTGATACATAGGCAACAGATTAACTAAACAAAAGTTTCATGAGAAGGTATCGCATTCAGAATCAAATGTCAGTTATTCATAAAAATATTTTATGAAGAAAAATATTTCCTATCTGCATATTAAAAGATCAGAAACAATTTGATAACAAGTTGTGGCATATTTGCAAAGAAAGTCTCTTCCAAAACAAGATTTTATCATAAAGAAAGTAGCACACCATTCTATCAAATCATTGCCATATCTGTATTTCAACAACACACACATTATTGGACTGTTGCATAGCAACCGTTATTAATGTTAGCCTGATTAATGTGCCATGCATAGAACATTCCATAGTTAATACCAACTACAATCCTATTGGCCATAACAAAACAAACTTGTTGAAAGTAAAGAACAATATCCAGAATGTTCTAGTCCTGCAGAAACTTGTTTGTTTGGAAGTGTATAACTGTTTGGGACAAACGGGGTCAACTAAAGATAATACATCTCTATTTTTAAATTCCTCATGTTTTTCAAAAATACAATAGACATCAGAACTAATATTTATTCCTGGAGCTTTGAAACAGAAACATCTTTTTGTGTAAAGTGAACACTGAAACCGAATATGAATACAAAGTTCACATTCATTCCGCATCTCAAAATAATGGACTGACCCATTATCCTTTTAACATGTTCAAAGTGCCAAATTATTCGTGACATTTTGGTTTATGAAAAGTCCAAATATATTGGACTTATTGATAATAATCCAGTGAAGAAGCTTACAAGACACTGATCAAGCTGATTTAAAGCTGACCCTGTTGGGTTACATCAGCTGCAGGATACCAAGTATACTGAATGGATGATACAATACTGCCCGTTATTTGGTAAATATGATCCCAAGGGCCGTAGTTTCTGACCTGTTTCTAAGTATCTAAATTAATGTAGTTTGTGATCAAGTGACATGCTCACATGGCACCATGCTGTGATGTAGATAACCATTCATCACTTGGAGACCTATAATTTGTCACAAGAACCTCTGCTGGTATATGTCCATACATACACATTGTGTACATTCAGTCAACTCAGCATCTTAGAGTCATTCTAATAATGATTCTCATTCCTAATCAAACATGATTAATAGTGAGTGAGTGAGTTGGGATTTATGTTGCTTTGAACAGTATTTCAGTCATTTCACAGCATGTCGGGTTGAAGTAGGAGGAAAACTCAAAATGATGCAGGCCTCAGACGTTTACAACGTCCCACAGGGTTAGAAATACGCCATATATTAGTGGGCCATGGCACGGTAAATATTGAAATGGCATGGCTAAAAACTGTTCTTGGAGCCCTTCTGACACGCCTAATCTTTTAGAGACATAACATTAGTCATTTAATCCCCAAAACAATTTTTTTTTTTCTAAATTGAATAATACCATACATATTTGAATGCTGATAAACCCATTTCTTTATTTAACAATAAATTTCAAATGATCATCATTGTCATTTATTCTAAAAACATGTGAGCATACTCAATTTCTGAAAGGCACACCTAAAATATTTGTCTGGTGCCCTAAGGCACACTTAGAAAAAAAGTATTTCTATCCCTTTCCAGACAACCCTTCAAAGAAGAAACAGTATTAAAACCCATAGTAATAGGTTTCTGGTCCACCAAAGGGAAGCAACTCTGCATGGTGATCAGCTACAAGTGCTCCAAAATGATTAACGCATTTGAAATTATTTTCTATTTCATGATTCACATTGACAGACAAATGCAACAAAAAGATAGAGAGAGAAGCTCACACAGAAAATAAATAACACAAAAATGATTAACAATAATAGAAGCATGATGCACAATTTATATCTTACAAATGCTGCATCTCTGATAAACATCCCATGAAAAAAGCGGAATATTCCTCCATCCTTAAAAGATAACAGTTGTTGATATTAAAAAAAACTGTGCCTTTCACTTGAGGAGACAATCTAAAAAATCAAGTCCTCTATTCTGATGTGATACCTCTCAGCAAGAAGACCTGACAGCCCTCATTCGAAAGTTGTGTGGGTCACCCCTGCACTTTATCTGCCCAGATAAAATGAAAGTTTTTGAGTCAACCAGGTGACAATTTCTTAAAGGATTCAGCTTCCATTTTTCACCTCCAGAATTTAAAATTTCAATCTTCAAAACACAGAAATTCCAGAGAGGAGAAATATAAATACGCTTTATAGTTAAACAATGTTATGCATGTAAATGTTTTTGTCCTCAGAAAGGAAGGGTATATACCATACCCACACTAAGATATTGTGGAGGCTTAATTATTTTAGATTATGACTGGCCAGATAAGTTAATTCTTGATATACAGAAATTAGATGTGTTCGGAAACAAAATTCACCCATACTAAGAATTAATAGCAATTGATTCTCTGATTAGAAGTGGCCCTGATGTAACATCCTGTGGAGAGGTTGTCAGATTTTCAAATAGAGACATATCACACTGAAGAAAACTGTATTACCTTAATGTGATTGGACAAGGAGTAATGATACACAAGTGCAAGTGACATGTAGGTAACGTTAGCTGTGTAAGAATCATGGAACTAATTTCATACAAGCTATCGTTAAAACTTATGAACAATTATTGTGTACAGACTGCATGGTGCAACATCAGAACAGCTGAGAGGCGGACGCTAATGGAGGCTCTTAAGAAAAAGTGACAAACAAGACGAAAATACAGGGTATTAAGAACTTTCACATAAATTTACGTCATAGACAGAAAATACATTAAAAAGGGTGTCACAAATCACTGAAGCATCATAGCATGGAAAATTTACACCTAAAAACATGATACATATGTACCTACCCAAATATTGATTCTGTATAAATTTTTGCAAACATTAGACCAACGTTTTTCAATAATTCACCAAAAACACTACATTGGTAGCACTGACTTACAGCCTGTTTGACAAAAATGCTTAGAAATAAATATCAATTAACCAACAATGGGATTTTGAATGCCAAACCACACGGAAAGTTTCAGGCAAAATATGTTTATAGATTAAGAATCGTAGTATGTGTGTACATCAGTATCATGACATGTAAGCACCGATATGTATTGAGATGTGAACTAGGCATATCTTGACACCAAGAGTCAATATACATGATCCAGACAGAAATATACTTTACAGTACAAGATATGGACACCTGTGCTACCTGAACAGACAGCGCCAAGAAGACATATACTCACGTCCATTGCAACCTGCAGCAAGTCCACAACACTGTCCATGAAGCTGATCATAGTCGTGTCGCTCATACCAACATCCTGGTTAATAAAGGAAAAATGTCTTAGAGGAAAATTTAGTGAATGAGGTAAAGTATTTTTTCTTAAAACTGCTAGGATTATGGACATCCTCTTTTTCTTTATCTTTGATAGATAGTTTGGTTAGAATAATGTACCACCAGAAACTAACTGCTAACACAGACAACTTAACCATCTGTCTGGATACATTGCCAAGCTTACCTTCCTGCAAAGTCTTTCTTTCGGTGCCTTTCCCACCTGTAAAGTACACAGCAAGAATTAACACACAGCATCAGTTCAAATCTTTATTGACATTTAACATAATTCCTGACATCTCTGATGTCACAACATCTTTGTAGACATGAAATATTATGTCTGTGAGCTTTTTTATATGCATATGGACATACAATTTCTGAGATCCCTGATGTCAGATCATCAACATGGCCATTTAACATGATTCCAGAGATCCCAGCTAAGTCGATAATATGGCTCCTAACTAAGAAAATGAATAGTGTAATCTCTGTTAATTTCATTATATATATGGAATCAAATTGTGGTCTTAACTCAAAGATTCAATCTGGCAACACCCATGCATTCCTTATAGTTAAAATGACTGTAAAACTCTTTCCAGATGTGGTGAAAACTGGCTACAGCAGCGTACATGCAAGTGTTCATGTGTCACTGTTTGTACCTGTCCAGACTAATGACTGTTTTATAGTATGACTACACTTAGACACAATGCCACAGTGACAGTATACTGGCTCCAAGCGAACAGTCCTTGTTAAATCTCCTAATGCCAAGGGACAGGTTGAGTAACAACAAGTACCATGTTTTAACTCCTTTTTGTAAGACAATGTGATCGGTCCCCCCACTCTACCCTATAGACCAAGGTGTAAGACAATGTGATCGGTCCACACACTCTATCCTATAGACCAAGGTGTAAGACAATGTGATCGGTCCTACCACTCTATCCTACAGACCAAGGTAGTCAGCCAGTGTCTCACCTTCTCCATGAGCGTTGCCGCTGCTGTTACCCTCTTCACCACGTACATGTGCCACATCATGCTACTCAGCCCTGCAACATGAACAAACAGTTACTGAACAGGTCGCACATTTTGAAAAGTACCTCAACTACATCATGAAAGCTTGAGGTGGAAAGAAGAAATTACAAAATATGCAGGTCTTGAGACATACCACTTTGTTGACACAATCTTGCATGGCTGTGGCACTTAGACACCTAAAAACATGACCAAGGCACATGCGAGATTCCAACATATTATCATACGTTTCAAGGGACATAACTCTGCACTGTGTTGCAGTACGTCAAGCAACTGAACCACTAGTCACAGGAATTATCTGTTAGCAGATCCTGGTCACTTTGTTTGACATCAGCTATCTTGGTTATGCTAAACTGACGTAGGATACGTACACAGAGTGTTTAGAATATTGTGTATCTTACAAACCTTGTCTAAGAACTGCATTCTGGACAAGCTTCAGGTACTCCAGTGACAAGTGGAGATAACTAATCAGCTGAAATATAATAACTGGTATGAGCCAGAACTAGTGTTGAGTTCATGGAAAATATATTAATATATTATCATATATAAATTCCATGGCTTAACGCAAGAGTCATCCATTTTCAAATAATTGTGTTTAGACCAGAGAAAGAAGAGACTGATTTTATGAGACATATCCAAATTTGACTCCATAGGGCACCTGTTATAAAACTAACCTATGAATAGCATGATAAGTCTACTCACAAGCACTGACTGTTTTCTCCCACCCAACAACCCATCCATCGAACCACTCCACACATGTGTTACCTATGGGTCCTTGTTCCACTGAAACAGCATGCTCCAAGCAGCAGTTAGACAGCAGGAAGCACCACCACCTACACCCACACCCACACGTACCACTGAACCACCCTCCCTGTGTGTTACCTCTGGGTCCTTGTTCCATTGAACAGCGTACACCCAGCAGCAGTTAGACAGCAGGAAGCACCACCACCTACACCCACACCCACACGTACCACTGACCCACCCTCCCTGTGTGTTACCTCTGGGTCCTTGTTCCATTGAACAGCGTACTCCCTCAGCAGTTAGACAGCAGGAAGCACCACCACCTACACCCACACCCACACGTACCACTGACCCACCCTCCCCGTGTGTTACCTCTGGGTCCTTGTTCCACTGAACAGCATACTCCCAGCAGCAGTTGGACAGCAGGATGTCATTCTCCAGACTGTGTGGAAACCTCACCCTCAGCTCTGCCAGTTGGTCTGAGAAACACAGACAATCTGTAGCTAAAAACACTTTATGTCATTCAAAATTCCTCTCCTGGGAGTATTTGTTACCTACCTGAGTCAAATACAGAGGATCCCATTTGATGGTCAGGAATGTTTATTGAATTGACTGACCTTGTATTTTCTCCAGGCAGGTCGGTTGATGACCCTCTGTGGCCTCGGCGGCAGGCTCGGCATCCAGGGCTGCATCGTCACTGTCGATACTGGTGCTGAGCAGCTGCTTGTAGAGAGCTTGTGGCTGCAGCTGGAGGCGGATGATATACTGGGCCACGATCTCTGATATCGACCCTGGCAACAGGCACAGATAAGGATTGTTTGACACCACTTTTAGTCATATTCAAATCTACCTCGGTGCATGACAAGTGCACCTCACCAATCCTGAAGAACAAACTTTTACCTAGAATTATCACTGTCAACAAACAAAAATAGTTTCAGCTTGTCTGAATAGAACTTAGTATATTTGTATAAATATTTCTTGACAACAAATTAATGATATGATTACATGGGGTATGTTGTGAGTGGACATGTTTCACTTGACACTACATTCTCAGCTCCCTGAAGGGAAACAGACAAACAAATACCATGACAGGGATTTACAGGATGCGAATTCCTGCGTCCTATACACATAAAACTTGACAATAGAGCCACAAAATTTATTAGTGTGTCATCAGGGACTTATACTTTTTGTAAAATTCCAATCAAGTGACAATAACTTATCACTGAGTTTGCTACTAGCTGGGTTATGGTATTATTTGCAATTTAATTACTGTAACAATCTGATGATCATGATACACAATACAATAACCATATTAAATAATAATATTTAAGTGTCTGAGACCCCCATTTTGTTGTCCAGGACCCCTGAAAACTAAGAGTATGAGTCCCAGGGACCCTCAAATACAGGACTCAAGGTAAATCCCTGCCATGAGACTTGCAGAGATGTCTATGCTATCGTTTTGTGGGCCTTGTGAGTATTTCAAGTTAAATTATGCCATGTCTGCTTAACTTGCAATTTGTGCCCGCAAAAACAACTGAAAGAGGTTTAAAATCAGAATACGGCCTGAACACTAACCTCTGCCACCTTCCAACAGTTTCAAGACGGATAATCTGATTGGGTCTAAAGCCGGTTTGGGTCCATAAGGACACATTTCATTGGGCGGAAGTCTGAGGTGGATGAGGAAGCTGAGAGCCAGGACATCCTCCAGCTGCTTGATAAGCAGGTTCCAGTGTTCCATGTCCACCGCTAGCGACTCCCACTCAGACATGTCCGTCTTGTCTGAACTCAGGCTGGCTGTGTCTGCATCCGGGTCCTGCAGTAGACACAGATAAGGTGGGAGGGGAATCTAAGGTAGCGTGGCGATATGTCACTGACTCGTAGGGAAGGAGTGTTGGACAGTTAAGAACTCTCAAAAGTGTATTATCAAGCTTGAACTTATTCTTCATGAACAATGATGCTCAAGAGCATTTAACTTTTAGGGTGTTTTTCTGTTTGGTCCATAATATATTTGCAGAGTGAGAGTGTGTATCTGTGTGTCCTCTGTATATGGTGTATGTCTGTCTGTCTGTGTGAAATCTCCACTGGTGACTGATGTCTTTTGTCACTCCAATACAGTTCTCTATCATTGCCTTATAAACAGGGCCCTGGCGGCATACCATCTGACATGCTTTCCAAAACATCATCAGAAATTGATTTAATAAATACTGACCTCAATTATTACATTAGCACAGTTTTCAAGATTTACCTTGGCTTTTGTTTGACTGCCAAATATCTCCATGGCAACAGCTCGGGAGGCAAGTGCCAGGATGTAGACTGCACATATGTTTTGTGAATGGCAGCATGCATCTCGGATTTTCTGCCACCATGGGGAAGCAACATTATGATCGACTAGAACCTCGCTCTTGTCTGTAAACAAGAAGGTGACATCAGTATGAAGATAGCACACAGTGGTGCCTAACCCTTCACACAATACACACATACCACCCTGGACAAGAGAAGACTATACAGGAAATGTTAAGTCAGACAATTCGAAATTAAGATAGAAAGTCAAATTACAAGTTTGATGTCAAAAGCTACAGAATTGGTGGACAAAAGAGCAACCTTAATTTGGAGTCCAGTATCATTACATGACTCCTACATGATATTAGGACTATTACAGACTGACAATATTCAGAATGTAAGTGACACTTTACTGGGTGTAAACTGCAAAGTATTTGTGTTTAACAAGCTGTGTTAACTCACCTGTCATCGCTGTAACAGTTTTTATAAGGTGAATCAAATTTGGCAAAGATGTTACGCTTCTCTCATCTGAGGACATCCAGTAGACTAGCAGCAGGTCCTGTAGCACAACATGGATGGAATGCACATGACATTACTTGTATACAGAGCACATGGCATTACTTGTATACAGAGCACATGGTATGACTTGTATACAGAGTACATGTATGACTTGTATACAGAGCACATGACATGACTTGTATACAGAGCACATGGTATGACTTTGTATACAGAGCACATGGTATGACTTGTATACAGAGCACATGGTATTACTGGCTTGTATACAGAGCACATGTATGACTTGTATACAGAGCACATGACATGACTTGTATACAGAGCACATGGTATGACTTTGTATACAGAGCACATGGTATGACTTGTATACAGAGCACATGGTATGACTTGTATACAGAGCACATGGTATGACTTGTATACAGAGCACATGACATCACTTTATACACACAGTACCACTTGTACACAGACATCACTTGTACACACAGTACATGGAGCACTTGTATACAGAGCACATGACATCACTTGTACACACACATGGTACCACTTGTATACAGAGCACATGACATCACTTGTACACACATGTACCACTTCTATACAGAGCACATGACATCGCTTGTACACACAGTACCACTTGTATACAATTTAATTAGTACCACTTGTATACAAAGCACATGACATCGCTTGTACACACAGTACCACTTGTATACAAAGCACATGACACTGCTTGTACACACAGTACCACTTGTATACAGAGCACATGACATCGCTTGTACACACAGAATGCGACATGTCAGCATCGGTAGATATTTCTATACAGCCTGGAAGAATACTAACTAAAATTTGGATTGTACTAATTGATTTATTGTAACCATAAAAAGTGTCCTGTCTCGCTATAAGAAGCTGACAACTCACTATGATCTGGTCTGCCGGTAGGTTGGCATCCTGCAGCACGATGCTCACGTCTCCCGAGGCTGATTCTCCACACAGACATGAGTGGAAAAACAGGTGGGCTGGAACATTGTACCAAAAGTCAGATCCAGTGTGTAATGTTATATTTTGCAGGTTCACAAACATCAAATAATGTTTAAATTTTAACATTTACAAACAACTTACAATAGCTATAATGAAGGTTATATCTTTGATATAAATATTATTGTTACTTGATGATATTATGAACAGTCCTTGTCTGTTGACTTGGAAAGGTATTTATGATCTAAAAGTGGTGAGATCAAGTGATACTTCCAAGGATATATGTCTGCAATGATATAAAGCACAATGATTTTGAGACCATTGTGACATCATGGTAACATACCATTGAGAGACATGCTTTGAGAATATATCATAATGTGCACAGAGAAATTTAAACCAATTTAAAATGAAAAGCTTAAGCATAAGTTCTTCAAAACAGCATTTAGAGACAATTTAAAATGAAAAGCTTAAGCATGAACATCTTAATTAAGAAAACAAATACTATGAAATGCAAACATCTGTTATGTTAGATCCAGTTACCATCTGCATCATATGGCTGTACTGCTATTTTGGTACAAATTAATTGGAGTGAGTGATTATTGCTTTACAGGTGCAGTCACTGACTTACCTAATGCCAGCCTCCTGTCTTCGGACAAGCCTTTATGTACAGATACGGTGACTGGTCGACTAGAGTCATGGTCACTGCAGTGCAGATGACATGTAAAGCAGTGCAGAAAAGTGCTGACCGGCATGGCCTGCTCCTTGAACTTGACGTGCGGCTCTGCTGTGTCAGCTGATGAGCTGAATTTGTCCAGTTGAGATACCACCTCTTGTACTTCTGACCATGTCAGTCCCAGTGACCTGGCCACCATCTGGAAAGGGAGTGAATGAGTTTAGTTTTACGCTGCTTTTAGCAATATTCCAGCAATATCTTGGCAGGGGACACCAGAAATGGGCTTCACACATTGTACCCATGTTGGAAATCGAACCCGGGTCTGGGGCGTGACGAACGTACGCCTTAACCACTAGGTTACCCCCACCGCCCCTCTGGAAAGAGTGAGCGAGATGAGTTACACTGCTTAGAAGAATTTCAATTATATTAACAGTACTTCAGTTGAACCATGATCTGCTCTAAGATCATACTCTTATTCTATATTAATAATACTGACCAATGATTTTCCTAAAGCTACGCTCTCAGTGTGGAAGAGGCCCTACCTTGACAATCATACCTTCCTTCCTTCAAAAGTAACTAATGACTTTACAGCCCTAAGATTACTTTGTGGAAAGGATCTTGCTTGTGTGTCATAACGTCCATACTTTAACACAGACCCACAGCAATTATAGTGCTAGGAACACTTAGTGGAATGGGTCTTTCTTGGAAATACCTCATTGTTAGACTCCTCTGCACCTCCAGAGGGGGAAGCATCCCCGCGGGAGGTGAACTTCTCCACCATCTTGTAGGTGTGTATCAGGTTGTCCTGGGCCTGGCAGAACCGCAGGAACAGCTTGCTGTCGATGTCCAGGGTCGCATCAGCTGGGGAAGACACACATTTGGTCATTATATAATATTCATAGACATTCCTCAGGTGGTTTGCTGATATTTCTGCAGCATCTATAAGTCAGTATTCTATATCATCATTATTTAACGAATTGGTGATTCTTTGAGGAACATAATATCCGTTATCCTGGTTACTATTACCTTTCCCACTGATCTTCTGTATGCATACTTTGAGAACATTCTTCATCAGGGTTGATGACAGGTACTTGGTGCTGAGAACTCTCTCTACAGCCTGAAAGTTATATGATCACAAAACATTCAATCTTGAGTACAGAAACTAAGCTCACAGTAGGTGAGTGAGTGAATGATGTTCTATGCCAGTCAGCTGTGTGACACTTCATCACTATTGGTTAATAGCATGAACAATGCCCATCACAGGCAGGGCCAACAACAAAGATGATGATTTTTACCACCATAAAATTTTTGTACAACAATGTAAGTAAACATGTCATGTATAAAATCATGTATATTGTTTTTTTTTTTTAAATATTCATGTGCACAAAATTGCTGACCTACCTCCCAAGAACAAAATGGGTGACCCCCCATTAAAATCATCATCATCTTTCCCTACCTACACCCATCCCCAAAGCCCACCACCATAGCTTATAAACGGTCCCTTAGAGCACAGGCAAATATTTTCCTCCAGTGGATTGTAACTATTTTTGCTGATAAAGTACTGTTAAGTATACAGTTTACAGATGCATGAAAGTCTAGTGCTTTGTTAAACGTGTACATTTCAGGCATTTAAAAACAAACATGTCACTGCACGAACCATACAGCATATCATAAACTGTGCAGTCTGCTTTGAATGTGATCTTCAGAGTATAGTTCGCAAAACTTTGAGCATATGCTTGTACTCTAAGATGGCGAACTTGTGCCAGTTCTTTCTCAGGACTTAAACATACTGTTGATATTCACTGTCAATTTCAGATTTTTTAATAATGATCCTGTCTCACACTACAGGTACAAATATTTATTCTATTCCATGTCGCCATAGTAAGAAAGCCTCACCTGTTTGGTGATATTTGATATTCTCATGTCCAGGATCAATTCTTTGATGGTGGACTCCAGTGAGTCTGCAACAAAGAAAATATTACCATGGTTACAGTACAGGTGACGCAATATTTTTCTTTTCATATTTACAATTTCAACAGTGAGAAGTCAAAATACAGTCAGATATTAGAATAAAAACATGTTACCTATGATGGATGAGTGGATGAGAAAATAAGAAAATTAGAATAGAAATTCCTATGATGACATACAGTCAATCAAGATACTGACTCTAACCACTCAATTAACTTTATTGCAAGTATAGGTGACTGAGGACAAGTTTAGTATTCAGAGTTATAACAAAGTTCAAAATATCATGGGCTACACATATTGTATCCATTTGGGGAATCAAACCCAGGTCTTTGCATTCACGAGCAAAGGCTTTAACCCACAGTCTATTCACCCAATATTTGCCAGCTACCTCCCACTACAATACAACACTGACCTGTTGACTCAGCATTATCCTTTAGCATAGCCTTGACTTCCTACAGCAGATGAAGGTCTCTGGCCTGTTGACTGCTGCTCTTGTCGCTGAAACATAGCCTTGACACCACGGAAATCGCTATTAATATAACTGACTGACTGACTGAGTTTGGTTATCCTTTAGTATAGCAATACTTCCAGCAATATCAATGAACACTGACACTGTTGGGCTCAGCATTGTATCCATGTGGTATTCAACCTTGGTCTTCCCATGACAATACAACACTGACGCTTTGACTCAGCATTATCCTTTAGTATAGCCTTGACTTCCCATCTACATAATGCTATAGGGCCTGTTGACTGTGCATATCAACAACCTTGAGTTGTTCATGTCAAATGTTTGAGCCTATTGCAGCTCTTGTCAGCCATCTACAATTCTCTGTACAGGGGAATATTCAGAACAGTACATAGTGATTCATTCAGGATATGGCACTTAATACTCTCTTAGAAGAAAGCTTCAAAAATCTACCTGGTCAGTAAAATACAAGTCGACTCTACAACGCCATAACATCAGTTATTATCATATAGCATAAATTGAGAATTTATTCTTCCAGATGTTTTTTTTTGCTTCAAACTTTGGGCCTACTTTGGGCCTCTGAGCAGGTCCAGATAAACCATGATTTCTGTATCTCTAAAATGAACACGCACAGCATCAACATGCATATTATTTCTGATATCCACGCATATATACTCAGAAGTGTGTGTGTTTGTTTTCAAAGTGTCCCTACAATGAAATGAAACAATTTCAGAAACCTGGCATCTAACTGGTCAAAAATACATACATACATCACTCTGAACAGGCAGTCCCATCACAGAGGTGTCAATTCAGAGTAAAAGGTCTGATCTGAAAGGGCCTACCTGAGAGCCAGATGGAAGGGGACTTCAAGGGTCTTCACAAAGCCTTCAGGGTCAACAAGTGCACACTGGAAAGCTCGCGACTTCACTCCACGACTTGTGACGTTGTTCAATCCCATCATGCCTGAGCTGGGACACACCAGTTGACACCACTTGCTGACATTGAAGGCCGCAACCCGGGGTCCATTGGCTGCCGTCCACACCTATATCATAAGAAAGAGTCAATTATCAACTGAAATGTGATACATTACTTCAGTTTTGTATAATATTTGTAGTTGTACACATTACTTTTATCTCTAAATGTGAAATGATGCATCAACTCTGCAAACAGAAAAGGATGTGAGTCCTTAGTTCCATGACAAGTTTGTTGGTTTAATGCTGCAATCAGAAGTGTTAGAGCTATATGATACCAGCCTGTTGATATTCTGAACCAGAAGTGTTAGAGCTGAACCAGATAGTCTGAACCAGAAGTTAGAGCTATATGATACCAGCCTGAACCAGAAGTGTTAGAGCTATATGATACCAGCCTGTTGATAGTCTGAACCAGAAGTGTTAGAGCTATATGATACCAGCCTGTTGATAGTCTGAACCAGACAACCCAGTTACTAATCTTGACAGCAACAATCAACACCATTACCATGACCCTCAGAATGACCAGCATGACACTCTTTCAGTTAAGTCACTGACCCTAACCACTAGATCCATTTAGTAATTTCTTACAATCAACATAGTTTGCTAGCTACATAGACCAACCCAGAATCGCTACAGGGGATGATCGCAAAGAGTTAAAGCATGAAAAGACACTGATGAGATAGTACCTCAAGAATTCCTCTCCTGGGAGCGTAGATGACCAGGAATTGGGCAACACGGGAGTGGTCGCGGTTCCTGCTGCTTGGCCCATCATCCTCTCGAACCTGGATCCAGCCTACTTGAGCATCACGGTAACCTGGCAGCACAACATTGGCAGATCACAGGGACAGGAAATGTTTTTGCAAAACAGCAAACATTTACCATTTGTTCTCCATTGATAGCTGATGGTAAACAACATTCTTTTGGAGATTCCTCTTAATAAATGACTGGAGTAGCCATGGTAACCAGACCATCAACTACCTCCGTCACCATGCACTACTACCCTTATCATCAACAACCTTCCTCATCAACTACCTCTCTTGCCATCAACTACCTCAACCACCAACAAATACATCCCCCACCACCCCCCATCAACTACTTCAACCACCAACAAATACCTCTCCCACCATCAACTACCTCAACCACCAACAAATACATCCCCCACCGCCCATCAACTACCTCAACTAACTCCCCCATCCCCACCCTTTTCCTCTACCATCAAATACCCCCATCAACTACCTTCCATCAACAACTAACTCCCATACCCCCATCAACTCCTCCAACCAACAAATACATCATGTTACCTCAACCACCAACAAATACCTTTCAAACACCCCCATCAACTACCTTCCTAATGCCCCTATGTCCCCATCCACTACTTCACTCTCCTCAACATCAAACCCATCAGTGAACCCTTCATCAACAACTAACTGCAGCTACCATCAGAGACAAGCTGTGTGCACCTGTCCCTCCATCCTGGTCAGGTAAACCAAACCTGATAACCAAGGAAGATATTAAACCCATCAGTAAAAGCATCAGAGTAGAGACATAGTCACTGTCCTCCTCTGGTCAGGTAAACCATGATCACTAAACATACTGAAGATATTATAGTAAAACATCAGAGTAAGAAATGGGCATAAATTTTCTCTAGACATTGAGATAACTTGAAGCTCTAAACAATAAATATGAATATGGTACTACTACAGGACAACTGTATTTACCATATTAAAGTCAATGATTAAAGAAGCACTACTGACCAACATCTAGACCAACCAGCAGTAATCTTAATAAACACTCCCTACTAGTCAAGTTAATATTCTGAAATAACATGACAAACCATAAAGGGTATTATTGCGTCGAGGGATGACTGTATTTGTTATTGGCTTTAATAACTGCCCTTTCTCACTTTGTCTAAGTAACCGGGAAGTTTATTACAGTAAATATGGTACATGCAAAATCATGCTACTTCTGATATAACAATGTGATGAAGAGTCGTACCCACCTGTACGGCAGTGGTGCTGCTGGTTCTATTTTTGGAGACTTGTCCTTTGCATCATCTCTCTGTCTGCCTCCGAAACCAAGCCAGCCACTGAAGGGTGCACAATGACATGATAATCAGTAATATCCTCGGTTTCATGAAACATGAGGGAGGGGCGTCTCTTTTCACAACTCCCATATACTGGTAAACATTGGAATGAATATTTTTCACCACAGGTGGACATACAGTCCTCCCCAGACAAAAAGAATCAAACATAACAAAAATATGTGCAAAAATCTAATTCAATTACAAATTTTGGACAAACAAAATTGGAGGTCCTTTTTAGTTTACTTTTATTTTTGAAAGATGGAACTATAACTTGCTATGATTTAATATAACCTCAATACTATTTGCTTCGTGACATGGCATCACAAATGTCACCATAGCCACAAGCTAGTACCAATAACCACCACCTTGAACTTGTTACTACTGAACAAGATGTAACCATGGTAACAATTACCTTGCTGCAGACATCAATGCTGTCTTTATCTTGTTGGCTACCGCCATTGCCACATCAGACAGGATTGGTTGTGTACTACCCTGGATTAACAACAAACTCATGACTACTAAGAGATTTCAAATAATCCATAGATAAAGATGAATGAGTGAGCTTTGAACAGGATTCCACTGTATCACAGAGTGTCAAGTCAATATGGTAGAACTGACCTTTTAGGCCTGGACCACTTTGAACAGGATTCCACTGTATCACAGAGTGTCAAGTCAATATGGTAGAACTGACCTTTTAGGCCTGGACCACTTTGAACAGGATTCCACTGTATCACAGTGTGTCAAGTTACTATGGTAGAACTGACCTTTTAGGCCGGGACCACTTTGGGAAATGCACAAGTATGGTTATGGTATTCGCTAACAGAAACAACTGTGATCATCTCAACATTTAACCCATAACCATACCCTGCTAACCTGCCAACAGCAGAATAACAAAGCAGCCAAGTTTACCTCCATGGCATAGAAGAATCCCACGTAGGGCCCCACCCCTGCAGTGAGGTATATGTTGGCAGCAGGGGGTGAGGTCTTCACGGTAGTGCTGAACCCCCCTAGGAAGGAAGCTGTCTTCATCTGATCAAATGGGTTAGAAGACTGCACACCTAAAGGAGAAAGCACGGCAAGGAGTTGATAAACATAACCTTACTTGAGGAGTCTAAGTCTATGGACCAATAAATGCTATGCTTAGTGCCTTCCAATCGCAGCCAACAGGATATCTGCCACCTTCAATAGAGTAGACAGGGTTCAGTCAAGAATGACACGGCATGGGATTTATCTCATGTTGAGTTGTTGAAACAATGGGGCACATTTCTGTTGTACTACCAGCCTACCATGCTCTCCTTTATTTCTAAAACATAATAAGGGGTTAACACAAACATTCTACGTCTCAACCATAGTTGTGTATGTTGCAGTGTTATCTTACCGCAGCTGACGAGGTCGTTGATCTTGTCCTGATCCTGCAGTGCCCACTTCTTGTAGGCCAAGGGAGGAGGCTGCAGCATGGTCTCCCCACCACTTGCAGTCGCTGGAATAAACACAGGCTACAGAAACACATCTAACACCATCAAACATCATTTTATGGTCTACAAATGTTTGCACACATATAAGACCCATGAAGGTCCGGACTAGAATTGATCTTCAGTAACCCATGCTTGTCGTAAGAGGCGACTAATGGGATCGGGTGGTCAGGTTCGCTGACTTGGTTGCCACATGTCATCGGTTCCCAAATGCACAGATCGATCTTCATGCTGTTGATCCCTGGATTGTCTGGTCCAGACTCGATTATTTACAGTCGCCGCCATATAGCTGGAATATTGCTAAGTGCGGCGTAAAACTAAACTCACTCACTCGATTGCACACAAATAAACTCGGTTCCATCAATGGACACTCTTCTTTCCTTTTTTTCTTCTGTCAATCCATTCCTGTACTGTCTGATAGGTTAGGGTTGGGAAGCTAAATCACTGTGCAGCATCAGGAAAGATAAAACTTTGTACTTCAGTCAGAAAGTTTAATCCTAAATATAACATGTGTGACAGTGATAGGTCAAGAATCAAAACTGACCCCTGGCCACCTGGTTCCTGCAAGCTCTGAGGGACTGGAACAGACTGAAGCCATCGATCGATACTACAGCTCTTTTGTAGAGAATCACTAGCTCTTCATGCTGGAACAGAGGGTGGTCATGTCTCTTAAACAGTTACACTACAACAAACAGCATACAAGGTACATGTGATTGCAATTCAATCTGTATTTGATCACCTCCCCTTCTGAACAAAGGCTTCAGTGAAATGCAATTGGGAAATGGATTATTTATAAGAAAAATGTTATGTTCTTGCTTTTTTTTTCAAAATCCTATCTGTCAATACAAATTGTTTATCTTCTGATTACCTACCAGCTCTGACATGCCAAGAAATCGTGGAGGTTCGTAGGTCCGACACTTGAGTTTCTGGACAGCTTCAGCATGGAGGAGTTGTGACAGCAGCAACACACCCGTCTACAACACACAGTTTAACAGGTCAGTGAGCTGGTGAACATTACCATCTCCAGGGTTTTACCTCGACTCACAGACATGAGGGTAAATCCCTGCATCTCCATAACACTAATAGGAAATATCAATGATTTGCATCAGTATTGATAAAGCAGAAATCGCCAGAAAGAATCACAAGTCATTAAAACATCATTTAAAACTTGTTAGTAGTTACCTCTGTGTACATGCGAATGTAGCCGGAGGAGAATCCAACTATCACACACGTCCAGTCAGGCCCACCTTGAGTGCTCCTGAGCAAAAACAGAACATAAATTACATAGTTATAACATCGCATTACAGCCTGTATTATTTTCTGTGTAAATGGTTTTCAGTAACATAGGCACATTTTGCACGAGAACTATGTCTAATGGAGTTCAGTTTCTATACAGCACATTAAGTGTGATTAGCTGATTAAGCGTTCATGTTTTATTGTTAAAAATACAACATGTTCAATTTAGTTCATTTATTTCCCATTCTACACATCAGTTATGAAAGGACCAACATACCTTTTCTGTGATGCTAAGGGCAGGCACATAAGTGCCGTTATGGTTTCACTGAAAAAACATGAGAAAAAATATACATGATAAAAGTACCAAAAATGAAAAGAAATACATCACAAAATAAATAATAAATTTACATTGTTATTGCCATTTTTGTAGCTTAACTTCTCACACATCTGTGTCATGTTTATCATTTTCAAAGCTGACTCAGAGTATTTATCATTGATACATACCTCTCATCCTGCTTCAGGCTATTTTGCCATTGGATAGAAAACTTGCTTTCAATATCTTCACCTCTATGCTTAGGATCCCATTTTTCTGAAAATAATGTACAAATATATGTACTGTCAGTCTAATAATAAAATACTTAACAAATCAATAATTTGCCTTGATATGTTGAGGTTTGTACACATGAACAATAAGTAGTTATCAGTTTATAAGCATAATAAGAAATGTAGATCAAAGATAACAAAGAGTGTTTGTGTTTACTGTTACTGAGCATATCTTGAATCATTTCTCAGCTGCTTATAAACACTGAGCAACGGATACGAAGTATATCTGTGAAAAGGAATCGTACCTTTTCCAAAATGATATAAACAATAAATACATATACCATACAATGTATAGTTCATATATCATTATAACTGCAACCATGGACATGAAGCCCCTGTTCCGAGCTGTACATAATGTGTCTAATTCACTTTCATATAAATCAAAGTATTTTGAACTGTACATATATATCATGGCATATATCATCCACATAAGTTGTATTTATATCTTTTATTACATATACAATGCAAGTATACCATAAAATCATAACAATTTAACATAATTTTGAAACAAAAAGAATGAAGAACCTACGTGCTAGGACAACAATCTTGTCCCTGTGTGCAATGGCAACCATATCATTTGTTGGTGACAGTGACAAGATGCATTCCTGAAACCATTTCTGTTTGCCATTATCTGGTTGATCATTAGAGTCGGCACTTTCAGCACTCTCATTGGCACCATCCTCACTCCACCCCCAGTCAGCATCCCAATTCTCATCACCTTGGTCAATATAAAAACAGGTCATACAAGAGTTTACACTGTGGATAAGCATATTTAGTGGGGCATATAGGCTGATGTGTATGGGTTAATTAACATGATTAAGAACAGAATCTGCTACAGACAAAAGGTATGAAGACCTTTACATTCTCATACCATCATCACTACCAAATTTGAAAACAAAGGCCAAAGGCCAAAGGACATTAGGGTGGCAATCACTCAATGTCAGAGAACGAACTGATCTGGAAAACTGTGGTATGTTTCGCCTCCACTCGACTGCTAGTCTATAATTCACAAAGCAACAGCTGATTCGGGCATTTTGACCATTGTCAGTGTTGATGATTGGATGTAAACCCCAAAACAGCAATCTTTGTACCATTCGAATATACCACAATATGTTATACATGCTACTATAGTTAAAGCTTAGATAGGTTTGTTTAAAATTGTACGTTGAACAAGAAACTGATTAGGAAAACCTGCAAATTATTTTAGTCCATCTTAGCAAGCTCACCTTCGTTTGACTGACAGATATCTGGAGTCGAATCCCTTGAAGCTGGGAAGAAATATTTCTTTACAGCTGAAATATTCTGAAACCTTGATAAAACACACAATTGACAAGACATGTTTGCAGGTCGAAAACAAAACGACTAACACAAAATCGTCTGTTTACTTTCGATAAGTAATTTCATTGAATCATCAACAAGTCCGCCATATTGCTCGTGACATCACCGGAAGTGAATGTCTGCTATAGAATGTCGACTGGTTCTTTGACTCGTTTACGTTTTCTTTGTATGCGTTACGCCGGGGCTCAGTCTAATAAGGCGTAAACGTCTGGAGCAGTGTTATCCAGATCGTTCACCATCCGTTCACTAATTGCCCTACACCTCTGACAAAATAATAAGTACATCTTAAGAGGCTACCATGTCTGTCTAGCAGGTTAGAATGTCCTAGGGCGTTTATTGACCGATCGGATTAATTTCATTCTTGAAAGGTTTTCGACCGATCGTGATATAAGCCTTTCATCGTCAGCTGCCTGGAAGCTGTTTATGAAAATTCTTTTCCTTTGGATACCAAAATAACCTTTATTGATAAATCTAAGTCGTTCACCAACCAAATGATGAAGTGAAGATATGGTCAAAATTTGAAAAAAATATTAATAAATTCTAAATGTCTCCCAACGTACGTATTCATTACAAATATTATTCTTATGCCTACACTGACTGTACCGAATTTCCTATCAAGGACCGTTCATAATACATGTAAAAGGGGTGGGGGTGGGGGGGTGGGATTTTGATGGAAAAGCATGTGCAATGTGAACGTCCCACCCTCCTAAATTGTATGTACAGAGAAAGTGCCTCATCCTGCATGAAAAGTACAATAACAATGACACCACCACCACCAACAACCCCCCCTTCCCCTTCCCATAATTTCTAAGCATAATTTTTTAATATTGTAATGTAAAAGATGCTGAAATCGGGCTTGACATTCGTGTTCCAGTTATGGACAAAATCCAGTGTTAGCAAATTTAAATAATAATCATGTGTTAGTGTCACTATCGGACAGTTTATTAAAGTCAGGGATTTGAATAGACATTTCACAAAACTAAGTAAACAAAATACGTTTGCACTATTTTGTATCGTTGTTGTATCGAGTCTTGAGTCTTTTTGTCCTAACCATATATCCTGTAATGCTACAGTTGGAATTGCATGTATGTCGACAGGTATGGTTCACTTCATTAGTGCTAATTGGAATACACACCTGTGTAATGCATGCTACGGTACCTGGACAGGATTATGGAAGCTTGCGGACCACGTGGATGTGTCACTCGGTGTCGTAATCATCATGTTATGTAATGTGTGACAGATTTGCTCATATACATTCAATGTTACAGTCTCACTACTAATGTAATGAGAGAATTAGACAAACATACCCAGCTACCCGTTGGTCACATATATAACTATGTTATAGACCACCCATATCCAAGACAAGATGGAACTGGCAGCCTTAACTGTGGGACCTTGTTACGTTATCCCTTGCACTGCACTGGCCATGTTATTAATCAAAACCTTTATATTGTCTTGAACTGATATCATATCTTGAGGCAAAATTCGGGCGGTGATCTTCATTGAGGAATAATGTAACAATTTAAAAGAACGTAAAGTATGTAAATATAAGTTTGCAGTTCTATTTAACATAGTACATGTATGTTATAATATACACTATGTTTATTACTGAATTACTAACTTGTGAACTTTGTTCCACGAGGAAGAATGTTGCACAGATTCCATGGTAAAAGCGCTTGCGAGATAACATCCTTCAATGTACAGAAATAGACTCCCCCTTTCATGAGCGATCGCCGTGACGTGGACTTTTCCCGTCTATGACGTCATAATCCCTGCGTCGTGTGACCGGTAGCCACAGTCCATAAAGATCAGGTGGTCGACACCCATCTGGGGTTCCAAGACGATCTGGAGTCATGGGGCACGGAAACAGCAGTATGAGAAGAAATCGTCCTTATAGACTACGTACGAATGCTGATATTGGAGTTGCTCTGGACTTTGATTTAGGGCAGCCGGACGGGGATGGCAACAACCACGCTGCAAGGACTCACGTCATAAGACGCGACGGTGTATACTTCCACCGACAGTTCAGAAGTCTCCGAGAGCCAAGGATATCTCCATCTACTAAATTCATCAAACACTGGAAGAGTCCATGTGAAAAGCTGCCGTATGTCGAGCCCAAGGTGTACCCGATTATCATGCCACGTGAACTATGCACAGAGGGGGATGAATATCATGAAGACTGTCCTCAGAATTTCCCGCGGTTTTTGAAACCTCTACTCAACAAGAACTATCGTCTGCTTACCAGCCTACACGGCTGTTCGAACAGCGATAGGTCTCTCGAGGGGATTCCGAAGGGACCATATTTGCTCCGTAATCTACGCTTCTTGAGAATCAAGTTCATGCAGCACCCACTTGGGAAGGGCATCAGGGTGGCACTGGAGGAGAACCACTGTGTCAAGAGGAACAGAACGCCGCGGTACCGCCCGATGTACCCCAGAACCATAATCCTGGACCACATCAACCAGAGCGTATTGGTTTGCGGTACGATATACCCGCCTGCTTTGCCTACATCAGAAGTATTAACGTCTCTTTTGTATCAATTTTATTTGACGAGGGGATTCGGGTTAGAATTGGGCCCGTTTCGCCAAGCAATCTAGCGCTATACCTCTTAGTCCTATACTGTAACAGCCGCCATAAGCTGGAATATTGCTGAGTGCGGAGTAAAACAAAGTTCACTCACTCACTATACTGTAACATTGATTGTGTGTGTGTGTGTGTGTGTTCAAAAGTTTGAGGTGTGTGTGGTGAGATGAAGACTGTCCACCCTTTCAGTCCTGAAAGATGACCGTAAAATGAAGTGTGACCGCCATTCCCAAGAGTGTGCACCCACACACCCTTTCTCAAAAGCTGTCTCCTGGTGGTGTGTGGTGTGTGTGTGTTTGTGTGGTGCGCACCACCACCCTTTCAGCCTCGTAGATCGATGCTCATGCTGTTGATCACTGGATTGTCCGAGCCAGACTCTATTGTTTACAGACCGCTGAGATATAGCTGGAGTATTGCTAAGTGCCGCGTTAAGCAAACAAACAACCAACCAGACTTATAACATCAGGAAAGACTTTGCTCTCCACCTCTGATTTCCTTAACTCCTTTATTCTCAGGTTAGAATATTGCAGCATGCGACCTAAAACAACATTTAATCTTCCAGGCGTGGATTTCCAGCTGATCGTTAACGGTCCACCAGCCGATGCCCGTCCTACTCAGTTCCCGAACGATGAGATCCCCCAGATGGTCGGAACCTACTGCCGAGAGCTGGACACACAGGCCCAGATGTGTATTGAGTGGAAGGTGGCTCTCTACCGGTGGTACAACCAGACAAAGGGATATGACATGGGGGAGGCAGTGCCCTAAGTGACTACCCAGGGCTCACCAGTTCATATTGTAATTTGATATATAACTTTGTTCCTCTTAGTGCTTCAAGACTTTGTTGTCTTTTCTGTACCACTACACCTCTTTTTAGGAGTTTTTTTTGTCGAACTATATGGTGGAGCTTATAGCTCCTAAGGGCAATTACATTATTTGTCTCAAGAATATTGTATGGTCAGTCTATCAATATTTGACCATACCTAATCAGTTTATGCTTTGTGCTGACATCTGAAGTGTTCTCTTCCAAGCCTGAACATGTGTTGAATAGTGTATACATTTTTATGTGAATTATTTTTGTTATATTAAAGGTAAAAAGTCATCGCGCATTAAACTGATTACAAAATAATTTCATGTTATCCTTTAAAGGAAATGAGTTTTGTTAGGATATTTTGAATTTGTATTTTTTGGCAATGTTTGTATGTATGATTTAGAAAGTGACAGAATTATGCAATTTTGCTTATTTTAAATCATGTGATACTGTGATCTATTTGTAAGAATTGTTGGGATTAGTATTTTGTTACAGCACAATTGAATGTTTCATGAGTTTGTGTTGTTTTAATCAAGATATATAACAATGTCAATTATAAAATTTGTTGGGATAAGTATTTTGTCAGACCAAACTTGTTCATATGGTTTGAAGACTTGCTGAGCAAGCAATTCATGTTTGTAAAGGTAAATAATGATTCAGGGGTGGATCCAGGATTTTGGAGAATGAACCTGAAGTCCAAAGGTTAGGGGGAGGTGCTCCTCACGGAAATTGTTTTCGGGGAGAGAGGGGTGTGGATCCACCCATTATGGGTTGGTTTCTATGGGACTTACTGCAACTTGTAACTTGTCAGAAAGGTGTTTCAAAATATATCAAGACCTGATGGTTGAGTACCCTGCATCACTGAGTTGGTTTATCTTGTTCCTGTTGATGCAACCTTCTGTCCACACTACATCTACAGTGTCACACAATACTATTATATACTTTATTAAACTACTAAAGAAATCTTACGCTGACCAAGTAAAACTACATCACTTTGTGTAACTGTTACGGTACCTTCTTTGAGTGGCATTTTAGAAGTTGGGAAGTACAATATAGAACAAACTTTATGGATAACTACTTCTTTTTATTCATGATGCGCGACGTTATAGATTCTTGTACCGCTTGTCACATGCTTGACAACGGTACAAGAATCTGTATCGAAACGTCGCACTCACGAATAAAAAGAAGTTGTTATCCATACAGTTTGTTCTATATTGTTATGGTACTTCAGTTTTAATGTACTGTCACAAGAAGTTCAGTAGTTAATGAATGTTTTCAAGACAAGCACAGATTGACAAAGGAAAAAATGCAGTGAATCTACAATTTGAACCCTATTCAACAGATCCTGGCGGAAACCAACAGATCCCGGGTGTTACAGACAAATCTAAAGGAGTTTAGACAACTCAGTTGTGTCCATGATTGGCTACGTTCGTAGCCCTAGTGTCCATGATTGGCTACGTTCCTAGCCCTAAGAATTCTTAGCTTTGATCGAAACCAGTGTGTTAAGAATGGGCTTAAGAAGTTCGTAGGGCTACGAACGTTTCGAGAATAGCTAGCCAGATGTTTAAATTAATACCTCAATATGAGACATAACCAAGTGGAAATAAAGTGTATATTTTTACACATTTTTTTTTATATATTTCTCCTAATTTGGTTTGGTTGATCTGCAATCTGATGAAATTCAGATCTTATAGTCCAGCTTGATACATGTGTGTTTTTTGATCTGACATCCCTGCACAGTAGGTTGCATCAAGTGAATATTCTCGTCAGCCGGTCTGTGTTTAGGCATCTGAATACTGGTATGTACTGGTGAAGCCTTTACCGAAGAAAGTCTTACATTGGTCAGGGAACAACGCAAAACAAAAGAAGTTTATGATCCATAACTGGTTTCAAATGAAGATAATACTTCACTAAAACAATCTGTTGGAGATTGATATCCATTTGATATCAATTATATCAATGCTCGTAGATAAAACTTAAAAACTCCTAAGCAACCCTCACTGTTTGATATTAAAAGATACTTTCGTGACATTCTCTATACAACAAAACATTTAAAAAACTGACATCTGATTGGCTGAAGAGCCTATGCATTGTTCATGTAGATTGGACAGCCAAAGTTCTGTCAGTGGTCACCCAGGATCAAGAACGTAGCCAGAACAAAGAACCAGATAGGTGAGCTACACAATTTTAATAAACTGCATTAACATTCAACAAAGACTGCGGCGTCTAACAGAACATCGAGTCTGCCAATGTTTAAACATAAAGCAAACTACAAGTTAAAAATGTACATAAATGTCCATATCATAAACATTATATCCATAAATAAATCTCTAAGCCAAAAATGCCACATGCACCATTACAATCAATAAATGGGTGAGAATATTATCCTTTTGCCTTCACACCTAAACTACGTTATAATGATTAGCATCAACAACAATCCATGTCAGTCTGTTAATAACAAACAGTATTTACTGGTGTCAAGTACTAACAACTAAACTAACAATTGGTAGCACTCTGTATTTCATCGTCAATCTTAACTACAAAACAAAAGTATTCATCTTGATAGAAGTATATGTCATAATTGTGTAGTTCCCTTCTTAACTTGTACAATATTGTTCAAGGTTGTATTTTTATCCCCCAGAACTGTACAATATTGTTCAAGAATATATTTTCCTTTCTTGAATTTTACATTATTGTTCACGATGAAACAATTATTAAAACAAAAACAAAGCAGTGCTAACACAGGGGAGACTGGCATCCTATATACATATTACTGATAGTCCTAGCAAGATAAATACTATGACATTTGCTGTGTTTAATTGGCCTTTTTCAAAATGGTTATGGCTCAAAACAAGCTGAATAAACGATTCTGTTGTACTGTTATATGATCATCCATATTGTTAAAAATCCAAACGTTTTCGGGTCAACTGAAAGTGCAATCTATGGTTGTAACCAGCAGTTCAGAACGGTTGGGCCAATAACACAGCAACGTTAACGACTACAAAGAGTATCTTATCAGAAAGATATAATAAATATGATGACAAGTAGATGTATATCGTCACAAACATTTATAAACATTGTGATGTTCCTTAAAAGAAGCGATACACTGGACATTCAGCAAACAGAACTTCAAGAACAAAAATACCCGCATTGTATGTGTGAGATGGGCGGTGTTGCTACTTGCCTAACAGATTCTTCAAGGCACAATATACAGCAAGCAGGAAATATTGAATCAAACGAACAGTATTCACTAATCTGTGGGCTTTGACCACTTCACAGACTGAACCAATTTCTGCCCTTGTTGTCATATAAACCAACCTAAATATTGAAATGTTAAAAACTGGTATTTTGTAATTTTGTTCATGACTTTAATCTCCAGCATTTTACAACTTGTACATTGATACTTAATTTAAAAGCTTCTTTGAAAAAGAAATGCAAAATTTTTATTTTAAATTTAATGATTTTTTTTGTTGATTTTTCAGGACTGTTGTTTTTTTCATCTATTGCCTTAAACTTCTGTAAACAAAGAATCAAATTGGTCTAGCCTTGTCCGTAAGTCATTCATAAGTTAAATTGTTCAAGCATGACTTTTAGTTTTTCTCAAACCTCTACAATAACTGACCAGATATGTAGACAAGATATAGTTATTGTGGATAATAATGCTATTAAGTAATGCAGGTGTTGGAATATAGATCCAGACAACAAGTCTTGTAACTTAGACATATTTCCAGCTTTGATATGAGATACTCATCAGGACTTGATACATTTCCCATTTAACAGTTAGTCATTTAAAAATCTTTCATGCAGTCTCTTCGCACCTGAACATAATTCAGACATGCATTTGTTACTGTATAACAATGGAAGAAGCATTTATTCAACACATAACAATCATTTAATTAAGGCAAGAGTCCAGGTCTAGCTGAAATAACTTTTTCATTTCAAAAGAGTAAGATAACTGCAAGTTTAAAAATATTCTTATTTGCTGTGATAATTTTTTAGATCAGGGGGAGCATTTGAATTTTCAAAATAATTTTTATTTAGGAGTTCATAAATTTACAAAACAAAATTCTTGTCTACCAGATTTCCCCTTCTTGCCAGGTTTACCTGCAAATCTGACAGGCTGCAAGGTTATACAAAAGTTGGAATCCACTGCGGAATCCAAAGTCAACAACATTTTTTTCCCTGCCATTTGTTTTAGGGGAAGGCTGGTCATGACAAACAAGAAATATATTTTAACAAGCTTTGAAGATGGTTCTAGGCTAAATGCCATTATGCAGTATTAGTATGGACGAATGTGTCACCATAGCAGAGGTAAGGATGTTTCATACTGTGTTCCAGTTCAGATTTTAAATTATTTCAAAGATGTGACATAATACTGCCAGATCTTGTATTGAGCATGCATTAGTACTCTGGACTTGAGGTTCATAGTTTTCTTATTCACAAATCTAAGAATGAATCAAATGCATAGGATGTGGTTTCATTTCAGTCCTGAGTGAACTGGACATTTTATTATGAAAGACATTTTATCAACAGTTTCACAGTAGAAACAACAATAATAATGGAAAAGTAGAATATGTCCTACAAAATCCATTTCAGAAGGTGAAAACATAAAAATTATTGCAAGTTTGAAGTCGTATATCAAGATGGAAGATTTTGTTATAGAAACTGTTTACAAACACATCAATAAATAGGAATGAGAACTACACACAACCAGGGCGTAGTATCATCAACATCGAGAGATTCGTGGTATGAAGTAACACTGACTGAAATGTTGGTAGAATATAGAACATCAAATATGGCAGAAGTGACTGGCAGCAATATGGCTGACACTGTTGTCATGACGACTGTTTTAGGAGTACATTGTGGTTTGGATGAACTGAAATATAAAAAAAACATTATGTTAATGAAAGTTTACATTAATGAGTTTGTAACCAAGTATATACTGATATCTAAGAAAAATATAATGAAGACTTAATTTTGAATTTGCATAATATATGTTGCAAGTAAAACACTGATAAGAGTGAGTTTGTATTGTTTGATACCATGAACAATATTTCAGTTATATCAGCTTCAAGTGTGAGAAAAGCCTGAAGTGATGCAGGTGTGAAATATTTACAACGTTGGTGAAATACACAAGCATGGTCCTAATAGACCAAGAAACACAATCAGGCTGGACTAGGATTCGAGCCACGATCACTGGTTTCTGGCATTCTAAAGGGAAACAACTCCAGTGTCTTACATGACTGACACACCTCACTGGGAGATATACACATGGCACCAAATGGATAAAGGAAAGCAATAGATTTATTCATTTCTGACACAAAACGTCAAGGTACTCACAGTATCGACATCAAAGGCTCCAATTCCCTGACCCTCAGGATCAACTGATTTGAAAGAAGCTGAAAACAAAACATTCAAAATAACAAATGGTTTCAACAATATGGGGAGAGATTAGATATAATACTGATTTGGATGGCATGATTTTTTGTCAGCTCTATGAGATAATACAGACAGACTTTGCATAGGTCACAATAGGTACAATTTTGTTAATTTCTACAAGGACTAGTATATATCACCTAAAGGGACATAACTATGCACAGCAACGGTTGTGGTGAAAGATATATAGTGCTCAAATTCTGGCAGGGATAGGGAGTAGCAAGGTGGGGTCTGAATGTGATATACTGCTGGGATATGTTGTCATACAAATAATATTTAATTTTGCCATAGAAGTGAAGCATGTGCTGATTAAACATCACAACAAGGCTCAAAACGTTAATTGTTAATTTGACATTAGCAATGCATTACATCTGCAGTCATCTAGAAGTAGCTTACACAACATAGTCTTGAGTCGGATTGCACACATAATGAAGTCGCCGAACTCAATCTGTTCTTCCTTGTTGCTGTAACGCATCACAACAGATCTGGCTGTTAGGTTGCTCAGTCGGAAACCTGGAACAGGAAATAAGCAAATCAGAAAGATGGGAAGCACAACTCTCAACATGACATTTTGTTTCGATAGTCATCCAGTGATCCACGAATTAATCTGTGTCTGTCCCATCTTCGAGTCAAGGTGACTCAAAGTTACAGAAAATGTGACTGTGCCAGACTTGCATGGTGGCTCATTTTGCTGGATTTCCAAGGATATTACTGATCATCATTGCACATGCTCAGAGGCCTTCAGCCTATTATAGATGGGGAGACCAATGTCATACATTAGGAAATGAACCGCAGACACTCTCACCTGGGAGTATTCAACCTCCCTCATTAGAAACGTTCAGCAACTATTTTGAATAGTTACTTTTATTTATGCCTGATTTATTTTGTCCCCCTTGACTCACTATCTATACTACAACATATTTGTATCCACTGACAACAAGGAAGGTAAGACCCTGAAATGTTCTTCATAGTCAGGTGTAATAGATTTCAGAACGAATATTTTTGCATAAGGTGAACATAATGCATTTGTAATCTGACCCATTAAAGGATAAAACTGTTGTTCTTAAAATAATCAATGTTTGATATGTTATATTGCTCAAAACAGTGAGGACACCCATCTAGCAGACAGTAATAAATAGTATGCAGCCATATTCATTTACAGAAACACTTGCACATCGCGAAAAAACAAACTAAACATAACTTAAACGTAACACAAAAGTCATTTCAAATACTTGACATGTTTGATGAATTAGTGTAGTGAATACAAAATCTGTGGAGTATTAATGATAAAAAGTAATTGGTCAAGTAGATATTGCTTGATAACTATAACAAGTAGTTCCTTCAAGGTATTCACATTTGCTTGCTCATCAGACTGCAATAATTCAGATTGGTGAACCAGACTGACACCACAATTTACAAAAGTATACAGATAAATACACTTACCAACAGATTTGAGAGCTGCTCTAATTTCATATGAGCTCAGGTGTCCACTCCCGTCACGGTCGTACTCTTTGAAAACTCCCTACAATCAAACATTCACATTTACTAAATGACATGAACCAGTAAGCAGAACACGATAAACTTCAACATCAACCAAGGAACATCTAGAATTTCAATGGATCTTTACCCAATGTCTGGTGGAATACATTTTGATTACTGCACTGGTCACAAAAATATCTCTACAAGCTTACACAATTCATACAAGTTTGTCAATCACGTCCCAATAAATATGGCAACATTTGTAATATTTGGGATTCGAACTCAAATGAAAGTACCAGAATCTGTACTTTACTGAGGTGAGGTGAAATTGGGTTTAACGTCGTGCTTGAGAATATTTCGCTCATATGACGCATGCGTGTGTATGTGCGGCTGCTTGTACTAGCCCAGACTTAAGCTGGTTTTATAGTGCTAGCCCACTGAGATACCATGCCGCAGTGAAGCATGAATACCCCACTCAGACACACTATACTGACTCCGAGCCGACCAGTCCTTGTTGTACCCATTAATGCCGAGCGCCAAACTGGGACCAACAAGTACCATATTTTAACGTCTTTTGGTATGACGCTGTTGGGGATTGAACCCGCGACCTTCCGCTCTCCGGGCGGACGCTCTAACCACTACCACGGAGGCGGTCTGTACTTTACTGAGAAAGTCTAATCCAAAATATAACATATATTGTATTTGACCATTTTCTAAAGGCATTGTGTATTCATAGCTTCAACAACCAGGGCCGTGACAAGTTACTAGACTACCAGTTGTCAGAGGGGTACACAGAGTATGTGATCTAGACTACCAGTTGTCAGACTTCCATTGTTGTGGAAGCCGCAGTGCTGAGTTTGTTAAATCGCTTACTTTGTGTGCTGGCGATTAAGTGATTACTCTGAGAGTGTAGTTTCCAATTCGAAATAGTCTGTACTTTACTGAGAAAGTGTAAACCCAAATATAGCATATGTTGGATGTGACCAATTCCTAACAGGCATTGAAGGGAAGGAAATGCATTATTTTTTTTCAAATTAAGCACTCAATCCTGCATTGTGTTTTGTTTTCATACATATATATTGTGAAAAGAATAGTAACGCTTATGACTATTAAATACTCCACAGAATCAGATCCCAGAAGGTGTGAAATAACAGGTGAGAATTACAGATAGGTCAAGGTTTGTACATATCGGTTGACAGCTGACTGTAATGAATGGATCAACCTACTCCCACCAACAGTATCTGTTAACTGAAAAACAGGCCATAATTCCAATATTTGTCATTTATTCAACAGTTTCCATTCACCAATGCTTCCTGCTTTCACTGGGGATAATATATTGATGTAATAATGTAACCCACCTTCCATCTTCTGAGGTCGAGCCACAAGGCCTTGAACTCATCATAACCCAGCTTGCCAGACAGATCACCCTAGACATCGGTCAAGGGACATAACTCAGTAGCAAAATGTCCTTAATTAACATGTGTTGAAGCAAACAAGACAGGCCATTTATAATGTGTTTATATACATCACTGATGAAAACATAACAAAAAATTGTAAAATCTCTCTGAAGATTTCAGTTTTATCATTTTTTTGCGATTAATTTTTCTTGTGATTAATCGTTACACAGAAAGGATACATCATGCATGGCAACCATACTCCTAGTGCAGTCAATGGCGAAGCCCTCGAAGGCGAATTCTGAAATATGAGAAAAAGGCAGATCAAACCAAGAACTTACTTGGAACTGAGAACTATCTACCATCAACAATAAAATGCACTTTGAGACCTACATCTAACATTAAGTTTGTTATTACTACAGAACACTCAAGTTACAAGACAAAGTGAACATCTTGATGCAACTACTTTCCACACAACAGTTGTGGTGTTAGAACGATCTAAAACAGTGTTAAAGACATAATTGTACAATCACTTGTTTTACCTTACATTAAGTGTCTGCTTTCAATGAAACAATAAAATCATCAACAATATTTAATTACATTACTTTAAAGTAATCACTTAGCTGTGCCTATGAACATTCTAAACTCTCCCAGTTAGTAAAGGTCACCAAAGGTCACTATCCCCGAAGTTAGTTGGTGCTCTCCTCCCATTTCCCCAAAGAAAGGATATCCTGACAAGTTAGATTTCTGGTCACACTATGAACCTAATCATAACATAGATGTGTATACTGACTTTGCTATCTGTATCTATTTCATACTAAAAGCATATAGGTAGAGCCACAAAATATAATTATTTTTTCATCAAGATCTCCTCCACCATTTTTTTTTATGTGAGGTGATTTTGCAATAATTTTAAAATAGTCAAACTGGGCCCCTTTTCACAGAGCTATCATAGCTCTACGACTGTCGTACCTCCTACACTGTAACATAGACTTATGACAGTCGTAGCGCTACTTTAGCTTTGTCAAAAGGGGCCCAGTTTGACTATTTTAAAATTATTGCAAAATCACCTCATGACAAAAAAGCTTCTTTCAATGTTGTAACTGTACCTAAATATTTAAGTTACTTCACTTTTGGATCATAATCACAAATCAAAATATTAATTATAAAAGTGTATATCATTTTAAACGTGTTTTAGAAATGTTTCACAAGTACAAAAATATCTTTCAAAAAATACCTTGATGAAAAAATACTCAATTTATTCCGGCCTAACAAACCAACATGTTTGCAGCAAGCTGTAATGTATATAAACGTACCTTATCATGCAATACTTTATTCACTGAGTAGTAGGTTATATATGATATATTCCAGACAACTAGGAACTGCAACTTAGCCACTCAACCTCAATATCAGCCAACTTGGTCCACAGTGTAAGCCTATGACCAGTAAGCACATTCTCATGAAATAACAAACACGAGCTCCTATAATCCAGCTCAAAACAAATGAGTTACTCTCTTCTTTTCTCATAATTCCAAATCCCCATTCCTGGTAGATTTGGTTGTAACAAAGCCATGACACACACAGCTTACATGTGTTTGGTGTGTTGAAGCTGCACACAGCATTATCATATTGTGTAGGATTAGTGAATCCTGGATGAAATTCTCAACATATACTCAAACTACTTTAACATAAAACTAAGTGTGAAATCCATTTAATTTTGAATTGCTTACAATACACAATTTGCTTTAACAGGGGTAGGTAGGAAAAACAGATATGGTCTTATTGACTCATGAAATAACAGACTTTAAAGAAAGGTTAGTACCAGCAAATTGATGATGATCAAATACTGGATGCGTTCTCTGAACATATGAACGCAACACTACTCTTCTTAAACCTAAACTACATAATTTGGTCAACTGAGATTTATGTAAACGTTTTATCTGCATGTAACATCTCATCCTTAATAACCATAGGTAACACGTCATTCCAATATCATAAATACCCCAGATCTAGGCCAGTAATGCTGTCTGTTACAAAAATGTGTCTGAAACATTCAAGGAACAAACACTGTGTTTTTCCAAGTATTCAGATGGTCCTCAGAAGGGCACTATTACTAATAAATTCTTGACCATATTCAGAGAACACATTCAGTATTCATAGGCAAAATTTCATTTGCATGTATAGAAATAATTGATTTATCAAGAAAAGGTATATTTATTATGTTAAAACTGTAATTAGTTTTTGGACTGGATTATATGATAAAGTATAAGCAGATGTCACTAATTAGACACAATATGATAAGAAAATGAAGATGAATGTGAGGCCATAATTGAATTATTTGTTTGCTATCAACATTAAAGTTGGAAATTGACAGAGATAGCCAGAAGACACATAGATTGGCAGATGCATAATATGTAAATTGTGCTTGGATTAAAAGACATAACATAGAGCCTAAACATCAATATAAACTTCAGGCTTTATAAACATATTCTTGTTTCTCAAGCATTTCAAATATAATGCATTTAGGCCATCACCATTAAAGATTTGTACACTTTCATATTTTGTATAGTTCATTTTTTCACTACACTGTGGGACATCAAGCATGGGTCCACAAATTTGAGGAATCAAACTCAGTCTTCAGTCTGTTAAGTAAGCACCTTAACCACTAGGCCACCAAAGCCAAAACTGCACCTAAAGACAAAATATGAAACTTTTTCCAACAATGTAGATAACCTTTCAAGCTATGATTTTTTTCATAACAACTATTGCTTGAGAACAAGATTGTCCAGCCAACATTAGTAAAAGACAGAAATGGGAGAAGTTAGTTAACAGCGATTGATAGCAAACAATGTTTTCTTGGCCTGAGAAATCTGATTAAGCTGAAAAAGACGTGACACTAGAGTTCAGCATCTAATAGCTTGGGCAGCCATACAGCAGTACATCTGTGCCACACAAGTGTCTGTGCTAAATAATGACTGATGAACTCAGTAGCAGAGACCATGTCTACCAACAGTAACTCAAATTAACGTGATTCATGATGTTACAATAATGAGAACAGATCATGCAAAACATCAGAATATTTCATAATAATCTATAAACCTGAAAATTTAGAGCAAAATCAGCTCAAGAATAAATTCTTTTTGAAATAATACTTGTAAATTGTGATTCTTGATTTTAAATTTCTTAAAGATGTAATGAATATAAACTTTATTTGCAAATCAAAAACAAACATTTGGAACCAGTTTTGTGGAACATCCAATTTGAATACACAAAAGATGCAGTCTAACAAATTGGAACTCCAATGTACTGGATACACAAAAGTTTGGAAAAGAAAACAAGGTTAAAATAACATAAGTCACATGTGTGACCTTCACTGATAGAAAATTATTGGAAATAGAAATATATTAAAAATGAAATATTCTGATGTGACATCCAAAACCATAAGGGGGACTAGTCTGACTAGGGGTGATCGCAGACAGTGCAGCCTGCCTGTCTGTTGTTGACCATAGCTTACCAAGAAAAGTGTCTGTCAAATAAACAGTTCAATGTTAGTACCTGACCACTCAGTAGTGGACCAGACAGGGTTTCTACACTAGTTCTTGACCAGATGGCCATTCCAGACTGTCACAGCTCATTTATGAACAAAACTCATCAATAAGGGTCTGAAAGCTTTGCGAGTGACTGCAACATTGAGTATAATCTCTCATATGTTTATGCCACACTCAGCAATATTCCAGCTACATGACAAGAGCCAGTAAATAATAAAGCCTGGACCAGACAAGACAGTGATTGATATGTGAGCAAAGATCAACATTGCTGATTCATGTCACAAAACCATCCAAGTCACTGAGCCTGGTCAGAAAGTTGCCTCATGCATCAAGTGCCAGGAACCAGTTCTCACCTGGAATTCCTTCATTTCAATATCTTCAGATTTTCAGTTAAAACCCTTGTTTTTCAGTTACTATTTGCTTGTCTTATACATACACCTGGCAAACTTTCCACATCACAAGTATACAGTCATTACAGGACAGTTACTGACACTAAATTCAATATTAATTCTCACATGCAAGTGTTAAAGACTTCAACATTGTACATCACTTACATACTATCAAATCATTCAAGACATCAAACAATCAAATTATCAAAATCATTTCAAAATGCCAAAGATCTGCATCTCACCTTCTTACATGAATATCAGCACAAAAAATGTTCATGAAATTTGTTCTCATTGTAATTACTTTTTCATTATTACTCGGTAGAACTTGGAACAGGTAAAGTCCTTGCATTACTGCCATATTGGCCACTTTCAAATTATATAACACATCATGCTGTCAAAGATTATCACATGTATGATAATTCTGAGGATTATTAGATTATCATGCGGTCAGAATATATCCTCTGTGTATCATATTCAAAAGACATAGAAACAGATTGTTTATCAACATGACACAAGAACTGTACCTTTTGTGAAGACAGAGTTGAGAATGTCCCGGAGTTCATATGCATCGATCTCCATGTCCTCGCCTGCAATATTTCGGAAGCTTTCTCTCAAGCTGTCTCCCTGCTGCTGCTCTTCCTCCGTCGGTGGTGGGGCCTCCTGGTGGCACAAACAGAAAGTCAGTCCACAATCCTATGTTAAATAACCTACACAGTTCATCTATTTCTTTAGGACAGGGCTGCTCTTACCTTGTCTTCAATACTATATTCATGAGGATCATTTTGTAAAGTGCAAACTGGAGTTACAAGTGCATAATGCTATTCAAATCTGAAGCATTACCTCAATATTGTGCTTAGTGCATGCAATGGTTTCTACACATGTAGAGGAAGTTGTAATGGCTATCATTTTGTTATGAACACATTATCAATAGCTCTTATTGACATTCTAAATAACATATTGATTTTCTAAAAATTAGTATAGTTAAACATGAGCAATCTGAAAGAAAATAGTACCTACATTAGTTATTACAGAAAAGAAACATTAAATATTCCTGAAAGAAATATTCTATGTCAGTTGAAATTTAACCATTTCACAGAACACATGACTAAAACATGTTATTGTGTATTAGCTGTGCATCAACAAGTTCAAACTATCACTGATATTCCTCTGTGTCAAATGTGAAAACCTGCATTCAACTCTGCTTCAATCAAATTAAAAAACAAACACTTTCATCATTCAGAAAAGTGAAGATGTGCATACACACAAGTCAATTAAGTATGACTTTCTCTAAAGCAATAATAAATTAGTTGACTTTCACAACTGCATTGAAACCATATTTTTTACACCAGTATAATACCTCTCTGCATTAAGATCTGAGGACTCTACCTTAACTATAGAGTGCGATGAGCCCTGATCGAACTGTGACGGTCAGCTCTAAAAACATGGTTTCATGTGTTATTGAGCCAGTTGGTGTAAGCTTTCTAAAAGAAATACAGTCAAATCCCGATGAGTCGAATGTCGGTGTCTCGAATATTATGCATAACTCGAAGTACCTGTCAGTCCCGACCATTCCCTGTTATAGTTGTCATCATTTGAATATCGGTTACACGAATTCGTCTCATAAATACACACGATGAATCGAGAAGAAAATTTGGTCCCATGAGATTCAAACAACAGCAATCTTGTATACATAAGTGGAAGTCAGTCAATGAGAAGTTGATTGGTGTAGCAAACTGATCCATTTAACAAACCAGCTCGGCTCACACCTTTCCACCTTTGACGGGTGAGTTCACAAGGCAGATTAGCTATTTTACGGAAATCACTGTCTGTGCTAATCAGACTGGAACTGATAAGGTGCCCCTATTAGTGATAGGGAAATCATTAGATAAAAAAATGCTTAGGCGGAGGAATTTGGACTGGATCATCTTTTTTTCTACCCTCATAGACATACCTATGTCTCGAATACATCGATAAGTCGAATTTATTACTTGGTCCCCAGAGATTCGACTCATCAGGATTTGACTGTATCTCCACTTTCTCACCTTGATATATAAAGTTTGATCTATACACATGAAAACCCAGATATTCTACACACTTTAAAGGTACACCTTATTGAGTGTAGAGGTAATGGAGCACAGTTGGAAACAGGGTTCATAAACTATCCACATTATAATGGCAATGCCACACTTTCTACTTTCATAACTTGTAGTTTTATTCATTCAGTGCAGGATCCAGAAATCAAACTCATGAATGCTTTGGTGACTTTCAGATCTTAGAAGCCTCAGTGCTGACTGGCTGAAAGTTCACCTGATTTGATTTACTGTGGAGGGTCTCATCAGATCTTCAAGCAGAGAGATATTGATCTGATTTTTTTAAGATCATAGATTTGCACCTCTGGCTGTGTCTCTATAAAACACACATCTAATATTTTTCTACTAGGTTTATGCTGCTAAAACATTGAAGCTCATACCTGAGAGAAATCTGTTATTTGTACCAATAACTCTGACCTCGAGACAAATATCACCTTATAACCATTGGTAAGCTTAACATGCTGCCTTGAAATATACTGTCTTCAGTTTAACAAATTCTCTGTTGGGATCAGAGCACTATAATATTCTGTTCGAATACATACCTACTGCTTCCAATATTTTCACTCTGATATTACTTACTTCTATATTATGGTGATGAGTTCCTAGTAAAAGCAATGTCACAAAACAATCTCACCTTAATCATTATTAATTAATAATTCTTTGATTTACATTTAAAGGATGATGTTAAATGATTCAGATGTTTCTACTTGAGAACACACTAAAAGCAAAACCCACGAAACAAAGGCATGGCATTTGCAAAGCAACACAAAAGTTCAAACAAGTTGAAGGTCATATGCTGGTCATACAAGGATTACTTTCCCTCACTTAATCCTTACTTATTTCCAGAGATTATTAATTAGTTTATATTCAAGCTATATTCACTTTAAGTACCATGGAAGTGAGTGAAATTTCAAGGTCAATGTATAACCAGCAATTGATTTCAATAGAACAAAGGTGAAGGACAGACATCAAGGTGAAACAAAAGGTGAAGGTCACGAAATAACCTCTGCGTCATCATCTTCATGCTGGCTTCCTGAGTCTACATCAGCATGCTGTGACAACAAAGGAAGGTAAGAAACACACTGATCAACGGAAGAGATAGACCAATCAAATATCACTATGTACCAAAGCTTAAACAACAAAGATCTGCAGCAAAAAGGGTGGATATAAGTGCAGTCTTCCCTAAAAGTGAGGAATACTATTCACAGAAATCATGATGTAAATAATCAATAATTCGAAGTAAACAAGTTTTTCCTACTTAATGGATCATTTTCTCTGTGAAGAATTTGTGTCTAGAAATTCCACTAACTTGAGAATAGACTTCTGATCTATTCTATATTTTAATTTTTCATTCAAAGGATTAAAGTACCAGTCCTGGCTGATACACATTTGCATTCTTTGTACATGACATTAATGTTTTCTAGGTCCTTTTTTCATTCCTGGTTCCAGACGGTATTGGGTATGTCTTACCCTTGTGGCCACATTTAGTGTTCAAAACATTTATTTGTGTAGCATCTTGGTGTGGCATCTAACAATCATCTGCATTTACTTGTACATAGAAAAAGGAAAGCAGTATTTCCAAACATGATTTCATCGCGTGTCATATTTGATTATAAAGTATATTTTTAAGTCCAAAGTATCCTCAAGCTATCCTAGTTTGCAATAACAGGTTTATGTGCTAGTGTGTAGAGATGCCAACCCTGAATCAAATGAAAGCAGAGTCATGCCTTGCTAAAAGCAATTCCCGAGCCATGAAGGTGCGAGTTGGGGGTGAGCATGAGAGGGGGTTCGGGCCCCTTTTGACGGTGGGGATCTTGGGGGGCCTCCCCTATGAAAATCTTTAGATTTAGCCTGGACATATGCAATTTCTGGGCATACTTAACCAGATAATTCTTAACTCAAACGAACATATTTACTTAAATTCTTTCAAACATTCTAAATTTATAAACATATTTGTATTTTCTAAAAAATCCGAGTTTTTTATAGACAAATTGGAGAATGGATTTTGTATTTGAAAATCGGAGTAACTCCTCTAAAATCGGAGTGGTTGGCATCTCTGTAAGTGTGTCATGCATCAATGAGAGTGTTCTAGAGTTCATACACCTAGAGTCTACTGACTACTAAGCTAACAACACTTCATACAGTGAGCGTTGATGAGTTACATGAGGCATGAATAAAGCTCTCAACTACGTAAACATCCATCGATAGATACATATGGACAGCCTTCCTAAAAACATATACTATTCAAAAGACATCAAGAAACACCCAATGTTTTTACATTGCTCTGATTTATTCTATGACAGATTGGCTATAGTTATATGAGAAAACTGAAATCATCTTTTGAATAATGAAGCATATAACTTTATGGATAACAACTTCTTGTTGGATGTCTTTCAGTGGCATTTAGAAGTTGTACATTGATGTCCAAGATATTTTTATGGATTAAACGAGACCATTCCAGGTCCTTTTCATCAGGTGAACTCAGAACTGAGTTCACCTGATGAAGGACCTGAATGGTCTCGAAACGTCGTGAGGGAAATTATAAAGAAGTTTAATCCATAAAAATATCTTGGACAACTTCTTGTTTATTGCATAGACTGACACATTAATGTAGATACTTACGCTCCATAAAGTCGTATGCTTAATTATTTACTCGCTAACTTCTAGAATGTCTATCAAACAATTAGTCTTTTGAATAGTATATAATGAGATGACTAGTTTGTGATAATGTAATCGAACATGAGAGAGACAAATGAGTATTAATTATAATGAAAACATGTTACGTAAAACATAATCTATATTTTAAGCATCTAAAATACTACATAATAATGTATTTAATTCGTTATACTTAACCTTTTTTTTCAAATTAAGGTTAAAGATGCGTTTTTGTTGTTATTAACAAACTATAAAACGTTATTAGTTAAATATATGCATCATTTTCTAAACTAAACAGAAATAATACTCCAGGGATTCAGGTCGATTGTTTATTTATAGGATTAATCTTTAGGCATTGAAACTCATGAAAATCTAAAAATATTATCTGTAACCAAATATTTGAAATACATGTCCCCACTGTTCTCATCACAACCTTCCCTGTTTTAGTTCATGATTATGCATACATGAATTATAGAATTAGTCATGTTGTACAATGCATGATATAAGCTCTTGAATTTATTTGATCAAAGGTAGTTTGTATTCTGTAAATAAAGAAAGGTTTATACGGTTATTCCAGGAAAGTCAGAATAATTTTGACGTCTATGACAGAGACAACAGAAACACCACCAACACACACACACGAGACTAAGAGTCGTAACACCATGTGTGTTCGGTACAACTGTGTTGTCTCCTGCTTGCCATCCCTCGTTAAAATAAGACTGTCTACCACAAGAACTGAAACTCTACTATCTCTGCATGCAAGTAGGGAACAAAAGTTACAAATCATATTTGTAACAACACCTAACAATTAATTCTATATAGTGTGTAAACACAGTTAGTATATCAATATGAACTGACGACATCTGAACCACTCTCAACTTACAACTCTCTTAGCCACCTGTGCAATGAAAGAAATTTCATTCAACCTTTTTTGAAGATAATATACTGAAACTTATTAAACACATCTCTGATCAATCAGATCAAAATATGATTGAAATGAACCCATGCATGATGCCGCAGGATATAAAAAATACCTGTATTTAGGAAATTGACATTTTACCATCTGTCTTTCTTGACCATGCAAGTGAAATCTGACTTTAATCAACTTTTATAACCACAGAAGTTCATGCACAAAATCTGAAACAACAGCAAACCCTTTCAAGAAATTCAACATGATTCATCAACCAATTTGTTGCCAACATTAATTCAAGGAAAGGTAAACCTTATTTGTAACAGGGAACTTCAACGAGGTATTCACAATGTTAATAAAGAACCGAGTAAGTTATGCTTCCGAGTCAGGAAGACTCCTCAAGGTGTGGGTCACAGTTCTACCTGTCTCCGCCCTGCCGATACCGGGATTGCCTGCGTTTGTACAATGTCATCGGAAGTAATCCCAGTTTGGAAACCGAGCACCGTCCATAAAAAGAAGACAATGACAAGCACATACATCATACTGTAGAAACACTGTACAACATCAAGAGATGGTAGAGTACAACAAAAACGATAGTCTCTATATATACCAAGAATATATGTCTATATGGATGCACACATTTACAATACAACACCAATATTATTATTTGGAAATAATTAAGGATTCATGAAACTGTACATGGATAATATGGGTAAACTGTTGTCGTAAAGTAAACTGAAAAACATCAGATGGAATATCATGGGATATATATTATTAGAAACTTCATGACAGTGTATGTTTAAAAGTACATGCACAAGAAGTGAACATTTTAGTAATCTTTTTAAGATTTAGAAAACAAAAGAAACACTTTGAACACATTTTGGTTTACCAAAAAACAGAAATTTAGGAAAACTGGAACAAATCACTGGTTTAGTTCATGCATGGACTGGTTGCGGTTGTTTCATAACTGTGTTTCATAACCGTCGGCAGAAACAAAACACATGTACTGAACAAGCTCAAGAACCATTTAAACACTATTTCACTGCTTTGGCTCATTGGAATCCCAGATTAATGGATGTTCACCACTTCGGGTAAACTCAAAAGCTATACTGAAACTCTGAATCTGGAGTTGAAAAATCTGTCAAATTGATCCATGGATCAACGGGAGGTAACTCTGCACAACAAGTTGTAGCACAATATGGCAATTGGCACCATTATAAACTCATCTGTACGATACATACAGTGAAACCTTGTTTGTCCAGACACTGTTACATAGGATACATTACCTTGCAGATAAGTACTGAGGGCAATGTCTCAAGAGCTGCTTTGGCATTACTATTGACAAATAACTGATTCAGAAATATGTTAATAGTGTTGATTTCTCAGAGAATGTAACCATCTGGATTACCAAGGTTTCACTTTATGTTTAATGCGTCATAATGACAATTAGGTAACTCAGACTAAAACTGTTATCAGATAATCTGTATGAAACACTCCTTCATGCATAAATTATACACTGGATATATTTATACATATGTTGGAAATATTCAAACAATATTTTCCTACCAACTCCAAATAACATTGAATCTCTAGTCTATGTATCACACAATTGCAACACACAACACTTGGAATCATTCAGAAAACAACAAACACCCTCCGTACCATTTATACAAATGATCTTTCATGTCCTTTGTATCATCTCACTTAAAAAATATTAAGGAACACATAATAAACCCAAAATAAATATAAAACGTGCAATAAATCCTATCCAGCACCCTGTTGCCCAAATCGCACTTAATCTGTGCTTTGTAATTATAATCACAAGATATTACGGTACCACAAAGAATATATATATAGGTACATATTTTTAAAGGTACTTTTATACATGTGCTAGTAAATAATCATGCCCAAATTTCATACGACCAATGTTGTTTCACAGAAGTGAAAATAATGTAATCAATCTGTGACTTGAAAATAAAAGATTCATGCAAAACAAAGCACAGACAGGTACCATCCAAAGAAATCCACTTATTTACATAACTCAAAGTCCAGTTCTTATCTTGCAAAACAAGTTTGAGATACAAAAGTTGTCTCCCTTTAGAAGTGTTCTCATTTGAATTGAGAGCGTAGTGGACAGGCCAGTCTGTGAAAGCGCATCTTCTCAGAACCTTCTCCATAGCATACAATTCAGATTACTGGACCTCAATAGATCAACAGGTATGTGCACATTGCTCAATTATTCAATTACAATTATTCATTAGATATTAACTTCACTTAATTGAAAATGTTCATCAGTTTAACAGAAAATAATCTTTTCAGTTTCAGGAACAGAGAAGAGCACTTAATCATAAAAGGGTAATCAGCCTGAAATAGTTTCTAACTGAAAATAAATTATGACAGTTTCACCAATTGAAACATCACAAAAGCATTTTTTAAATATTTTATAACATCTGTTGATCTTCTGAGGAACAGGATGAAAATCTTAACAAACTTACACATGCTTCAGTATCCATGCTAGGCTTTAATGAATCAATCATTGTTTGAGTGTGTTAGGTGAATAGTATCGCTTGTTACTTCTTCAGTTCATTGCATGTGCATTCTGTAAGTGGTTTAGAGACACTATGACAGAACAGTGTCCTTATGCTGTCATAACACTATACATTAATGTTAAGAGACCATTAGAACATATCAGTGCTGCAGAAACAATGAACAAAATTAATAACTATGTTTTGAAACATTTTTATTTCAAATGTTTTGTCTGAAAGGAGTTTTGAAAAAAAATCAACATTGAGTTACTTTTTTAGGATATGAACATATTAAAATAATATGAAAATGAATACATGATAACATTATTGATGAGTTAAGAATTTGAAACAAATATTTTGAATTTGTTTTCACCCAAAATATTTTTTAAGAATTTTTTAAAAATGAAATGTACTGCTGCAGCTAGATATATTTAAAATGGGCATAAAGATAACAACAAACAATTTCAGTTCTCCTCATTATCAATATATAACAAACATCATGCGTCAATATCAAATATGTTGCACAAGTCAAAATGTTTCTAATTCTGAGTAAACCCATGCTGTTTGTAGAACCACTCAGCACTTACTGTTGGTCGAGTAGGTCTAGGTTGAGGTCGATGGCGACGCTAGTAAAGTTATTCAAGTCAAACTTAGGGTGGTCATCAGGAATGTTTAATATTTTGTTTCATCCCACAATGCAAATAATTAGTCTGGACACATTGAGATATGATTAATGAATTATTACCAATTATAGATACATATTTTTATATCGTGCTTTAATTAAACATCAGGGAAGTGCTTTCAAAAAAAAAATTGTGCAAAAATATTTTGTTATAAAACAAAAAATCTGGAAGAGTATACTTAACATAAGAGGTTTAAAGACAGGGGGTCCTCACAAAGTGATCTTAGCACAGAGGGGGTCCTCACAAAGTGATCTTAGCACAGAAGGGGTCCTCACAAAGTGATATTAGCACTAGAACTCACTTAACATAGAGTGTCCGTGTGTGAGTCTCTGTGTCTCTGTGTGTGAGAGGGACTGTATGTCTGTATCTGTGTGTATGTGTGTGCCTGCTTGTCTGTCTCTGTGTGTGTGCACCTGCTTTTATGAGTGTGTGTATGTGCATGTGTGTGTCCAACTGCCAGACCATAATTAACCATGGTTACCCCACACAGCATACTGACTCCAAGTAAACCAGTCCTTTAATGCCGAGTTCCAGACAAAGAACCATCTTTTACATCTTGAGGTTTTTACCAAACTATCAACCGATTTTGGAATGAAACCACCAACCATCCCCTCTTCAGGCAGACTTCCTATCCCCTACTACACCGCACTGGTCCATTGACTTACTATATGATAGTGTCAGTGCTAAGATCACTTTGAGATGCGAGACCAAGGATGGTATACACGTGCCGTACCCAGAAGGGAATAGTCTACAGTCAGATAGTATTCAGTCTTCTACTGAGAAAGAAGATTTCTACGATGTATGGCACAATGCATAGTGAATGTTTTCTACCAGAGAAGACATACTAGCTGTATTAAAGCATATCTTATGTACTGGGTTACACGGTAGGGATAAAGTGACAATCAACATACACAGAGTATATGAAACCATGACAGATTTATTGATATGGGATTAATTGTTTCTGTATTTCCAAATTTTTACGGTACTTACAAAATATTAAACAAAACATTCCCAATTTCGAGGCTCTTTCCACATGCTATAACACAACTGAATCTCTATATAATTACAAGTGCTTCTCTTCAGATTTATGATGTTTGTATTTTTCTAATAACTAATTATTTTGTATTTACTATTCATTGTTTACATCTTTTTTTTTTCATAAACAAGAATGTTTACATTTCAAAGTTCCATCTGTATATGTTAGATTGTCACTTTTCAATGCTTCTGTGTGTTGAGATGTGTGTGAAGCGATGGCCTTGACAACACTTACCTCGTCCTCCACATAAGATGTCCTCGTCCAGCTCACTGTAACCAGAGGAAATACCATCAGTGATTCCACATTACACTCTAACACACCATTCTGACCATTCTAAAATTCAAGTCATTTTGCAGCAAGAAAAACACCAGAATTCAAAGGGCAGTCATCTTTTCAAAACTTTGAAAAATTTAGAAGGAAAACAAGAATTCCAAAGCAATTTTTGAATGATTTTAACCAGAGACTGACATTTGCAGCCAACTATAATCTGTCCAAGTGATCACTCATACATGTCTGTTATTCTTTTTGTTTTCCCACTTAATGCATGTGCAAAAGCACTGAGCAGTTAAATATTTAATTACTATTATCCATATTATGGATGGTTGATAGTGTAGAGGACCTCTGTTGAAAATCTGAACATCTCAATACTGCGATGACAAAATACAGATCGAGACAATAATGTAATGGAGGGTATTCACAGGAGCTCTTGATGTTTTACTAGAGCTGCAAAATGACTTCCACATTACAAAACAAAAAGTTCATTATCTGTTAATATCAGGTTATATCACGATACAAGGAAAAATCAATTAAAAACAGAACTGTAACATGTGAAAAATAAAAAATAAAAGAATAACAGAAACAGAGCCTAACGAAGTAGATAAGCTTGAGACAAAAGCGAAGCAGTTTACGAACGATACACGTTACTGATTTAGGCAAAAGAGAATTAATACTAATTCATACATGACAAAACAAACTAACCACATCTACAGGTAATGCATGCACTTGTCTGTAGGTGCATGCCAAGATTGTGGGTAAAAATATTGTTAACAAGGAAAAGTCCACATCAGATGTGGTCACAAAATGACAGAAACATCACCAAGCGGACAAAAGTTCATTGCTAGAGCACATATCCCTCCAGCACTGTTTTCAGTTTTTTAAGAAATCTTTGTTTTCGACTGGTTTGAATACAATTATTCTAAATTGTGCTAAATCCAGGTTGTTGCCATGGGAATGACAAAAGTGGCATATAACCACAAAGCACTTGTATGCATTGTTTCTGAAGAAATAGAAAAAAATAATTCTACTTCAGAAAAGAAGCATTGTCAGTTGAGTTGATGTAGATTGTAACATGTTACCAAAACTTTGCGAACATTAAAGAAATATATAGTACTGGCTCACGACTAAGAGGGTAAGTGAGCAGTTTTGTGAAGAATTTTGTGTAACAAATATGTAATCATTATCTGGAAACAAAAAATTAAAAAAATATAGCCACACAGACATGTTCATAACTATCTCCCTGTTATATACACGGCAGGAAAAATGCATGCAACAAACACTCTTTGAATTCCCTTTTTTGGTTCAAGCAGGGTCCAGTTTCAAGTACTGCTCATCACATGCATATCATGCAATCGGCCCTAAATATTAACAAAATTCAACATTTCTTTAAACTGTATGCCAACTTTTCTTGCACACCCTTTACATCTTGAACCAGGCATTCACGGAGTTTGAACCAGACAAACCAGTGACTGATATCATGAGCATCATCACCTGCCACTGGGGTAATATGACTGGTTATCACTCAAATCACAAAACCCAACCATCTGATCCATTTAATCCCCTTTTTATATGACAAATATGGCTGACTGGGTACCAACTCTAACCCGCAAAACCAACATGGGTGCCATGCATAAAAGATAGGACAGTAACGTCCATGACACATCAAACAATCCTCAGCAGACAAGCTGGAATCAATCCTGCTGGAGTCCCCACCACACTCACAGACATGTAACCATGGCAACAGGCAACCATGCACCACTCTGATGGATTCAGGCAAGGATCTCAACATCCATGATGTCAGAGTAACCCCTACTGTGCTCTCAACACCACACCCGACTTACCAATGTGGAAAACTGCGGAATGTATTGAAGCATTGGTGAGAGCAGTCTAAATCAGCATGTTTGAACAAATTAGTTTTTTGTTTCACATGATCTATCCATCACAAATATACTTATATTGTTAATCACTGGCATAGAGAAACACATTTTTAACTCAAATTTCATTTTTACAACAGATTCTGTCTTATAAGACACACACTTCTATTCATAGCGTGTGTGATTCACAAAGGAATCTCAGTAGTCATTTGGGCTTGAGCTGTATTATTTCATTCAGGACACAAAACGATTGGCCAAAAGAGGTCATGTGGGACGTTAGAATCATTATTTTAACAGATTTGCAATCTACTAAAAACAAAATATATGATCCTCCTTCCTACCTAGTAAGCGAGAAACAATATTATTTTTCAAATTAGCACAAGACAATCATGCAATGAAAGCGAAACTAATATATGTAAAATGAAACAAAAATGATAGTAGAGGTTAAAATAATTACATAAAACTATAAATTAAAATATGCAGCTACAAGACGTTAAGAATGCCATGACATATCTTACATTCCTGTAATGCAATTAAGAGGAACTCTGAACCTCAGCAAGATATCCATGCAAACATGGATGTATGTTATTGAACACCACTTTCAAAATTAATCCCGTCCGAGCTAGTGAGTGAGCTGGGTCTATCACAGCCTTGAACAATATTTCGGTTATGTCACTGCATGTATTGATAGAAACCCAAATTGATGCTGCAGTTTGAAGACACTGATATCTTTGGAGAGACGGCGGCGATTGTTATCTGAATCTGTGATTCAAACCGAGGGACTCTAAGGGAGACAACTCTTCCGGACCACCTATACACACTCAGAAATCATATAAGGTGGGTCATGATTTTTAATATTCATTACAAGGTCATTACTATGTGCCTTCTTTACAGCACATCTTGTATAAAGTTAATTGAGTAAAACACACCACATTTCTTGCATAGATGATTGAAATTATCCATATTCTGTGATACGAACATTGGGCAGATGCCATCATTTTAACTATTATGGCTGGTTAGCTAAGGGCAGTTGCCATGTATTGAACTCTTATGACTGGTTAACTGAGGCTCTTTCTGGCAACATGCCTCAGATTTAGCATTGTTTCGTAGCAGGTAGTAAGATAAAGCTAACAATTAATAACTGATTTCAGATATTCGACAATTAAATGATTCAGACATTGTTAAGCACAGGTATTGTTAATGCCATACTGAACAATATTCAAGCAGTACGACTGTGACCCACAACTAATCAAGAAATGATGTTACGACCATCTACACCATTAAGGTATAATGACAAGCCACCAACCAAGTCACTTAAGTTCCAATCTGATCCATCCAACCACCTCTAGCTTGGTAGCTGGGACCAGAAACCCAAAGTGCTGCCCCCTACATCTTAGGTTGCAGGGCCCCGTTCCAGAAAGCGATAATAGTGCTAAGATGATTGTAACCCGCATTCTTTAACATAGACTTACGACAGTCGTAGCTCTAAGATGATCGTAACTCGCATTCTTTAACATAGACTTATTCTTTTCTTTAACATAGACTACGATAGTTGTAGCGCTAAGATGATCGTAACTCGCATTCTTTAACATAGACTTACGACAGTCGTAGCTCTAAGATAGCTTTGTGGAACGGGGCCCTGGTGATCCATTCTTACCCAGGACCCCAACGGGTGAGATGTATGCTTTCAAGTGTATTGATACATCTTTTGTAAATAAGAATTTGGCTCTGAGGTAGTCTCTACTAGCATATTGAGTATATCAAGTAGTCACTGTTTAACTCACCCAGTTTCATTGGCTTTCTCAGTGAAGATTCTGAGCAGGAAGGATCCCTCCTCGCCGGGTTCAAACGTGGACGGGATGATGGCGTATGTGCCTGGAGGTAGCTTGTGACGCCCGCATATCTCACGCATGTTGATGAATGTTGGCGACTTGGCCACCGAGGCGTTATACTTGAAGAAGTTTACATCAAGAGGTCCACTGTCTGGACTTTCTATCTGAAAAAGGAAAGTCAACAACACTGTATATCTGAAGTCCCATTATGGTAAGACATTTCTGATGATTGTCACTGGCAGGAAATTGACTGAAGCATACATACAATATAGTTACCTATGTGAGTAAGCCCTGGCAGGTAGCAAATTGGAATTACTTCCCTTAGGTGTAAACATTGTAACAGGACAGACAACATAGTTCAAGAAGTTTCATGATGCTTCTAGAAGACTGGCTATACCTACATAAAAGTGAAACAAGGGTAACATGTGGCCGATTCGAGACCTTGACTTGCATTTTATCTAGTTAGGACAGCACACCTTTTTTTTATATTTTTTTATTTCCGGTACTGAAAGGCCACAGGCCTGTAGTACAATGCATTTATAAATCAATATTTACACGCACGGATAATATACATGAAGAAGGGAAAATAATCAACTTTAGGTTACATTGTGTTCTGAGATATATTCTGTCCTAAACAACATGGCATAGTAAACAAACATGGACAAGTTTTGAAGTATAGTATGGGTTTTGTTATTCAACAATGCTGAGAATTTATAAAGGTTTGGATGGGCACAATAATATTTCTTAATATACAACTTTCTGATGGAATTATAAGCAGGGCAAATTAAAAGAAAATGATATTCATCTTCTATTTGGTTAAGATCACATAGTTTGCAAGTTCTATTTTCTTTTTTGACATTTTTAAATCTTCCACTTTCGATAGATAAATCATGTGAAGAACATCTCAATCTGCTTAACGCTATCCTATACTTTTTTACGTTTAGACATGAAAGATAAGTTTCGGAGTCAAAAGTACATTTAAACATCTTATAATACAGACATTTACTGGAAAGTGATATCTTTTCAAACCATTCTTGCAAATAGATATCTTTTAATCTTTGTGTTAGTTCTAAAATAAACTTACCCTCAGAATCAACATACTGATCGTTCCATACAAAACCAAACCCTTTCGAGAATAGAAAATGTCTAACAGCAGAAACCCAATTTGTGTGTCCATTTTTATCGAATAGCATCATCATATTGTAACATTTCTTTGCAGCACACCTATGTGACCTATCTCATGACTAGAGCTTTCTACCTTCTTCCAACCCTATTCTGTATTCAAGTACAGAGCATGTGTAGCTTTCAAGACATTCAACTGTGACAAATTCTGGACACTCACAGATGTATGTACTGACATGTGCCTATAAAGCTGTTGCCACCTATCCGTTCCATTACACTGCCTATTATGACCGTAACCCTATGTGTACCTCCAACACACATCAGTGAAAACATGAAAACAGTGTGATAAAACACAACACAACTGATTCTGTGTACAATTACGCGGTCTTACCTTGTAGATGACATAACCAATGGTGAGAAGGTCAAGGCCTTCCTTCCTCTTCTTCCTTCGGTCCTTCTGCAGTAGTGCTGTGATCATGGTACACATCTCATCATCATCATCGTCATCAGGGTCGGTCAAGGTCACTCGGAACTGAGGATTTGTCCAGAAGGTGTCTAGGAGGAAGACACATATCGTCACACAAAACATATCATGTAACTGTCACAAAACATTTCACATATCTGTTCACTGACTGACTGACTGAGTTTAGTTTTACGCCGCTTTTAGCAATATTCCAGCAATATCAAGGCGGGGGACACCAGAAATGGGCTCAACACATTGTGCCCATGTGGGGAATTGAACCCCGGTCTTCGGCATGACGAGCCAACGCTTTAACCACTAGGCTACCCCACCGCCCCCACATATCTGTTCACAATGAATGTGGAAGACTATCATACTTGATGAATTAAAACAGGGATTTGTCTGGACCTGCTCAGAATCTGATATTAAGCCCTATCAACGCTCAGGTTACTTACATGCTATCTTTATATCCATGGAATATTGCTGAGTGTGGCATTAAACAACAAATAAATCAAGTTCTGAGTGAGTGAGTGAGTGAGTATTGTTTATGATGTTTTTAGTAATATTCCGGGAATATCATGTCGGGCTACCCCACCCCCACTTAAGTTATGAAATGAACCTGACTCACCAATGTAGTTGCGGCAACCGCCAGCATTGACCCTCCTCTTCCAGTCAGCATGCTGAACATTGACCTCCCACTTCTTCTTGTTGCCAATCTCAGCCTCTTCCAAGGAGTCCGGCCCAAGGTTACAGATCTCCAGCTTGGTGAAGTTATCCTTGAAGTCTTGGAAGGCCATCCTGCAAATCATTCAGAGAATCACTGAACTAAGTTACCAACTGAGGTGTGGGTTCCAGTGGTAGGTGTGTGTGGGGTATCATGATGACTGCTTGGAGTATCTGGGATACAGAGAGTATCTCAATGTGTGGTTCCAGTGGTAGGTGTGTGGGGGGTATCATGATGACTGCTTGGAGTATCTGGGATACAGAGAGTATCTCAATGTGTGGTTCCAGTGGTAGGTGTGTGTGGGGTATCATGATGACTGGGGTTCAGTGGTAGGGTGTACAGACAGTATCATGAATGTGTGGTTCCAGTGGTAGGTGTGTGTGGGGTATCATGATGACTGCTTGGAGTATCTGGGATACAGAGAGTATCTCAATGTGTGTAGTGGTTCCATCATGTGTGTGGGTTCCAGTGGTAGGTGTGTGTGATGGGGTATCATGATGTGTGGGGTTCAGATGGTTGTGGTAGGTGTAGTATCTGGTGATTCAGTGGTAGGTGTGTGTGGGATATCATGATGTGTGGGTTCCAGTGGTAGGTGTGTGTGGGGGTATCATGATGACTGGTTGGTGTGGGGTATCTGGGATACAGTGGTAGGTATCTCAATGTGTGGGTTCCAGTGGTAGGTGTGTGTGGGGTATCATGATGACTGGTTGTAGTGTATCTGGGTAGTACAGACAGTATCTCAATGTGTGGGGTTCCAGTGGTAGGTGTGTGTGGGGTATCATGATGTGTGCTTGGAGTATCTGGGATGTGGGGTATCTCAATGTGTGGTTCCAGTGGTAGGTGTGTGTGGGTATCATGGTGTATATGGTAGGTGTATGTGTGTGGGTTCCAGTGGTAGGTGTAGTGTGGGGTATCATGATGACTGCTTGGAGTATCTGGGATACAGACAGTATCTCAATGTGTGGGTTCCAGTGGTGTGTGTGTGGGGGGTGTATCATGACTGCTTGGAGTATCTGGAATACAGAGAGTATCTCAATGTATGGTTCCAGTGGTAGGTGTTGTGTGGGGTATCATGATGACTGCTTGGAGTATCTGGGATACAGACAGTATCTCAATGTGTGGTTCCAGTGGTAGGTGTGTGTGGGGTATCATGATGACTGGTTGGAGTATCTGGGATACAGAGAGTACCTCAATGTGTGGGTTCAGAAAGGGGTCTGTCTGAGTGAGTGAGTGAGTGCATGAGTGAGTGAGTGATGGGGTCGTATATCTGGATATATGGTTTCAGTGAGGGGGGTAGTCCTGAGGTGTGGGATGTCGGTGTCACTGTGCGTGTTGAGGCACACCTGAGGTGTGGGATGTAGGTGTCACTGTGCGTGTTGAGGCAAGGTTGATAATTTGGGTTCAGAGGTGGGGGTTGTCCTGAGGTGTGTGAACTCACCAGAACTCTCCATCATCATCGAAGGTGAGTCCCATCTCCTCCTTCTCCTCAGGTGAAATGAGGGACCATTCCTGGGACCTGTTAACACAGACACAACCATGATTGTCGTAGAAAAAACACAACCATGATTGTCATCAAAACAGACAAAACCATAGCACTGTCATGAACACAGGAACCGGTCAACACAGACACAACCATGATTGTCATAGAAAAAACACAACCATGATTGCCGTCAACACAGACACAACCATGATTGCCGTCAACACAGATAACCATACGACTGTCATCAACACAAACTCAGGCAGTCAAAAAAATATAGTTCTCAGGCTTTAAAATACAATGTTTCTGGGGCAGCCAGTCCCTCTAGTACTCACTGGTCACTCCATGCTCCCTTCCACTCGGCCTCATTACCCCACGGGTTCCTGATTCTGACCATAGGGATCTGACCAGAGACACGGGACGTCTGAACATCGATCTGCAACACCAACACACAGTCGTCATTACACCTCTACAACATTGTCCAGTAACATTTAGTTACGTGCTATGAACATACTACCACTAAAGTGTTATGTTCGAGGTCAATGCTATGTTGCAAGTACAGTCTGATCTATACTACCCATCAAAAGTTTAGACTCACTAGTGTAAATGTAGCCACTTACTTGTCCACTGTTCTAAACTAGCTTTTTGCAAAATATTCCATACTGTTTAAAGGTACTGTTTAGTTATGAACTGGTGTATTGTAAAACATATTCGTAACATTGAAAAGATTATTGTCATGAGTTCAGTAAATGATTAAAATCTGTGAAAATTGGCGAATTCTTAACAAAACTTTACACCAAAACGCATCTGTTCACATGCACGACATTTGCTCATGCCTTTCGCAATTTGAAGCATCATCCTTGTGCAATTCATCTGCATAAGGTTTTCAGTTGGTTCCCCCAAGTTGGTGGAGAAATTCATCTTCGATGTAACCACATACATATACATAACATATAGTGAGTGCTTTAAGTGAGTCTAAACTTTTGATGGGTAGTATAATATCTTCGTACCACTCAATTCTTTTCCTTTCTTAGAACTTTACAACACAAAATGATAAATAATTAACAAATAAATACACATCGCAATGATTAATATAAATGTTTCATATTATGCCTAGAGTGGAATCTGTCGAAACTAGACCAAGTTGGAACAGCAGTTTACTGTCTGCTTAGGAAGTTGTGAGCACTAGATTACTTGATAAAACATTAACAAAGTAAATTCTGACCATACATTCAGTCTTTTTTTCACGGACGCCCTTGTAACGTGCACAACTGAAATATCAGTCCATAACAGATTTGTACTTTAAAGTCAAAGATTCAGTACAAAATAGACAAAAAATCATACCAAGGAACAGAATATATTTTCGAAGGAAAGGCTTTATATAATAAAGTTTTATTTTTAGTACAGAAAGTAAGTAATCAAATATTTGACAAGAAATTAACGGAAAACAATGACATTCCTACATTCTTTATTGAAGGAAGGTCTCAAATTACTGAGTGAATATGATACGTTAAATGCTAAGAAAGACAGTCTTTAGGTGAACGTTATGCAGTCATGAGTAGTCAGCCATTTCAGAAGGAAACAGAGACAGAAGAATCAAACCTTAAGCACACATATATACAGCAGAATATATACACTTTTATACGGAAGATTCATTATGCAAATATGTTCCAATCATTTAAAATCTGCAAAAAAATAGTTAAACTTAAATAAGTTCTCTCTCAAAACAATCAAACGAGGATGCATAAAGTATAATAAATTTTTTATAGAGAAGGTAATGACATCAGGTTACCGAAGTAAGTACTGTATGTGGAACAGACAAGCGTGAAAGCCACGAATAGATATATCCGAAGGCGTACGCTGTGTGAGATAAAGTCATCTCTGCACAAACAAAAATATATAAATTTAAATTTAAAAGACATGTTAAAAATGTTGACAATTTGATCATACAGTTCAGTAGTTAATAAATATTTATCCACAGACTGATGCTGCTGCCATTTAACAACTCTAAAAAGGAGTGAAGTGCCTACTTCTAATCAGAGTGCACAATGTTGCTGTTACAATACTATGTGTATGTGTGAAACATGACTACTGTGAACATTAAAAACTGAAAAAAATACGAAAGATTACCAATGTTGTTTTCTCATGGGAAAAATAACATACCAATATTGTTTTACTGAGAAATATCAATTTCAGTACCTGCCAGACACTCAGGGTTCCATAAAACATACAATCTCATTACAAATATATCTTCATACTACCACTACACATTCACCCGAGAGCAGTTCACGTCACAATAACCTTTCATTTGACCAATCAGAGCATTGCTTATGAGATTTTGAAAGTGAAAGTCCAAATTTATTTCCTATTGGTACAACCATGAAAAGGTTAGCATGGGGCCTGCCAAATACAGCTGTTATGGAATACGGTTTTGTCATAATCATCACATAGATCTCTGCAATGAGACAAACATTTAAAACAGAAATAACTTTCCATACTTTGTGGGAAATACTGCCATACAATCTCAGCCATCTTCTAGACATTCAAGAAATTTCTTTTGTCTAGTTTTCAAACCAGGAATCAAGAACTTTGTCAAAGTATGTTTGCAACTGTTGTTCAGATTTGTGGTCAGTTTGGAACCAGTGCTGAAAAGCTCTGTTAATGATTGTCTGATCTTGACTACCATTTCACTGGTCGATCACAGATGGCCAAAGGATGTTCAGATGCCATTTGTGCAGGGAGTACCAAGATAAGATATTAATGAGATTGCTATAGGATACAAAGTAAGATATGCATCAATACGTTCCAGATATATGCACCAAAGCATCTCAACTTCTTGCCACAGAGTCAATAAGCATAAAGCTGTTCTTATTATGCACAAACAAGAAACAGAAGCAAAGCATGTTCCTCAGACTTATAACACACCCTTCGTGGGAGCACTATGTCCATCTGTTTGAAAAACGTAAAATAAAAATCGCAAAATTTGTAACAAAGAAAACTCATTCACCTACATTTCCAATTAATCAGAGAGAGCAGAAACCATAACTTTATACAATGTTTTGCCAAAAGGGCTTTACCTGAATAAAACATAATTAGTTTCAAAACAAGACTCATCTGTTGTTTAGAATCAGTATTTATGTTAACAGAATGAAATCAAAACAAGTTTTTCTTCACAAAGTTTCCTGCTATTACTGTTTTGACAATCTGGGTTAAAGCAAGATCCATTCAAGGAACAAACAGTAATTCAGGAGTACATTGGTAAAACCCTCAGCTTGACAGTGATCACAAAGAATCTTGTCAAAAGTTCAATGAAGCTGCAAAAACTAAATATTTATATAATCTACTTTGACCATATCTTTGAAGAGCATTTAGAACTGGAATACATAAGAAAAGCAAGATTTATGGATGTCAACTTCTTTATTGTGAATAACACATTTTGGACTGTATGCTTGCTCCTTCATCAGGTGATGATTTCAGTGTTTTATCATCAATGATAAAAGAGGTACAATCTGTGAATGTTGTCAGCAATACTCCAGCTATATCATGATGACCTGTCAATCAAGTTTGGACCAGACAAACCTTTGACAGAAAACAAGATCGGCAACCCATCTCATAGGGGCACGACACAGAATATGATCCCCAGATACACATTAGCGTCCTTTGAAAAGCGGTAGACATGATAAAGTCTTAGGCCTGTGTCAGGAGCGATCTTTAAGCTAAGACCACCGAGTGTCTAAGTTATCGTATGGGAGTTACATTGATCTTAGCGCTGAGACAACTGTGAGGTACGGGACCCAAGGGATATGTCAGGAGCGATCTTTAAGCTAAGACCACCGAGTGTCTAAGTTATCGTATGGGAGTTACATTGATCTTAGCACTGAGACAACTGTGAGGTACGGGACCCAAGGGCCTGTGTCAGGAGCGATCTTTAAGCTATGATCATCATAAATCTATGTAAAAGTATGGTAGTTACATTAGTTGTACGACCACTTTGAGGAACGGGCCCCAGCAGATCCATCTCACTAACTAAATCAACAGTTTTATAGCTTCAACCTTCTGACAAGACTACTACCAGAGACCAAATTTAAGAAAGCATCATGCTGGTGACAAGAGATGTACGACACACGTTTAAACACGGTGAATACATAGGACACATGTGCCGGGACGATGTGCCGATCTCTACATGTGAACTATATACCCAAAACAACACTGCCAGGCTGCCAGGCATCCTGTGCATCAACTTACACGCATCTTATCATCAACCTGCGTTTGCCGAATGATTAATGTAAAACAAAATAACTTTAACATAAACTGAAAGAAAGACATGTAAAAACCAAACGAGGGAACAGAACCAACAAGAAACCTGCAAGGCAATATCCGCACAAATTAGATTGTATATGAGATGGCAGATAGTCATGAAAGCTAAATTGCTTAACTCTCTAACTGGACAAATCTGAATCATGCAGATCGGAGGAAATGTCATTGCCAATTTGCTGCTTTTAGTAATTCTAGCAACATGACACTGGTGGAGCAGAAACTGACATCACACATCCAAGTGAAGAATTAAACCACCCTGGTTTCACTTGAATTGAGTAGTTACCATGGTAACAATGACAGAATTCCTGATCATGAAGTAGCATGCGCCTTAGAGGGCTGATAGCATGAGCAGGGATTCATGCCCTATGGACTCACACAAGAAGTCAGGTAAACACCACTTCCTGTTCAAGTCCCTTCGAAAAGGCAAGATTCGTTTTGGACCAATTATGAATAATAATCTGCATGGAGATGTTGGACGATCAATCGAAACAAAATGTAAACTTTAATCAATTTATGAGTGAGTGAGCGAGTTCAGTTTTACGCTGCACTCAGCAATATTCCAGCTATATGGCACTAATCAATTTATAAATATATTAGAAACATATAAAGCATTAAGACACAGGAAGTAGAAGCTAGATGTATTTTATCACATCACTCAGTATCATAATAGCTGGTCTTTGTCCTACATTAGGTCCACCTCTGATTATACCACCTACAACCATGCTATAATTAAATCTATTATAAGAATTAACAAACTCTAAGATAAGCATAGGATAAGAATATGCAATAGCAGGTATAAGTTATGGATGAAGCTCCTTCAACATCCTACCAGGCTTGCTACAGACAAAGTACAAAATTATTTTGGTATATCTTTGTTTTCCATGCCATATCACTAGCATCTCTCAGAACTAGTTGTTCATGCAATAGTATCTACCCACCAGTTTCACTGCAGTGACACTGTAGGCATGGCCAACCACCAGACCATTGCTAAGCTCCGCCTCCAAGGCTTGACCATCAGGCTAGAAGTAGAGATAAAAATCCAGTAAGCATTCAATGTGGCTTACCAAAACGCACAAAAGTTTTTCCAGTGTCAATTTATAAACAAGTTTAAAGTGAACTGAATAAAAACCAAAAAAATAATTTATACTATCTGCTTCTATTAAAATCATTCACCTGTTAAAAGAATATTCTTTCAATCAAGTCCTTAATAGGAGAGAACATTATGACCAAGTTTTACTTGTGTTTATATCAATTTATCAGACTCACTTAACCTTTACTTTAAATTTGTATGTCACAAAAAAATTTTTTTCGATAGTATTTTTTAAAACAGTATACCAAATAAATTCTGATAACATTTTCATTTACTTGTTGACCAGGGAAAGAGGCCTTGCATTAATTTTGGTTACAAAATAACTATTTGCGACACATAATGCCCTTTGACAGGACACCCTGAAATATGTTGCTTACATCTATGGAGCACCCCATGAGAGCTGATCTGTCAAAAGCCTTCAACATGATCCTGAGCAGAGTTGGTGGGGCTTTGGCGAGATCAAACATCTCTGTCACACCTCCTGTAAAGTCCTCCATGGCTTCACTGGTGCTGCCACCTTTCAGGGATTCATAGGAACCGCAAAGCCTGGAAAATACACAGCCATAGTTAGGGACACATTATAAAATAGCATTTATTATCCATATGGTGAAACATAACCAGTGTCATATATATCATATGTGTACAAGTGCACATATCACTTTTGCCTAGCAACCATTGTTTCTGTATATTGTCGTCTATGGCGTCATTAAACAATTGAACGTGATGTCAGTGAAGAGGGCCATCACACTCAGTTACCGTGTTTTACAGCACAAATGTACATGAACAAAATGGATAATAAAGAAATTATTATACTTGGGCAAGTGTGTCACACAACTTACACGAAACTCATGCAAACTTATGTATACACTATGTTTCATTATGTCACACTAGTTTCGTATAAGTCGAATGACACAATTGCTTGTGCAATAATCTCTTTTTATTCCCTGCTGCACCAAACGTGAGTGAGTGACTGATTGACTGACTGAGTGTGACTGAGTCATTGAGAGTGATCTCAAAATCAAAAAAATCTTCCATAGTTAACATGGTGTGACTGCTTGGCTAAAGAAAAGGGGAAAGCCAGATGTGAACTGTGAAGTTTGGAGAAACCCACAAGCAATGGTACAGTGTTGAAAAGCCAAGAAATATATCACAACGTTTTGTCACACTCAAGGGAGACAACCCTCCAAAACAAATTGCTGTGCCTTTGCATGGATGTGCTATCCATGGCCCTGATTCATGTTTACAGATCTCAGAAGGCTGGACTCTCATTACTACTGATTACTGTACATATATTATTTATTAATCAGTTAAATCCTGAGAACTTACTTGGCATAAGCTTTTTCCAGCAATGCGCTCCAGAATTCATTCCTCTCCACAGAGTGCATGAATACTAGCTGGTTGTGGTATGTGGGTAGCCTGTCATCCACAATAACCTCCACCCAATCTCCCTGATGCCAGATGTTGAACTTGAACAATCCACAGTAATCATCTGTGAAGTTTTGATCAGGGGAGACAACTCTTGCCAACAACTTGTTGTTACATGTAAGGGAGGCAACTGCAGCCAACAGCCAGCAATCTCCTGCAAAAGCCATTGCAGATATAAAGTATTTTTATCTTTAAAAAACCCCAAACAAAGTGAAAATACTTTGTTTGGGTTCTTAAAATATGTTTTAACAAAGCCAAAAAATACTGCCACTTTATTGAATGGATAATAAAACAAAATTACAATATGAACAAAGATTGCATCTTATTCTGGTTAATAAAGGATGGTGTCAGCACTGCTATGAGTATTAAATACCAATGACAAAGGTGATAATATGAACCACTACACTTCCACAATGTTGCAACATCTGCCCAGAATGAATGTACTCTTGTGTAACATTGTTGCTATCAACATGCATGACAGTGGAGCGGCTTGGTAATAATTTTTTGCCAAATTGATACTTGGTGGCAGGAAAGATCATATTTTGCACATAGGTGTCCTATAGTATTCTAAACATAAAACGATCAGGAGGCAGGCCATATTTACTCCAGTTTTAATTTTATTGACTAATGAAATTCCTATACTTGAAACACTAGTGACTGAAGCATCATAAAATCACCATTTTTCTCATACTTACCTCCCTTACATGAAAGTTACCTCCCTTTATATGCAAATTACTTCCCTTCATGAACTTGAACACGAGAGTGACCTCCCTTGTGTGTTTTCTGCATGGAACTTCAATGAAGGTTTCTGATGTTTTTGGGTGTAATTTTGAGTGAGAAAGGTTAATTATCTTGTGAAATATTGTAATTTATCATATACTGAAGTCATGGCCTGTAGTACAGGCTTACCAACCATTAGTTCATCAGATACTAGCAAGTTGCAAACAAACTGGTCAGTTTGTGCATTATGTCAGATAGAAGATGACAGCAAATAAGTTGATCCATCCAATGTCACAAGACAAAACATGAAAGGTGCTGGCTTCAGAAAACTAGAAATTAATTTGACCCAACTTTTTGAGCTGCATTCATTACCACTGAATATTGAACTGTCAAGATTAGATGAAGGGAATGGAATCCAGAATACTTTGGAAGAAAATCAAGCTAAATGGCACAAGCACTGTTTTGACAAGTGTGGGGATAGAGCAGTTGAGAGAGCTACGAAAAGGGCACATAAATTAGTGGAAAATGAACATCTACCAACAACACCTGTGAAAAAGAAACTGAGAATATGTTTAGATAATTCTGAAAATGAAAATGAATTATCCACTGACACAATCCACAGTTCTGATACATCTGTGTGTTTCTTTTGTGACTTACCAACAGATAGAAATGACCCTGTGGCTCAAACAATGACATTTGATTCTAACATTCGTTTGATGGCTCATGAACTTCAGGATAGAAAACTGATAGGCAAATTATCTGCAGGTGATGTAATTGCACTTGATGTTGTATATCATAAACATTGCTACACAGATCTATATACAAAATACAGATCATCCCTGAGAGCCAAAAACAACCAACAACAGAATGAATTTGGACCATATTCAATAGCTTTTGCCGAATTAATTTCATATGTAGAAGAACACAGATATGAGGTAAATTCAGTTTTGAAGTTGGCAGACATTGTGAAATTGTTTACAAGAAGACTTCAGCAACTTGGTGACATTAGAATTGTTAATACCTCCAGACTGAAAGAAGCTTTGCTTGCTGAAATACCTGGCTTAGAAGCACTCACATCAAAAAAAGGTATACTCTTATCCTTTAACATTGGTGATACCTTGTTATCAGATGAAAGTTCAGATAGTGATGCTGTGACTATCATGCGGGCAGCTAAAATTATTAGAAGAGATATTTTCTCAATGGATTCAGAGTCAAATAAATCAGAAAACCCACTGAAATCAAGTCAGTCTCATCAGGAACCATTGATACTGCTGACTCTCATACAAATGATACTTGGTTGTACTTGCTTCACAAGTGAAAAGGATAATACAACAGGTATCTCAGAAGCCGCATCTTCCATTTCTCAACTGCTGATATTCAACTGCCTGCGAAGAGAGAGAAAGGAGAAGATGTCTCATGGCACACGTCGTCATAATCCAGACAGAGAAACTGCACTGCCATTATACTTAGGACTTCTCATTCACAGTAAAACTCGGAAACGAGACTTGGTGGATATTCTCTTTGAAAGAGGACTGTGTGTATCCTATGACAGAGTTCTACAAGTGTCAACGAACCTTGCAAACCAGATGATTGCAGGATATGAACAGCAAGGAGTTGTTTGCCCATCTCAGCTTAAAGCCCATGTTTTTACAACTGGCAATTTTGACAACATAGATCACAACCTATCATCAACTTTTGCCAAGTCAGCTTTTCATGGCAGTGCCTTGTCTCTTACAAATCATATCACTCACGAGAACCCTGGATTGGATAGAGAGTTTCAACATTTACCAGAAGTCGATATGAAATCAAGGAGGATTGCACCACTGCCTGAATCATACACTAATGTAGCACCAGTCAACTTTCCAAGCAACAAACCATTACCATCCAAACCTCGTGGAGCAACACTGTTAACTTCAACAGGTGACATTGATTTGGAACAGAAACAGTTGCTTGAAGAAGTTTCTTTGCTATTGAACAGTGAACAAATACACACGAAAGCCAACATTTCCTGGTCAGCTTACTTTGCAGACAAGATGCCATCAACTCCACGTCCACCAGCTGTCACTGGTATGCTGCCTTTATTCAGAGACACTGCTCATTCTCCAGCTATGGTATTGCATGCCATGAATGTAATCAAGAGTGCAATTCAGTATTTGAATCCTGGGCAAATACCCGTGTTTACTGTTGATCAACCACTTTTTGCATTAGCAAAGAAGATTCAGTGGACATGGCCAGAGGTATATGGAGAAGACAAGTTTGTAGTCTTGATGGGCGGACTCCACATAGAGATGACATTTCTGGCTGTTTTAGGAGATTGGTTACAAGGAAGTGGGTGGACATCAGTTCTCGCAAGCTCCAATGTGACAACGGAAGGAAGGGCCTCTGCACTCGAAAAGGATCACATGTATCCAGATGTCAGTGGGCTCATCAAGTTACAGTAGCTGCACTCTGGCATTTGCAACAGAAAGCCTTCTCTGACTTCCTTGCTGAAACTGAAGACACACTCTCATTTGATGATTGGTGTAAGGAACGGAAGAACATATCTCCACAGTTTTGCTTCTGGGACACTGCCATAAAGCTTGAAATTCTCTTCCTCAAATTCTTGCACTCACAGCGTGAGGGAAATTACAAGATATACCTTGAATCCCTATCAGATATGATTCCATGGATGTTTGCTCTTGACCATGTTCATTATGCAAGATGGATGACAGTACATCTTTGTGATCTTCTCCAACTCGAACACACTGCGCCTTCCATTCACAGGGAGTTTGAGAAAGGACATTTTGTAACCCAGAAGACTCAACGCAAGTTCAGTATGCTTCCTCACGATCAGATCCATGAACAACTTAATGCTGTGTTGAAAGGAGATGGTGGCGTGATTGGAATCACAGAAAGTGAGACAGCATTGACAAGGTGGATGGTAAGTGGTCCAAACATCACACACTTGTTAAAGGAGTATGATATTAACTGCAGAACACAGAAGCCAAGTACAGAGTGCCATCATGAGCAAACACCAAGCATCCAGAGACAATTTGCAAAGAATGTCCAAGATGTTGTTACAGCCATTTCAGATCAAGGCAACCCATTCTCAGATGACACAAATGAAATTCTGACACTGGATACAAGGCTGGTCATGAGTGAGGATGTTGCTGACAATGTACGCAAAGCAGAAGCAGCTGGAAGGAAGCAACATCAAGAATTCGTAGATCAACGCCTGACAGATTCTTCCTCAAAGTTTTATGACAACATCTCTAAGAACAATTTCACCTTACTTGGCAGTGGCATTAGGAAGTCTGCTTCTAAGAAAAACAGAACAAAAGTGTCAAACATGAGGAAAGATGTTCAGCTCTTCTCCAGATTGTACGTTTCTTGTCAGAACAGGGATGGTGATATGGAAACGTTCTTTCAGCATGAGAATCATGCCTGGCCACCTTCACTTGCAGAAAACAATGAGATGAGACTAACTCACAGTAAAGCTGAAATTCTCAAATGCTTGGAGCCTTTAGCCACAACTAAGTATGTTGAACCACCTGATGTACAAGTCAAGATACTTGATGGTGCTGCTATAGTTCAAACTCTGGATCCTGTGAGAATAAAAAAGGAAAGAAACATTGTACTTCAAACATTCCATGATTTCTCCAAGAAGGTCTTCATGCCATATGTGCTGCATCAGCTGAGTACTGTTGAAAGATTGGACATTGTATGGGATCGTTATCTTCAAGACAGTTTGAAATCACACACCAGACTAATCCGTGGGGGAGGCATGGCACTGAGGGTAGAGGCCCAAACCCACTTAACATCTAACTGGAAATCATTCCTCAGGGTGAACTCCAACAAGACAGGTCTGTTTCAATTTTTGGCAGAGGGTGTATCAAATGCTGACGTTCCAGATGACAAAGTCCTCTGCACTACTCTTAAAGACACGGCTCTCAGCAGGCAGACTGATGTGTCTGGTCTCCAGCCATGTAATCACGAAGAGGCGGATACAAGGATGCTTCTGCACTGTAAACACGCGGCAACTCAAGGCTACAAGAAAATTCTGGTGGTTGCAACGGATACAGATGTCGTTCTCCTCAGCACTGCCATGGCCTCTTATCTTGACTGTCAGCTGTGGGTGAACTTTGGTCATGGTGCCCATAAACGATACATTCCAACTCATCTGATTGCTGAAAAGCTTGGACTCAGTATATCCAGGGGTCTTCTCTTCTTCCATGCCTTTACAGGCTGTGACACAGTCTCCACCTTCTGTGGTATTGGGAGGAATACAGCATGGAATGTCTGGATGTCAATGAAAGATATCATCACTCCAGTTTTTACTCAACTGTCAATGGCGCCAGCACAAATTGGTGAAGCAGAATTGTCTCAACTGGAGCGATTAACTGTGGCCATGTACAAACGCACTTTGCCAATACTCACTGTGAATGAGGCACGCATGAGTCTGTTCACCCAAGGTGATAGGAATATTGAAAATATCCCACCAACTCAGGACGCGCTAATCCAGCATGCCAAAAGAGCAGCCTACCAGAGTGGACATATATGGGGACAAACTCTTGACAAACACCCAATCATTCCTTGCCCGTCTGAATGGGGTTGGACTCGGGAAGAGACATCATGGGTTTCCAAATGGACAACATTGCCTGAAGCAGCTAAAGTGTGCAGAGAACTGATCAAATGTGGATGTAAGGCCTACTGCAGTGGGCGGTGTAAATGTAGCAAAGCAGGACTTCAGTGCACACACTTATGTTCCTGTTCTGGACAATGTGTAAAGTAGATTGAACAGTTGCGGTGAGTAAAATCCTCGAAGTACTGCCTAAGTATACCAATTAATAATCTTTAAATTAGGATTTTCCATTTAACTCACATAATCATTCTGAACTTAACACCTAAGGTCTTTAATGTCTTCTCAAAAATTATTAATATGCAAAAAACACATTTTTTGCATTTTTGCCCCAAAAAGTAGGATGCACTTTCCAAAACTGTTGCCTCCTGCTTGTTTTATGATTATGGGCTGTTAGGCTATGTCCGTGCCAAATTTCAGCTTTCCTGCCAGAAGTGAACATAAATTTCACCTAAGCAATATTTCTTCACTCAAAACATAATTAAACTGAAATTAACTGAACAAATTATGATACCATCTCAATGGGAATCATACATGTCTATGTTCCGAATGGCAATTTCATAGACATTTATTAAAAATGAAAAAAAAAACCCTGCATTTTGAGATTTTAATTACGAGTTTGTCTCCTTAGCAATTGCCATAAATATGTTTTTCAATACATCTGGCAGGACTGAAAATCAAATTTGAAATTGCTTCATGTAAAAATTGCATTAAAAAGCCATCAATGGATGGGGTGTGTATTAATAGCAAGCTCATTATACATCATAACCACAATACTCTTCAATATTAGTAATGATAAATAAATAGTCATTCAACTATGGCATAATTGTCGTTGTATCCCTACTATACTCTTGACCTGTATATACTGATATACTGAATACAAGTGTGTTATTATGAATTATCCTATGACACACTGTCTTAACATCCCGCTAATGTTTTGTAACTACCTTATCCATCACTGAACCATCTTCCATCTGTTCTTGTCCTACATAACTGCTGATAACAGATATTGATAATATAATTCACCCTTACTTCCCTGTGGGGTTTCCAGGTCACAAAGGTTCTTCACAAACTCTGCTTGTTCTGAGAGCTGATTACAATGACGATTGATGGCCACAAAGTTAAAATATCAGCATAAATATCAGATTCACTCACTGGCTGAGACACTCACTCACCAACTCAACCACAAGACCCACCCACTCACTCACTCACTCTCCCACCCACTCACTCACTGATGCCCCCCTCTCCACAACTCGCTGGTGTCCCCCACTTACCGAGTTCTCCCTGCTGCACATCAAACCGACTGGCGCCCTCCGAGATCCACTGGGGGTCATCACAAATTTCCTGAAAACAAAGAGACAAATATGAAATTAACATCACATCAAAATGTAGAATAAATGTATTCAGCTGCTTTCATTCAAAGAGTATATCAAAGCCTTTGTTGTTTCAACTCTGTACTGAGCCCACCCTTCACAGCTGATGGCATCAACATCACCATGGAAATGTCAGCAGCAATATTTCCCCAACACAGGCGTAATCATCAATAAACAGAGGCAGTCAATACGGCTGACATTTCAGTTGACATTATACTCATTATAGCAGGCAGGGGAGATAACTGTCATACCATAGGAGAGGTCAAGGTCAAAGTCAATACTAGTATATGCTGTAACAAAATGATGCTCTTATCAGAGGTTGTAAGTGGATTTAATATGTTGATCATTTTTATTTCTGTGGAATCCTTCTCATATTATGGCCATATTTCATAAATACCTGGCTGTTGTTATCCCATGTAAATATTGAATTGCAGCTGTCATACAACTCTCTTTCTTAAAACAAACACCTTCATTCAATTCTTCAGCCCTTTACAGAATTATTTTTACTTAAGCATATACATACATACATATACATAACTTTATTTAAGGAATTGCATGTGAGTCAACTGGCACCCCTCAAGTTCATTAACCTAGATGTGCTGTAGTCAAAATAGTTGCTTGTGAATTTGACAAAGCTCTTTGTGTATTTACTGTTCATAAGCTGGAAATGAAAGGATCTTTATTACCTCAACATTCTATTATATCACCACTTGGCTGACAATTATTGCACAAATATTTTTTGTCAAAATGTATAATTACAATGAAGCACCTGACATGTTCATGCTTCCATACGTGTGTAAGACATCACACACAATAAACATAATCACTTGATAGGTGTTAAAGACACTGCTGACACTTGCACCAGGATTAGGTCAAGTAGACCTTCACTGAGGTTGCTCTGACAAATAATCCAGCAATATTTACAAGGTTTACACACAAGTATTGCTACTCCCTATCTGTCTGGTGTTGATACAGTCATGACTTGAGCATCTGGTAAGTCCATCTATCTTTTACAGTCACGCACAGTTTACGGCAGATAAGATGGCTTCTGCAGGATGTGTAATAGGTGTAAGAAAGGAGGTTGCTGTGTACTTGGCTAAGTTGGCTTGTTAGAGAACAAACACTGTCTCTTTCATCCTAATTGCCACAGAAAGAAGGAGATAATGCCGAGATCCCCTCTATGAAATCTGGAAGATGCCGTTTTAATGGCAGGTGAATAATGACCTTGAACTTTGTGGGTGCATTGAAAACAGACATTGAAAAAAACTGTTTCAGAATGAAAAAATATGAACAAAAGGAATGCAAGGAAACATGGATTGAAACTGACAAGTCCCATAGGAGGAAATTAAAATGAGTCACAGTGTACTATAACTTAAAAACTGGACAGTGAGCTCTTTGAATATTGACACTGTGGTGCCTGTGTATAGGCATAAAACACTGTGTATAAACACTGGTCTCTGCAATCCTCTGACAGTGAACAAAGTTTTCACATATGTATTACTGTAGAAAACTTAACAACCTGCCTTTAAGCAATATCAACATATAGTGTGTCCAGTTTCAATGACAAACTGAAAAAACACTGGCAAATAAAACAGAATATTGAGCTACAAGTATACTTGAGTGAGTGAGTGAGCTTAGTTTTACGCCGCACTCAGCAATATTCCTGCCATATGTCGGCACATGTATACTAGAACAGACATAAACCATCATATAACACAAATGTGGTGTAAGAGTCCCTATCTTCTGGAGTCAGTTGTGTGCAATAGGACAACAGAGAGGGCAGGCAATGAGGAGTTCTAGCTGTTGCTGGGGACCCGTGAAGATCCGGGGTAGAATAGGTCTTCAGCAACCCATGCTTGCCACATAAGGCGACAATACTTGTCGTAAGAGGCGACTAATGGGATCGGGTGGTCAGACTCGTAGACTTGGTTGATACATGTCATCAGTTCCCAATTGCGCAGATCGATGCTCATGCTGTTGATCACTGGATTGTTTGGTCCAGACTCGATTATTTACAGACCGCCACTATATACCTGGAATATTGCTGAGTGCTAAACTAAACTCCCTCACTCACTGTAGCTGGGAGGTATGTATGTGTACACACACCTTTGTGGGAGGGTATTGCAGTACTGTTCAATAGGCCGAGAGAATCTAGGTGAGAATACAAGGGTGTAGTGTGTATGCACTTGTACATACTGTTTGACCTGCAGAGAGCAGCACATACAGGAGAAAGTGTTTTGTGTAATGGATGAATGATGGATGACAGAGCATTTGCTGTCTCAGTGATTTCTCGGCAGGGAGTGAGGGCATCTATTTCTGTGGGGGTGTTCGAGCCATGTGTATGACCAATCCTTGATGTAAAATTACTGTGATTAATGGCCAGATGATTTTGTACCATACCATACAAGTTCTTATGTTGAAGGAACAGTGGGAAGGGGATGTTTATTCTGGGTAACAAAATGAGAATTAACATGATGTATGGTTGCCCTGGCTCACCTACAGCTAGAAGTGCAAGTCACGTCATGTTGTCAGTCCATACTCTCCACAGTTTCTGTACTTTCACAGTGGTTTAAATGAAGTAGCCATTGAGACTTGAGTGAGTCATGTCCTATACTGCTTCCAGCAACATTGCAGCAACATTTCAGTAATATGACAGCAGGGGTAAGGGACCATTCATAATTAATAGCTAGGGGGTGATGATGATTTTGGGGGTTTGGAGTGTCACCCATTTTGTTCTGAGGAGGGGGGAGACAGGGATCATCAACTTTGATGACATGTACTTAGGGGGGGCATCAATTTTACATGAAATACATTTAAAAATTATGCTTAAAAAATTATGGAGGGTCATTGATTTTGTACATGACATGCAGGGGGGTCACTTTACTTTGTACATAGATTGGGGTGGGGTGGGTATTTATTCACATTGTACTTCTCCATAAAAATCATCATCATCATCCACCCTAGCCATAAATTATGAATGCTCCCTAACCAGAAACAGGCAGACATAATTGGAAAGTATTTGTATAAGGTACAGCATAAATTTGACCCATCCCCTCAATGAATGCACTCCAATTTTTAAAAAGCAGTCAAATGTCACATATGTTATATTTAGAATATTTGTAGTAACTTTCCAGAACTTATGGGGTTTCAGTCCATATAACAAGTTACAGCCCCCTCAATGTTGCTGTGAATGAATCCTAAACAAAATACAATCAACCTCATTGAGAAACAAGCATCTGCATATGCTGCTACCATAACAAGGAGCTGCATGTCTCGTCTTGACCAAACATGGATGGCACTGGAGCACTGACAGCTGAGATTTGCCCCTGGTCCCCCTCCCATCTTCTCACTCCCCACCCCCTCCCCATGACCTTCCCTAGCTGGTGTCGGATTATTGCTGCACCAATTACCAGGCTATCTCCTTCAAATACATGCCCCGGATTCCATCAACCTCATAAGCAGGTTAGAGCACTGACTTTATTAATCTAGGATGATGAGGTACACAATTGTACACTATTTTTGGATGGTCTGATATCTAAACTGTAAATTCTTCAACTGACACCCACATCTTACTTCAAACCAGCTCCAAGGAATCAAAGTACAGAAGCCTATTTGTGAAATATACTACCGTACTTCACATAACATAATTGAACTGATTCTAATTTTAGAACAGTTCCCCTTGGTTTTTGGCGTATGTGAATCAGAGTAATGCCACCATGTTTTTTAAAGAACGGCTTTGATTTCAGTCTTACAACACCAAATTGTGTGAACAATGGCTGCTGGAACTTAAAATAAAATACGTGAACATTGCAGAATATATAAAGTCTTCATTTACATGATGAACTTTCACATTTGATTCTTCACTGTTATAAACAATGGTTTGGTTGAAAAATGTACAAGAAAAACAAATCACCCACTAATGAGTGCTTCTCAGGTCAACACTTTATAGTTCTATCTAAGTTCTATACATCAATGGCAGCTCCACCATCAGGACATTCATCCAATCACCTTTGTACAACAGGAAATATTTATGCTATCAAACCAACCCACAACTTATGTCCCATGAAGGAAATGTTTCAAAAAGACCTTTCTGTTGTCATTTCAACCCAAGTTAGTATTTGAATAGCTAACCTCTAGTGCCTGAAATTTTACAGGAAAAATAACATTTATAACTAATGTTACTGAAATACAATAAAAAGGAGCTTAGAGTTTTTCTTAATTTTCCGGAACTGTGGTAATATAGACTTGCCACACATTCTAGACCTGCATGAGCTGAATTGGGTATATTTATTTCAGGATCTGTCTTGTAACATCACAATACATTAACCCCAACCTTAAAATAATCAGGCCTTACATAGTTTCAACCATGTAACCAACACATCCAACAATATCTGATTTGTCCAAGATAAAAAATGTATCTCTTATTTCACACAAATATTTTAGCTATGTGATGAAAGAAAGACGATTTGTCCTTCTAACTTAAAGCAACAGTGACCGTGTTGACAATGTTCTCAGGAACATTTACTAAATAGTTGTAGTGTTTACACCTCAATCACTGGACTCAACTCAGTGTTACACAAGGCTTAATCCAGCTGTTAGTGAATTGTCCCCAAATCTACTAAACACCTCAAGAAACATTCCCATGCCTATCAATTTAAAAGATGACACAAGCTGTCAAAAACAAAACTAGAAACAAGTACCATAACATAAAGAGTAAATAAGTGTCTGTTGAACAGTCTCCAGTTTTACAAATAAACACTAAAAAAAGTTCCCTTGCCTTATCAGTCTCCAGTTTTACAAATAAACACTTAAAAAACGTTCCCTTGCCTTATCAGTCTCCAGTTTTACAAATAAACACTTAAAAAACGTTTCCTTGCCTTGCATTTAAAGTAAATACAAGTTTTCATGTCTAGTGTAATATATCAATCCCTGTAGTGCCGCACACCAACTTTTTCATGAAGGTTAAATAAG